GGGGGGGGGGGGGGGGGGGTCGAAAATCGTTCTCTAGGACAAACCATACGATCGTTAATTGGGTTGTTATGTTTACATAAAAATATTAATAATATATAAAAACTTGAAGAACAATCGTAGCTGAAGAAATTATCATGTTGCAATACCAATACAATCAATGAAACCGATTTGTTCACAATCATCTTTCGAAAGTTACAAAATTAAGTAGTTAAATAATCTCATATCATTAAATTATCTCCAATCTTTAACGCCAAAATACGCACATAATACTGCAAAAAAAAATATTTTCTATTAGCCGTAATGGGTCTGTCCTAGTGAACGATTTTTGGACCCCCCGTCCTCCTATCAATTTTGTACATGGACGAAATTAGTAAATTAATATTTATTATTATTTAGGGTTAGGTTAAGTTAAGACACTTTCTGGGTCAAGCGCTGCGGCTAGGATGGGCTAGGGGGCCGAGCGCTGCGGCCACAGGGTTAGGTTAGTTAACACTTTCAGGGCCGAGCGCTGCGGCTAGGACAGGCTAGGGGGCCGAGCGCTGCGGCTAGGACAGGCTAGGGGGCCGAGCGCTGCGGCCACATGGTCAATTATATCCATGTCTAGCATACAAGATCCATGTACAAAATTGATAGGAGGGAGAGGGCTGGAAGGGGCGGGGGGGGGGTCCAAAAATCGTTCACACCGCCGTATTAAACTTTTCAAAATTATTCACTATTCCTAAATTTTCTGATTCGTCTCCAAATCGTAATTTAGACCCATTGATGCGGTCTAATTTGATGTGGGACACGTCCTGCAGGCTGCATATTAATTTAAGATTATAAATTGACCGACAATTTTGTTTAATGCATGTGTCCTACAATGTACACTTGATAAACCTGATTTACTTATTCAGAGAACCAATGAAACTCTTGAATATTTGGAAGAAAAGTTAGTTATTGGTTTAAACAAAAACAAGTAACGTACAGGTTCGACTTCTTATCAAGGACGTTTTTGCTCATCAAAATGTACTGTCACGACCAAAACAAAGTACCGGTACGTTTGTCTTGGTCTCATCAAAATAATAAAAAGGACTGGCTCGCCAAATATTGCAGGTGGGATCTGTTTACTGTACTGGCCCGACCTACAACCCGACCCGACCTTCTACCAGCAGGCTGTGTTGGGTTGAGACAGATTCGGCCTATCCCCGCCATATTGGATTTACAATGAAAGAATGCAATTTCTCCGAATTCGCCGACAATTTATTGTGTAAATAAAACGCCCATTACGCTTTCAGTTAAAATAATTTAAACGATCGACGTTTGGAGAATATTAATGTTTAGAGATTAAAATTTTGTGGACATATAAGTAATAATATTTAACTCTAACCTTTACGTTTCAGATAGTTAAACCAAGGAATTGAGCAAGTTTGAGTGATTAAGATTTGATATCCTTGTCTCAGTATGGATTCTCCAGTGTGCCATGTCAGCCCTATCAGCTCAAGATACGGTAGAATGTTTACAGGGTATGATTGAATGCCTACGAGCTCCAGAATTACAACTTTTACTCGGGTTCGCCGGTCGAAACAAGTTCGGAAGTAAATTAGAACTACGAGATAGAGCAAATTCTCTTCTGAAACTTAGATCTAAACATATTGAAACTAAAATTACAGAAATATTTAAGAGCGGAGATAGATCAGCAGTTTTAAAGATGATGGGTCCAGGAGGAAATATGAATTACACCGCAGCTGCTTATCAACAGATGCTTAGTTTAGCAGGATATACTGCTCAACAAGCTGCTCTCTCACAAACTAGAAACCCGTACACTCAACCACCTTCTTTTCCAGGTTAGACTTGGATAAATTTTCCTTAGATAAGAAAAAATAAGTTTGGTAATCTATTCCATCAAAATATAACTCTACATTTAAAGTTTTTGAAAGATGTCTAGTATGTTCTGTGTTTGTCTAAAAGTCAGCAGAATATAACAACTTCTTTTGACCATTGGAAATTGTGAATCTACATAAAGTCTGCCATGTTTTTATTGCATTGAAATAATACTCAAACTGAAGCTCCATGCAAACATAAAAAGTTTTTAACATTTTGGTCAGCAAACTAATAGATTTGTTTTTGTTTAAATTTTCAGTTTTGAATCAAGATTTGTACAGTAGGTAACTAAGTTGAACTTCTTGGAACCGATGTTCCCACAAAAAAAAACTGTTATCTCTTAAAACCAGAATATGTTTCAGGTGCACCAGCTTACGGAGCTCAACAAGGTTATCAGGTTAAACCTGGTAGTTCAGTCCCACAACCTGCAAACGTTAAACTCAAGAAACTTCCTTTCTACGATATACACGGAGAACTTCTACCCCCGACCTCTCTTCTAGCTCAGGGTTCCAGTAGGTTCCAGGAGGCTCAGTTTCAGTTCCAGCTCACTCCGCAGCAGGCCACAGACATAGCTTCGAACCGGGATATCCGTATGGGGAGTAAGCTTGACTACCTCTACCAGGTTCAGTTGAGGTTCTGTCCCTTGGATAGTACGGTGGAGCAGGGGGACGAGTTCCCTCCAAGTATCTGTGTTCAGGTTAACAGCAAGATGTGTCAGTTACCAAATCCCATCCCAACCAACAAGCCAAATGTGGAGCCGAAGAGACCCCCTAAACCTATCAATATCACACCACTGTGCAAACTCTCTCCGATCCTGCCGAACATTGTGAACATTAAATGGGCGTCTGAGTACGCTAAGAATTGGGTTGCAGGTATCTGGTTGGTTGAGAAGCTGAGCAGTGAGGACCTCCTGGACAGGTTGAAGAAGAAGGGGACCAGGAATCCTGAGTTCACCCGGGAAATCATTAAGAAGAAGCTAAGTGACGACGAGGACGATATTGCGACAACTAACTTAAAGGTGACGGTCGCCTGCCCACTTGGTAAGATGAGGATGACCATCCCATGTCGTCCGTCGACTTGCGACCATCTTCAATGTTTCGACGCTAGTTTGTTCCTACAGATGAATGAAAGGAAACCAACCTGGCAGTGTCCAGTATGTGATAGTCCTGCTCTATACGACAATCTACTTGTTGACGGATACTTCCTGGAAGTTATTAAGGATCCAGTGCTTCCAGTGGAGGAGAACGAAATCATTCTTAATGAGGTAGAATTTATAATTAAGATTTTGTTGGGGGGGGGGGGGGGGTGAAGGTTAGCAAAATAAGGTCATTATCTCAAGATCTTAAATTTTTATGAAATGAATATAATCTGAAATATTAAGGATGGATCCTGGCACCCTGTTCCTAAAGAAGAAGAGGACGCTAAGAAGAAGAAGAAGAAGGAAGAGGAGGAGGAGAATAAGGAAGAAGTTGATCTTGTTGATCTCTCTGATGATGAGGGAGGTGCTCCTCTCATTGCTCCAAAGGCTGCGCCTGCAGATGATGACTCTGAAACAGCTGGAACTGCTGCAGCTGCAGGATCTGGATCTGATGACGAGGGAGGTACTCCTGCTCCAGTTGCACCCTCAGGAGAGATAGAATGCATTGACCTTGAGTGAACCTCTTGAATCAAATGATTTCGAACAAAAATAAAGTGATTTTGAATTTGAATCAAAAGATTCTGAACTTGAGTCTAGTGAATCTGAGGTCGAATTTAAAGAATTTGAGCCGCAGCTCAAATATGGTTGGATCCACATAAAATTGTATTACATTTTTCAAGATTTATGCCGGCGCTCAATTGAAACCGGTTTTCGGGGTATTTTTGACGCGACTTAAATTCATTAAATTCGGACACTGTATTCTGTACTTTATCAATCTTAACTTGAATCAAGTAATGTTAAAACCATCAAAACGTGTTTACTTTCAAGTGATCAGCCATAGAACATAGTATTACTCTTACAGTGTTATACCCGTTACCATCATTAAATGTCCCATTGAATATCTTTATTAGTTCTAAGTTCTTTAATGATAATAATAAGGTGTGTGCAAGAAATTTTCAATATTTTACCTGAATATAGAAATAAGATAAACCATGGCGTAGGCCAACCTTCATACTTTCGTTTTTTACTGTATCATTTATATAGTAATAGTATGTCTTAATTACTTTGTAAAATAGTTTTAACTTTGTACTGTGGTGCACATGTAACTGAAATTACAAAATGTGTAAATATATTTGTAATTAGCTTATATTCTCATTTTTATTTCAGACAGAAGAATGACATAATTCTTCCTTAATTTCCTGCCATTTTCGTCAGAAGTAAGTTGATGTTTTCTCTTTATGTCTCAGAAACAATCTGTAAAGTTCAGGTCATGTTCCCAATGTTTATTAAGAAGTTATTAATAAGAAAATGTTACAATTCATTTTGAATATCAACAAGTGAGTTGGCTGTGTTCGTGGATACATCACTAGTTTACACGCGGCCTAAAGTACCCACCCTCCATCCATCCTTGTATTTTTGATGTATGCGAATTAAAACGTTTTGAAACTAGTTCAGAATTTAGTCCAGGGATTAATTATTTTCATTATATAATAGAAATATATCTGATGTTAGATTTCAGTTTGGTAAGGGAATTAATTATGCAATTGGTACAACAGATATAAAAATCATGAACTTGAAGCAAAACTTAAAACCATAAATAATCTGAAAATATGAAAGAAATTTATCTTTTTTTGGCATTTCATCAACAAATCACACATTTGAGATTATTTCAGGAAGTTAAAACATACATGCTTAAGGAGTTATTGTTTGGGATAGCCGCAGAATGGGAAATATTAAAGTGTGTCACTGGACATTTTTAGACAAATTGGTTGTGTACGTCGTATTTTTTCATTTGTATTGTTTGTTTTTCAAGTCTTCTGTACTCTAAATATTTATATACACAAGGTCAATATGCCTCTTATGATCAATAGTTTAAGGGGGGGGAATATTTAAGGTAACTGTATCGCATGTTTGAACCTAATATAGATTTGAATAATAAAAATATTTTTGTAAAAGTTGAAACAGGTTTAGTTTTAAACGATTTTTAATCAAATCTTAGTAATTTTAAAAACTGCACTTTAGGGTCCCTGACTTGATTTAAGATGATCGAATTGGACGAGTTTCCCCATGAAATCCTCCGAACCCCCCAGCCTCTTATCGGGTTCTATGGACTAGATCTGAATCAAGCCTCAAATAGGAAGGTCTGGGACGTGTTTACCAGCAACAGAGGGTTGGATAGACATTCTCTCCACTTCGTAAATATCTCAGGAACTAGCGGTTCAGATTTTCCACCAATTAAACCAAAGAAAGCGAACTATGAATGGTATGTTCCAAAAGGATTGTTAAAAAAAAACTGGATTAACAAACACCAAAATGTTATCTCTTCCGTTGTTGTCCTGTTCTTTGAACTGAATTGGCAGGACCCGGAGATAAAAGAGAAGTCCCGGATATGCGGGGAGAAGGTTGAGCAAATGAGAACTGCGCTTCAGGGACGCGGAACCAAGATCTCCGTTGTTCTCATGCAGGAGGAGAGTAGTCGCGGAGAGAATGATTCCGTGACGAGTTTCTGTGCCCACTGTGAGATATCTCCGAGATCTTTGTTTGTAATGGGAGTCAAGGATCAACTACTCCCTTCTGTAATTCGACTTGAAGCTGTACTACATGAGCTCAGTCAGAACTACTACCACCTGGAGATCAAGAATGTCCGTGGACACAAGGACGGGTTGAACAAAGCCAGTCATATGGTTCTACTGATAAGGCACATGTTCAAGTTGGGATACTTAAACGAGATGAAGAATGATCTACACTCTGCACAGAAAGCGTATCAAACTGCGTACGCACTGATATTAGAATCTAAACTAAATGATTTTAACGTTGTTGAGTATAAAACTGTTGCTGGTTACATAAACTATAAGATATGCAGACTTGGTTTCAAGCTAAATCTTCCTCGGGATGCTATTGCTCAATTTCGGAAGCATCTTGACAACTTTAAATCAAAAACCGGTGTTCCTGAGTTGGGTTGGGAACACTCAGCCTGGCAATCTGCTCAGGCAGCAATGTTTGCAAACCTGTTCCTTGACGCGCACAGGAACGGTCAACTCGCTATTCAAACCCAGCACCCAGGAATATATTTCCAGCTAGCGGCAGACTATGCTGTCTCTAGACGTAAACTAGCCGAGGAGCAATGTAACCAGTTTACATCCTATCCTGAACCTGATCCTCTCCTGGATTATACTGAGTTCTACGGGCAGCGCCCCTGGAGACCTGGTAAGATTGAACCTGTGGATATGCAACGTGAGAAGGAAGGTATTGAAGCGCTTCAGTATATAGAGAGAACTAAAACCAAACACAGTCAACTTATTTTAAAACTCCAGGAGGCCGCTGTTCAGCAGTTTCTAGCATTTAACTCACCCAGGATGAAAAACCAGGTTCAGGTTCAGATGGCGGAGGAGTTGATGATCGATCAGAAGTATGAAGATGCACTTAAGGTTCTCCTAGAGTGCGCGGAAGGATATAGGAACGAAGGTTGGTTGTATCTCTGCACTGCTACACTTCTCAAGGCAATCAAGTGTGCGTTCTTAACGATAAACCTGGAGACTTATATTCAACTTTGTTTAGACCTTACTAGCGTTGAGTCGGAATGTTCTCTTACTGATAAACTAAGGATAGAGCAGAACCTGTTCCTAGTAATGGATCTTAAACCTCCTCTACCAGAACCAAGTCTGACCGGGAAAAGTGAACGAGCTTCCGTTGGTCAGGCGGCCAAGTTGTGGAAGGATAAACTAGAATCTATAGGAGAGATTTGTGTTACTATCCCAATGGTCAACTCATCAATAAATATAATTCCGAATTTACCGCAAAGCTCTAAAATAGGAGATAGTATTAATCTTACTCTGGATGTAAGAAACAGTACCAACAACCATGTTGTTGTTTGTTCTCTGAGCTGTAAGTTTAATCTCACTGGGTTCGATGAACAATGTACTATCTCGGAGCCTAAATCTGTTGATGCCAACTCCCAGATCCAAGTTTCTCTAAAGCTCGATACAAAATCTAAACATTATGGAGAACTTCTGTGTGTTAAAAGTATCAGGTTTAAACTGGAGAACTTTGATAAAATATTGTTCACGAAAGAGCTCGAAGGCACTAAACTCTATAATATCGGATGTAAGCTGGGTCCCAGGGACTCAAATATCGAAGTTGAGTGCGTTGGAGAACCTGTTGTTCTGATTGGAGAATGGTTCAACTTCAAGCTCAAGTTGGAAAACAAGGAAGAATCAACTGCTAAAGATATTGAGGTTAGTTCAAATTATTCAAAAAAATCCATCTTTTATATTTGAATATATGTAGGAAGCATAATTATCTGATATATTTCCGCAGGTTTTTTGCTGGTTGCGAGACGGAGGTGATCCTCTGATATCCGATACAACCTACTTGAGTACTTTTCCTGGATTCCCAGCATCTCCAACTACCCCAGGTGGATCTCAACCACTGGAGACGATGAAATCCTCTGTAAAACTATCGTCTTTGCCTTCCAACGAAACCGATCATATTAGTTTCTTTATCCGACCGTCTACTCTGGGTATGAGAGCTATATCCTGTGAGCTCCGGTACACAATCGAGCTGGATGGAGAACCCTGTGTGTGTTCCTGTTGTAAAGTTTTCCAGCTCGAGGTTTCTCCTCCGTTTTCATTTAATTTCTCTCTGTTGAACCAGCTACTGGAGGAAACCAAACAAGTTGTGGCCGACGAATCCTTTTTAATTGTTTGCGAGGTTTCCTGTATTTCTCCGCATACGCTGGTAGTTACTGGATCTAGGTAACCTTTAGCTCAACAAACAGCTTTCATTTGAGTAGAGGGGTGAGGGGATGGGGGGGGGGGTGGCATAACTTTCTTTTTGTCAAATATCTCTACATACCCCTCCATCAACATAATTAAAAATATCACTATAACGTTTCTTCTGTTATTAATCAGTTTATTTTTTTTCTTAAAATCAAATAATCTTTTACTGTCAAAAAATCAAATAATCTCTAATTTTGAAAAAAAAAATCGATTATTAAAGAAAGCTTATTATTTTACAATTCTGTTTCCAGGATGGATTGCAGAGCACCTCTCAAGATTGAGAATCCGACTCATTCTCTTGAAGGAAGTGAGCTCTGTGATAATTTTAAACTAGAGCAAGGATTTCCAGCCTTAGTTCCTGATAAAGATCTTTTCTTGCAACTAGGTAAAAACAACTTATAAAAAACTACACTTGATTTAAAAATTATATTTGTTTTATTTCAGAGTCCGAAACTATCAATTTGGGAAGATTTTATCTTTTTTGGAGAAGAAAATTTTCTGATATCGTGAACGAAACAGTTTTTGATCTGCAAAGTGTTAAGGTTTCCCGGAGCTTTTTAGCTCTCAAATTCACTCTTCCTTCGTTCGGAATCCTAAGAACTCCAGCGGAGGTGCTATACATGCTGGAGAACAAGACCGGAGAAGTTCAGGAGTATTCCTTGACTATGGATCCGTCCGACTCCTTCATGTTCTCTGGTCCTAAGCAGCTCCGAGTCAAGATATTTCCCAAGGATATTTGCAAAGTCCGGTGTCTACTTTATCCTCTCATCACGGGGAATTTGTTCCTACCCAAGCTTCGGATAGTTCCGCTAGGTAGTGGAGGAGTTATTTCCCTGGATAGATGCGGGATTGTTGATGAGATAATCTCCCGAACCCTCCCTCTTCAACTCCTAGTTCTTCCCCTTGATAAACCTAGTGAAAATCAATCCAATAATGTAAGAAATTTTGAACTAAAGGAACCCACTGTGATCCCTAACCTGCCTTTCGTTGTTCATGGAAAGAAAACTGCGAAGGCTTGAAATATCATCCATGACTAGTCGTTTGTAATTCCATTCATTATTAATTATTAATATATTATATAAATATCTGCATTTATTATTTTAATTCGTTTGACTTTATATAACTCTGATTTCAGATGAATAACTTTAATATGAACAAGGGAATACCGGGTATACCGGTTGCGACCACCATCTCCACCCCGTCCCACCCTATCCCGTCCAATATTATCCAGACGAGAGAGCTTCTCTACAGGCTCATCATCTCACAACTCTTCTATGACGGTTACCAACAAGTTGCTGTAACTCTCTCAAATATGGGTAAGACATTTTTTATGTTTAATTTAACAACATTTTATATTTACTGTTAAAAAAAAATATTTTTGAAGCCACAACTTTTTTTGGCCAGCCATATATGGAAACAAATACTCGACTAGTGATTAAAAATGCTTTGTTAACTCAAAGAAGGGGAATGGGGGAGATTTTAGGACACTTTATAGATTGCAAAGAGAGTGTAAGAGGAAAATTATTGTTATTGTAAATCTTACAGTTATTGGAGGAAATAAACCCTGTTATTGATTTAGCTTTATTTGTTACTTAATTTGTCAACAGAGAGGTTTATGAAAAGTAGCTCTACCTAGATTTACATTTTGTTGAAAGATAATTTTTTTCACCAGTAACAATAGATATAGGAGGAAAGTGGTGGGAGGGGTGGGGTAATTCTTTAAAATATTACCCCTGTCACGTGAAGTTATGATTATCAAAACATTTTCTTTTGTGCTTTAGTTTATGAGCGTAAATATAATGTTTGAAATTATAACCTTGGTTGTAAAGCAAAGGCCCATTCCCGCACCCACCCCCTTCGAAAACTTAAGCAACTCTTCAAAAAATGCATGTTTTATGTTATTTGTAAATCTTAAAATAGGTTTTTATTTTATCTTGTTTTTTGTTTTGTTGAATTTTTACTTCTCTCATGTATGTTATGTATGTACAGATTTTGAAGAATAAACGATAAAAGTATGTTTTTATTTTAATTTCAGTCCACACCGACCCTCCCTGCCCCCCTTCAGACAGGTTGATGCATGTTGTCACCCTGGGACTAGAGAGAGAGTCCGAGTCTAAACACAGAACACAAAACAGGGCTGAGAGAATCCTAGGTCCAGGGTTGGACCTGGAGTATGAGACGGAGATGCAGAGTAATGCTCCGGAACCTGCTCAATATGAAACTGCGTATGTGACAAGTCACAAAGGAAACTGTCGTAGCGGAGCATTTAGTCCTGACGGTCAACTGTGCGCTACCGGAAGCGTGGACGCGAGTATAAAAGTACTTGATGTCGACCGGATGCTGGCAAAATCTAATCCTGAGAGCCGAGGACATTTAGATCAGACAGGACATCCTGTAATTAGAACCCTGTACGATCATCTTGAGGTGAATATTATTATTAATTCCAATATTTCAGGAATAAATCTTAGTTCAAGGGGGTGTTTTATTCAGATAGAGACAAGTGGTATAGATCTATTGAATAAATCGTTAAATAAATATCTTATATTTGTTTGTTTATTTGTGTGAGAGGATGATTGCTGTAGTGACTCAAATTAGTTTTACACGTGTTGTTTTTTCAGGAAGTCACGTGTCTCGAGTTTCATCCTAAAGAAGCCATCCTTGCCTCTGGTTCAAATGATTTCACAATAAAACTCTTCGACTACAGCAAGGCTTCAGCAAAAAAGGCGTTCCGAACAATGACCGACGCGGCGCCTTTGACCTGCATGTCGTTTCATCCCAGCGGAGATTTCTTGGTGGCAGGAAGCGCCACAAATATTCTCCGTCTTTACGATGTAAATACGGCTCAATGTTTTATAAGTGCTATACCCTCTCATCACCACAGTGCTGCCATTAACTCTGTTAAGTATGTTAAATATATTTTTTAAATTATTGGAAAATTAACAAGTTCATTTAAAAACGTTATACAATTTTGTCAAGTCACGCAAAAAGGCCTTGTTTTATTTCTTATCTAGTTAAGTCACTTCGTGATTTGATCATGTGAGTTAGGCGCCCCTTAAATGTTATGTGGTAAAATTTGATTTGATCTATTTAATTGAAAGATTTGAATATAAAGCATTAACGTCTCCGTATTTGTTTTATTCTCCTAAATTATGAAAATTATTATTGATAAAATTATATACTCTAGCTGTATTCAATTCATATATTTTTGCTCTATTAAGATGGGCAAATGATGGGAAACATTTTGTCTCTGGGTCCGCGGACGGTAGTATCAAGATCTGGGACGCAGTCTCAAACCGTTGTATTTCAACCTTTCTCCAGGCTCATGATGGAGCTGAGGTTTGCTCTGTCAACTTCTCTCGGAATGGAAAATATGTTTTGTCATCGGGAAAGGTAATAGAAAAATATATGATTCATTATGAAAAATAGATGTATTATAAAAAGTAATAAATGAATCGTTAGCGTTTATACAAATATTTTTAATAAAACTTCTAAGTTTCAAAACTGTTGTCTGTAAAAGTTTGCTTTTATTGAACTTTGCAATATTTGCACTAAAAAATATTGGATAAGCGATCCAAAAATGATCGTTAAAAATGTTCTTTTGTAACGTTTTTAGCACGTTTTTTCCCCATATATTTTCTATTAGGGTTAAAATTTGTTTTAAAAAAGCAAATGTTCATTAAAAATGATTCAAAACATGAATCTGTGTTTAAACACTTAAGCAAAGTTAAATTCTCCCAAACAAAGTTTAATTTCCCGTATTTCAGGATTCATTGGTAAAATTATGGGAACTGTCCACCTCCCGATGTTTAATAGCCTACACTGGAGCAGGAACCACTGGTAAACAGGAGAACCTGGCCCAGGCCGTCTTCAACCACACCGAGGACTACGTTATGTTCCCCGACGAGGCGACGACGTCGTTATGTGTATGGGACGCCAGGAACGCGAGCAGGAAGCAACTACTGTCTCTAGGACATAACGCTGCTGTTCGTCTCATTGTGCATTCTCCCACACATGCAGCTTTCCTAACATGCTCAGATGATTTTAGAGCCAGATTCTGGTTCAGAAGACATTAAATTAGTTCCTATTCATTATTTTACAATTATTTAAATATTTGAACAGCTTTTTAGAGAAATAAAATGCGTTAACTTGTGATTAATGATAAATGTCTGTGTCAGCTGTAATCAATGTTTGAATGAGTTGCTGGGTTATATTAAAGACACAGCTGTAATATATGTCAATTACAGCTATTACTACAATAAGTACAGCTGTACATAAATGTTAGTCCAGTTGTACTTGTACTTCTCTACTGAATGTTAAGCATCTGTAAACTTGTAATGAATGAATAAGCACATTGTAATGAATTTAAAACTCATGTTTAAATAACCCGTCGACATTATTTCAAGTGACCCTCCATTTACAGAGTTACCTGCCCGGCTCGCGATAAAGTCCTTATACCGAAAATATCGTATTTTTTATCTTAAAAAATGTTTTATTCGACAATCTCCTTTCTTGTTTCCTGCTTTAAATTGCAAGTCATTTAAATATAATGAAACTGCAATTGGCAAAAATTTTTCAGATAGGAAATCCAGGAAAGTAACTGGTACTACTGTTGCTAGTCGGAAATGAAACTTTTTGGATGGAGGGCCTCTTGAATTCATGTTATCAGTCCCTTAATCTTGTTTTTGATGTCAATGTTACTCAAGTACCTAATTTAATCTAAATGAACGTGTAGCAATCTCTAGTCGTGTACTCTTGTTCTTGTCTGCTATGTTTATATTTCATGTTCCTAGATTATGCTAGATCTTAAATCCTTCTTCAAGAGAATACTCTCCAGTGGAATCCAAACACAGGAGGCGAGGCATTTTTTCTTTTATATCTGAGAGCACTGAAATGACGAAGAAGCAATTTCAAGTGAATTTGATTTTTCGATGATTACTTGTCCAATTAACTACGGTCCCCTTAAAGCTTTGTCATTAAAATGTAGAAGATATCCTTAGTTTTCTCCAAAATTTTTTTGTATTTATTGTTTTTAATTGTGGTTTCTCTAAAATTCAGGGTTGTTGTATAATATTCAACCTTGATACCTACGCAGAGGATAGGACAGGACAGGTTATAATAATCAAGGGTGGGCGCAAGAAATATTTAGACCAGGAACCGCCATATCTCATACGTCAAATCTGTGAACTGCAGTGGGGGGAGATAAAAAAAAAAGTCAGGGGCAACGCATCATTTTTTAGGGATTAGGGCTCAAGGGGTGGAATAAGAATATATTGCTATCGTATTTTCCATATTGACCAGAAAGCCACAAATCATATGTACTCGCTCTAACTTGATATATTGACTTGTTTTTTTTTTGTTGGACTGTAATATCACATCAGAGCTGTAGTCCTTAAACTTCAACTGGGTTTGTTTACATTCCTCCCACAGTGTACAGTATATAATATGCGTATATTTGAGTTTGGCGTTCCTATATATAGTTCCTTGGGTGGTACTAGAGAATTTATTTACTGTTCAAAAATAAATTCTGGAATAAACAATGAACTCGGTTTCGGGGGCTATAAACTGGTTTAGCAGTCTGTTTACAAACAATCTATTGGGCTCTCCCTGGACATATCCATTCCAATTTCTTGGTTTTATAAAGTTGTTTAATAACTTTAAACGTGTGTATTCGCTATAGGTGAATTAAAGTCATTATTTTATTAAACATTAAAATGTAAAAATCGTCGTTTGTAAAGTAAATACAGGGTGTCCCACGAAACATGACAGTATGCAAGAGGCCTTGAATGTCGTCTTGATTTTTGATATAATTTGCTGCGTTTATTTGTCAACCTAATTTTAGAAGTAAATTTCTAGAGATAATAATCACAAAATTCCCCTAGTCCTGCCATTTCCAAAATGTGGTCTTTATTATTAGATATTAGATTATCTCCAATCTCGTAACACCAAAATAAACCCTAAATACTTGAAAAACTTATCATTTTCCGGAAGAAAATTCTTATATAAGCCTTATGTTATTTTTCAAAATGATTCATTCAAATGAAATTTTCTAATTAGTCCCGAAAATCGTAATTTAGACCAGTTCTTGGTCTAATATGATGTAGGACACCCTGTAGCAAAAAATGCAAAACTTCCCTGCAAGATTTATGCAATATGCTTCCTTTTGTCAAGGCAATTTAGATAGATATTTTGTCTGCAGTTTTGCAATATTTTTTTTTCCTTTCAGCTATTACAAATAGCCATAAATTATTTTTACTTCAAGAAAAATGGCATCAAAAAGAAAAAGCCGTTTAAAGTTAAAAAAGCCATTTCAGGTTAAAAGCTTGACGCTCAAACTGAACCCTCAGCCATACTTTTTTTATCGATAAACTATAATGTGTAATGAGTCATTAATTTCGACCTTTTCTAAGATATAACTAAACTTGTTTTTTATTTATTAAGTGTTCCACAGGGAAAATGTTTTTAATCCATTCTTAAAATAGAATTTAAGTATATATACATTCTACATATAGAAGCTTCCCGCAATTTTTCAGGGTTGTTTCCCCCTTTACGCCCTTAGCTGTCTCAGAGCCGTTTTACTTTCAAACAAGACTTAAAACTTAACAAACATAGATTATAGATTGGTTAAGCGTTTTCCTTCCATTTCACAGTTTTATGAGTCCCACTGTGAATTAAAGAGAATTAAGTGTATTCTGAGACTCTGAGTACAAAATTCTCTTATGGCCTTACTGAGAAAGAACTGAAAAAAGAGATGAAGAAACCCGTCACACTGGATTTCGGACGGACAAAATTAAATTTAGCAAGAAGAGTAAAGCAACTTGATAATCCAAACAGGGTGAAGCTTAAATAAATAAAGATGTTGGCTCGGCATAAAAGAATGTAGGATTATGTTAACGTTTGTAACTGTTATACAAGTATAGCGTGGTATGAAGTAAAAAGAAATAAAAAAATACTGAGACAAAGAAGAACATAGAAGCCAATGCAATCAGGGGATTCATTATTTTTCATATTGTTTGCCTACTTTATTTAGAATTTATTTAAACATGTCAAAATTAAGGTCTTAAATTGAACATTGGACCCTTAGTTCTCGTATGGAAATCTTACAGAAACATAGGGAAAGAAAAGTACCAATGTTCCGATTAAATCACAATTTTCATGTGTTCTGCATCATGGTTCATCCCCCCTAAAGTTTTAACCATTTAAACACAATGTTAAACATAAAAAGCAATGGTGAAATAATGAAAATTATCTAACTATATTAATAAATGCGCCTTTTACTCTGAAATACTTTTTTGAAAATTGGTAAATTATTAAAAATCATAGTAGTTGAAACTTATTTCCAGTCAAAAGTTTTAAAGTTTGACCGTCCATAAACCTCCCCTGGGGTCAGAAATGAGTTGTCGCATAAAATGTTGGGCCCGATAGGTTCAGCAGTTTTGACGTTCATTGGATACAAAAATAGACTAACTAAGATTAAATATAGGAGATTTGCTGACTATTAACGATTGTAAGAAAGCTTAGAGTTTAGCCTGTAACAATAAAATTCTGTGATTCCCCGAACTTCTAGTTACCTACAGTTTGAACCAGAAAACTGAAATAGGAAGACGAATAATTAAGTGTATTTAATGTTGTTTCAAAGCAAACAGCTTTACTAGCAACTTATTGAATTACTTATAAAGTATTATTGGTCTGTTTAATACTGCAAAATTACATGCTATGATTCAAGTTCATTGGACTATTCAAAGCCACAAATTTGATTTTATTTTCGATTATTTATAGGATAGATCTGAAATGAAGAGAAAGAGAAGAATAATTTTAAGTCCTGGAGGAGATGCGAACCTAAGCTCAGAAGAAAATAATGAGTTATCTCAAGGTAAAGATATCCAGCCTAGAGCTTAATTTCTTTTTGTTATTTGTTGAACAGCGATGTCTTGCACATATCAAGGTTAAGTCAAATATGTGCCACATTAATGTCATGACTTTGTGACCTCGTAGCTTCACTAGATTAAACGCATAAGTAACATTTTTGTTTTTCTCAAGAGCTCTCAAATAAAAAAATAAGTTGTGTTCTCGCTTTTAACTATTCTGAGTACGTAGGGAATTGGGAGTGGAATTGAAATGCTTAGGTCACTTAAGAACTGGATTCTAAATATGCATATTTAGGTGTAGTAAGTTCCCACTCTAAGTTCCGTGAACCTGGATTAAGACTGTTGCGCTTCAGGACAGAGGAGTTGGAGACGTTTAATAACCTGGTCGGGTCAGAGAGGATTGGATTGTTCCTCAGGATGGATGAGTGCTTCATGCAAGCAGATAGGTCGGATCAGAGATAGTAATAAATAATACATTTTAACTCACTGGATAACTATCACTCCAGTTCAGAAGGAAAAGTTCAAAATTATGCGACATTACTGGTACGACATTGTGACCTCGTAGCACCTATAGTTTTGATTTTAAGGCCTATGTACAATCCCAGAAATTTTGTTATTTTTTGAGCATCTGGGAAAAGTAGGGGTCTTGTAAAACACACTCTTTGGAATCTTTTATGCACTCGGAAGAAGATGTAGGTTTAGATTTTATTTTCATCTCTCAACACGGTGAAAAACTAAAAAACAAAAATTAGTTTTTAATAAAATAAATTAAAATTTTGTTCCAAGCTTTTATATTTCTAAACCTTACTCTGATGCGATCTTTGAGGTGTTTTAATGCTCTTCTTAGATCTTGCTTATTCTTGCCAAATTATTCTCCGATGGTTTTGAATAGCTTGAAGATTTCAGGATTGCTTTGCTCAGGGTTATCTTTACATCTTAGGAGTTTCGTACAGAATTAATCCTAACAGTTTCTCTTTAGTAATCTTTAAACTCTATCAAAAATTTCTTTTTAGTAAATTGTACTCCTTCTAACCTTATTAAGATCTGATGTTGGTTTAGATCTTGGATTAGTTTTAACTGGTTTAGCTCCAGGTATAGCTTTAAGCTAACTCCAGGTTCAGGTTCTACTCCAACAATAGGTCCAAATCCTACTCCGGAGAAGGTTTATTTTCAGGTATAAATCAGGGTTGGATAATCTCAGGTTCAGCTCCAGGTAGAATTAACACTGGGGCTCTGGTTCTAAGGTTACTTTCAGGACAGGTTCCGCTCTGGTACAGGTTCTGAAGTGGATAAACTTTCAGTTTTGTACTTTACTTTAGAGCAACCTTTAAATTTTTATCCCACCTAGTTGGGATCAGGGGTGAGCCTTATCACAATCTTCTAAGTTTCACATATCTTGGACTTTAGGTTTGGTCCTTGTTTCTCAGTATCCACGTTAATAAATCTTGGATCTGCAGGTTGGTCTACTCTTATATCAGGTCTACAGAAATTTACAGTTAGATATGGGCCAACATATATAATAGTTATCAAATACCTCCTTTCCTTTAGACAAGTCTGATTGTTCTCTGGATGACTTTTCTTCTTTATCTCCAACAAATCTGGTTCTTTATCTTCAGGAAGCTTCTTCTTTATGTTGATAATTCTACAATAGTACTTATGTAGGGAACATGCAACTGGCTGATTTAATTAATCTTTTACCTCAAGATTGGTTTTATCAACTTAACACTCCTCCATATATCTTCTTTAACTGTATTCACCTTCTAAATATATTGAACTTGACTTGTGTCTTGATCTCTAATTATGATTTTCTATACCTTTCTAGAGATGGGAAGAGTTGAAGTTTAGACTTTTTCTCCTTAATCTCCCATTGTTCTGCAACAATATTCATTTGCATGACCATTTTGAGTTTTTTATAAAAGCTTGGAACATTACAATAAAATTGGTAAATTTAAATTAAGACCAAACATTTAAAACATTTTCCTTTCTTTTTATAAAGTATACAATATATCAGCCATTTTAATCAAAACGTCACATATATCTATTTGCTGTCATTAGATAGACTTCTAAGCTTGAAGTTTATTTTGAGTTGAAATTGTCCATCCTTGAATCTTATTTTCATCTTTTTCTGGTTCCTGCAGTCTGATCCTTAAATAGTAAAAGGTTTTACAGCCTAGTATGAGGAAAGCAGGTTTATTGTTCTGCATATTAGAAATTTAAAACTTTTCTAATTTTCTCAATTGACCTTCAGAAAAATAATTTTTACGGGCNGGAGTTTTTAAATGATTATCGTTTGACGTGAGACCACCCGGTTTCCTTTACTACAGACTACTCTTTTCATTAGAAACCCTGTTACTCTTGGGTTCATTAAAGAGAAAGTGTAGTACATCGTACAGTTCAAATATTACAACAAACTTCATGGAAAAAAACAAGAACGAAATTAATTGACTCTCTCTAGAAAGTGAAAATGTAATCTACTAAAGTCACGTGACTAATGTTATAGGTTTATTGTAAGGTGCCTGAAGTCCCTGAATTTCGTGAGATTTTTGTTCTTTTTTACATTTTACAAATGTGGTTCCATTTTTTAAATCAAAATATGTGTTCTCTAGGGTACTGCTGGTACTGGTGTTAATCTACTTCAAGAGAGGAAACCTATCCCTAGAGGAGTACACAGAATACAACTTCTGGACTGCTCTCTATATAGCTCATGATATAGAAGAGGAGGTCACGTTCTTCAAGTATGAGATACTTCCCTGGGCGCTCGGAGAAAACTGGGACAACGAGAAGACTTCGTTCTTCGACAACAAGGGATATATAAAACCAATGTAAAGAGAACTAAGGATAGCTGGGATAGGGTTGGTTGACATGTTTCCGTGATTTAAAAGAACTAGTTTTTGTGTAAATATTAACAAAGATTCCAAACAGGACAGAAGTATATGACTAGAAATTACATTCAATTTAACGTTTAAATAACCCAGGAGAAATTCTGCGCCTATACATTTTTCGAAATGTGTAATCTATAAACATAAAGATTAACTGAAAAATAGAGTTTCAAATCATTTTATAAATATTATGAGTTGAACGGACTGGGAGCGTAATTTAAAGTGCAACTTTCCGTCAAAGCGGGACATCCACATGATTCACAACGGTACCTTCAACCGTTGACTGATCATCGAGGACAGAGAACTCAGTGTATATATCTCTTATATGCCATGTAAAAAAAACCGTAAAATTTGAATGTACGATAGCGTACTTTGTGAACTCAATACATATTCCAGAAAAATTCATTGAACATTCATTGTTTTCAAAAATTCGAATGTGACTATTTACAATTTCTTTACAATACTTCTTAAAAGTAAATGTATTAATATTCCTTAAATATTAAACAGCTTGCAAACAAAGTGTTCAACATTATAAGGGTTTCTGTAGATAAATAAGGAAACGTCTGTCATCCTTGATCAGTCAAAGGTTTAATAAAGTAAAACTTAAAATTACACTTCATTTTTACAGTTCATTTTAAGCACAACGTGAAAAATAAGCTAAAGGTTTGATTTATCTCCTGAAGTTAAATCTGTTCAAACGGATGAATTACCGAGCTAGTGTATCCGAACCAACCATCTTCGCTGTGCTGCACATGTTGAAGAATCCACAGATAGGTTTAAGGGTGAGGAGAGATGATCATGTTGGAAACTGGAAACGTGAAGAGGATGCACATGAGTTTGCAGATCCCAGAGGACCATACAGAACTCCTGAACCCTGTCTCAGGTCATATGATGCATTAAAATCAAAACTTTTGTATTTTAAACCTGTTCATTATGCGCTCCGTCGAGGGGTAAAATTTAATACGTCGAATGCGTCCACCCCTTTCTTAAAAGTTATTTCTTTATAATCTCACTATGCTTGGGAACCCAGCTTTGTATGAAACTCAGTTTTCTATAATAGTCAACAGCTATTCTACTTAGACCTTTTAAATTAAGCTAAAAATCCCATAGTTCTATCGAGTTCGCCAATCAAAGGGCAAATCGGTCCAGAAATTCCTGAGTTATGATCGGACATACATACAACAAACAGAGATTACTACTTTATATGCATAGATAATTAATTTCCCTGGAATAATGTTGTAACTCCTTCAATATTGTTCAAATGAGCACAATAGGTACCATGTATATGGATTTTCGTCCACGTGATGCTATTTTATAAAAATTGTTCTGAACCGTTGGTCGCACCATGAAAACTGAACGACGACGAATTTCATTTACTTTAAAATTCATTTTTTGTAAAATTTTCGTTGATGAACCCCATGACCACGGAAATGTTCTTAGCATAGTTTAAGAATTTAAAGTTTAGATTGTAAGAGAAAGGTATGTTTCCAGCTAGTGTGAAAAGATACAACAATAAAAAGTTTTATTATTTACTAATTACTAAGTCCCTGAAAACGGTGACCCTGAACCGCACAGTAAATTAAATAGTTATTTACAATTTGAATAATTATCGTAATATATAAACCATAGATGAAATTGCTGAATTCAGTAGTATTTTTTTCAAGCAATTACAAGCAAATACACTTGAGATTTATTTAATATCGTCTTCCTATTCCTCTTTTATTCTGTGAACCACTGTATTTTGCTAAGACTAATAATTCAGGTGCTGCTATAACAAGGCCCAGAGGGTGTTTGGAGATATTACTGATGACGAGATGGAATAGTCCTAAACATATTTAGCAGCAGACCAATGGGATTGTTAACAAACCTTGAATTAAATAAGTGTCATAAATGATTCACAACAGCACTGTAAATTAAAGAAATAATTGGAATAAGATAGATACTTTTATTTTCTGATTGATTGCGTTACAAGGAGTGGTTTTCTATTTCTTTTAGTAAGAATAACAACCATATAATATATCTATTAGAACTAACCAGGAGAAGAAGATCAAATTAAATTCACATTATCGGGATGAATTTGTGTTCTCGTTACTCCTGTAGTTCTGATTTTACGCTCAAGTATAAGAAAAGCAAATATATTTAGTTACATATTAGCAATTCAAAACAAGTTTTTTTTCGAGCAGTTACCATTAGTTTGAATTGTACTGTTGTGAATCCTCTTAATATATCTCGTTTGATGATGAGTTATTTAAAGTATTAAAAAGTTCAGACATTAATGTGAGTAAATTATCAAATATTTTGTCGTTGGTCTATTTTCTCATTCTGATCAATGTCATTGAAACAGTTTTGTTGGTTTAAACAAAATTTATGATATCTACGTATTCTGTAATTGTATCCATACCCACCCTAGCTAGCTGAGCTTTATCTTATTGATCGAAAAGTAAATAAAATAAAAATAAATAAAAAAAATCAACATTTATTCGTTTATCAAAAATTCCTGGGAATTCTGCATAGTTAATATACTGTACTTAATTATTCTGTTTGCGTCAAATTAATTTGCTATCTTCGGCCTAGGCTAATCGTGTGACGCAATTATAATTGTTAAATAATTTTCCGGTTCAAAAATTTTCCAATGTCACAATATCCATTGTAAATATGTATTTCAAAACTAGATTTTTAGACAATGAGTAAATTCAGGCAGTGATAAATTAAATCCATAAAATTTATTTGAATTAGTAAATGTAGAAAGGTAAAAGAAAGCAAAAACAAACTAATATGTTGTATTCGTGTCACGCTAAAGTGTAGTTTTAATCATAATTGTTAAAAAATTGTATATTAATATCAATTGTAATAGATTAATATTTCAAAATAACATCGTAATAAAATTCGTTAAAAATAAGTATTTTTCAAATTATATTTACTGGATTTTTATCACTGTTAAACAAAAATAATCAAATTGAATCTGTAAATGTAGAAAGTAAAAAGTATATTTATGTGAAGACAAGGTAATCTGTTCTAATGTTTCTGGTGACCTCCTTTTTGCTACTATAGTATGCTTCTCAGTTCCCCCTATATAGAAATCCAGTGTAAACATTTTTTAAATATAACTTTCTCTTAAAGCGGAACGAGTTTTTGTCATAACTCTAATTTTCTGAGCCATAAATCTTAGCAACCGTATGTCGTAGACTTTGATATTTCATGTTGTGAATTGTGTTAAATAATATAGTCTAGGTTTTCATCGTAAATGTTTACACATTTTTATATGAGCCTTAAATATTTTTTTTAAATGATACATTTAAATTTTCTGATTAGTCCCGAAAATCACAATTTAGAGCTATAAACAGTCCAATATGATGTGGGAAACTTGTCTGCTATAAACATAGATAAATAAATAAACATAGATAGCTTATGTACGCAAAATAACCAAGAATTGTACAGTCCGCGAACTCATACTTCTAGGGATCAAAGTGTACTTCAATGATAAGCGGAGTGGTTTGGTGTATTAATGGATTTCATAAATAGAGTGTAAAATAACTCCGGGAATGGAACTATTTGAACAACGATATTTCACTGAGCAATATATCATATTGACGAGAACTGAAGAAGGACATGAGGGTGCCATGACAAACTCCTGACAAGACAAACTCCTGAAAATACAAACTCCTGAAAGACAAACTCCTGAAATTATGAAATTTTTCTCTGAATGAAATATGATAAAATTCATAAACTTTAGGAGAAAAAATCCGCAAATATCCTAGAAAAAATTCTCAATCTTTAGTAATTTGAATATTCTTCAAGCTGAAAAGTATTACAATGATCAGAATAACCAGAAAATTTATTATTATTTATTTTTTATTATTTAGGATTAGGAATTAGGTTAAGACACTTTCTGGGCCGAGCGCTGCAGCTAGGACAGGCTAGGGGGCCGAGCGCTGCGGCCACATGGTCAATTATATCCATGTCTAATGTATAATTAGAATAGAATATAATTTAGATTTTAATTTTTTTCAAATTTGATATTATGGAGTTTGTATTTCAGAAGTTTTTATTTTCAGGAGTTTGTCTCGTCAGGAGTTTGTCTTTTCAGGAGTTTGTCTTTCAGGAGTTTGTCTTTCAGGAGTTTGTCATGGCGCCGACATGAGAAGGACAAACTTAAATTTCTCTCTACAGAACTCATGTACACCACAAGTACTCAATGACATAAGAACAGCCAATGTTCACAACCGACCTAGTTAACCTATATAATAGATCTTTAAAACATCTCTGTACATTTATATCTTTCAAGATGAAAAATGTCGTCTTATGCGCAATCTATCTTTATCTATGGCTGTAAATATAAAATATGAACTTTTTGTCAAACACAAGGATCGAACGCCAAAATGTTAATTAAACGACTCCTTCTAAAATTAAAAACTATATACTAGGGCACTTTTTCGAGTAATTTCAAAAGATTATTGGGGCTTTAAAACGCTAATCCTTTTTTGGATCACCCTGTATATCTATGCAAGAAGATTCAATAAACATGAGAATCAAGAGATGAAAGTTGGATTCAATTTATCCTCGCAAAAAAACTTTTTTTGACTTGCTCGTTTTGGGTAACTTTGGTTCATATTAATCTCAGGATTAAGAATCAAACATAATCACCATTTGGTTACCAACCTTTAGAAAAGACGGAGACATCATTTATTTTTGTCTCATGTTTATTGAACACCTTGTTAAAATATTTTAGTTTGTCAATACTTGATCTTATCTTTACTATTGATCTATCCCAGCCCTGATTTTATCTGTTCTTTATTCTTATTCAAGTTTTATTCTCAATCATAACCTACCGGTTACCAGTCATAACTCAAGGTAGGGGTACGCTAGGCCATTAATCTTGCTTCTCATGACGTCTTATCCTTTATGATATCATTGTCATTAATTAATCATTAATTGTCAACTAATTTATAGTAGATAAATCTGAATAGCTATATAAATTATCCATGAAGACCGGGCCGACTTTGAAGTTTTTTTCCAGCCCAACCCACTTAATATTGTTTATCGCCCGGCCCTGGCTGACTGAGATATAGAAAACTCTGAAAGTTAGTCATAACATTTTCAAGAGAACTTGACTTAAAAGTGTCGCGCGCAATGCCTTGGCCGTGGATTTTACTTCATCTTCTCACTTACGCTTTTTTGTAGCCCTAGACAATAGACATATACATTTTAAAAATGCCCTTGCTTCTAGCTTATACTTGAAATGAGTAATTGGCAAAATACTGCTCGGTTTTTGCGTAAGAACGTGCACATCTTGGTTTGCAGTGGGCCTACGCTTTCTAGGCGTCAAAAATCCCCCCCTTCCTAAAACTGCCTCCTCATCAAATGAATTGATACAAATCCAAAGACCGGTATTCAATCATGATCTATTAAATCATTTTGTTTGAAGGGCAGGGTAGGATAGATTATATTTGATCTTTTATTATAGCGTTGTCACGAATATTTTTAAAAGCTTGGGGACAAAATTTACTTAAAGGGGACTTTAAATATTTAGGGCCACCGTATTCACCCATTTATAGTCCCCACGTCGTTCTGTTTGTCGGGTTTATGCAAAGGAATTGATTTTTTCTCACAAACTCTGATTTTCTAATTTCAATATCGTTGCAACCCAATATCGTAGACCTTTAATATTTCAAACTATGAATGATATTAGATTAAATAATGTAAGTTGGAAATATCAAAGGTTTACATCATAAGGTTGCAAAGATATAGGTTTTACAAAAACTGAATTTGTGGCAAAGACTCAATTCCTTTAGTATATCTCTCTTAAACCACTAAGAGTTTTTAATATGCATGGCCAATCCTGCACATTTTGTAATAGAAGAACTCTTTTTATTGCTTTAATGAATTGGAGTCAGGAAAAGTTTACCAATCTCTTGAGGTCCTTGAGCCCTTTCTGCCCTTCCAGTCTACTTTATATGTTCTTTGTTTCTTCTTAAATTTTTCTTCTTATGCTCTTTTATTCTTAGTTATCTTAGAGATCATTCAGTTTGTAAAGATCGAAAAAAATATGTACGTGACTCCTAAAGATCTGGTCGACGGAGAGGGAGGAAGGGGGGGCTTCAGTTTAAGCCTCTTCGTGTGTGGCTGTCTCAGTTCAAATACAGATCGTCCCAATTATCACATTAGATTATCTCCAAGCTTTAACGCCAACATACCCACATAATCCTCTAAAAACCTGGTATTTTCGACAAGACTTTTTAATTAGCCCTATACAGCTTTTTAAATAATTTTTTTTTAATTGTCTGATTAGTCCCTTAAATCTCAATTTATAGCTATAAACGATCTAATATGATGTGGGACACCCTGTAGATAAACGATCTAATATGATGTGGGACACCCTGTAGATAAACGATCTCATATGATGTGGGAAACCCTGTAGATAAACGATCTAATATGATGTGGGACCCTGTAGATAAACGATCTAATATGATGTGGGACCCTGTAGATAAACGATCTAATATGATGTGGGACACCCTGTAGATAAACGATCTCATATGATGTGGGACACCCTGTAGATAAACGATCTAATATGATGTGGGACCCTGTAGATAAACGATCTAATATGATGTAGGACCCTGTAGATCCTTTTAAAGTTTAATCATTAAGTCTTCTAATTGTTAAACTTTCTAGCTATTTTATATCGTACTTAATCTCTGTTAATTTCCTGTCCATTCTCTTTCTTTCATTTCTTTGTCCCAACATTTCAGCCTCCAATCTCCATATTTTTAAATCAATTTAACTCCTCATTTCCGAATCTACAGATCACCTTTAGTGAATTAGGAAATTCGAATTAAAATTCGACGACCAATTGAACCTTACATCATTGCAGTACAGTTTTTCGTTTAAATTTCTTCAAGCATTAAATCTTATACTAGCTAATTGTAAAGAGTTACGACCAAATATTAATGATTTTTCTCCATATCTTTAGTCATCTATAAAATGGTTATACAAATGAAGAGTTTTTGCTTAAACCCAACTCCTAGTTTTGCAAGCACCCGGAGAAGTATCTGTCCCTCTGTATTGGCTGGATGTAAACTACCTGTCTGAGTCTCATTGGTTCGCTACAAGGTCCTCTACACTCTAGTCTACAGTCAGTCTTGGGTCGGACAAATATCTGTCAAATCCTTTCAACCTGTTCTAATATTCTTCTAACATATAATCAAGCTTCTTATAAAAACCATGAATAAAGTGAGACTGTGAATTTAAAAAGATAAGTTTATTTGAGTGTTAATAGTTAAAACTCGCGCTGCTGATGTAATACTGGTTGAAGAAGCGAGATAAACGATCAGCTGAGTTTAAAGAATTTAACCCAATTTCATGATTTTATGCGCAAAGCTTTCATTTATGAGCATATATCGAAGTTGTGTTTAAAAACTAACTATATCTTTGGTGCCACACATATTTGTGCAGTTTTTATACATTCATTTCTTTCCATTTTATTTTCTATGCGCTAAGTTTTATCATAAATTGTATCTTACTGAACATGTTTATTTGAGCGTCTTCAATGTTTAATAATTCATTATATTTTGATTTTTTGAGAGTGAGACCAAGTTAAATTTGAATTTAATGCTTAAAGATAATTAAAAATACAATACAAAACAATTAAAATACACAGTTAAAGATCATACTATATCTTGTCATGGGACACATTGTACAATTACATTACTTTGACTCGAAAAGTGGTATTTTGTCTTATTTGTCTATTTTTTACGAATATTTCTCTTAAAAATTCACGTTAGTCCTTATTCATCTATTTTATTTAAATTTTCTTTCTGTGTTGGTGTTGTATTTTACCTTATTTTTATATTTTCATTTCTATTTGATTAAAATTTTATCATATGTTTTCTTTTTTGCTTTGTTTCTATTCTCGTTAGCTGTCCGTTGTGCTTGAATGGACTGTAAGCCTAATTTAAAGTGGCCCTCCATGCAAACGGTACCATTGAAACATTTATCTCATCAATAATGTGGAAGATATTGTCGTTTTTCAAGGTTAAAAAGTGTTCAATTCTGATTCTACATCAGACAGAGCTTTAAAGGGTACCGTTGTGATCTTGACAGATTTTCTTAAATTTAAGGTTTCCTGTCTAGATATTCTTAAATTCAAGGTTTTTTGTCAAGATATTCTTAAAATTCAAGGTTTTTGACAAGATATTCTTAAAATTCAAGGTTTTCTGTCAAGATATTCTTAAAATTCAAGGTTTTTGACAAGATATTCTTAAAATTCAAGGTTTTCTGACAAAATATTCTTAAAATTTAAGATTTTCTGGCGAAACGTTCTTAAAATTCAAGGGTTTCTGACAAGATATTCTTAAAAAGTGTAAACTCATAAAATTCGTCGACTATAAACCTTTAAGTTTGATTTTTGTATTATGTCTTGCATTTATGTAGTCTTGTTTATTGCAGAGCTTAAGGATCCTTTCCATAGGATACGGATCCGGATCCGGATCTGTCACGTTAAGAATCCAGCCCAAGAATTTTTCTATAAAATTTTATCAATATTTTTATGATTTATCAAACTTTAAAAGAAAGTTCTTTTTACTTTGAATATATTCTGTGCTCGTCTTCAATTCTTTGTGGATAGCTCTACAGGGTTATTTTTCATGTCATCCTTATGCCTTTCTTTTATATTTTCCTCCTCGCATCTTTTATCTAATATTTATGAATTATATTTAAACAAACATTCTCTCTTATCTTCTCGGTCCTGCTCTTGTCAAATTAAAGCAATATTATGGGCCCACCAAGGTTAATAACAGAACTTGTTGAAAGTTTAACAAGGATTATATTCAGTAGAAATAGTATAAACTTATAGTTGTGTTAAAAACCGTTCTTTTCTTTTTGTGGAAAAAATCGCTGAAAAAGCTACAAATGCTTTTACTTTGATTTCACGCCCCCGCGTTATTAAACACTTGAGATAGTGCAGGAATGCTTGGAATTTTATCCTTATTAATGGGTTTGCTGAAAATTGAAGAATTCATTCCCCAGAACAGAGTTATCCTCAATCTTTTTATATTTGGCCGAGTTCCAGGCTTCAACCCTCCCCCTATCCTTCAAACCCTCCCCAAACTCTCTCAGTATCCCTAGATTCTCTGAAACCCTCCCCTAAACATTAAACTGGTCAGGGGCGTAGCCTGGATATACTCTGTGTATTGTACAGTGTACAGGATACAAAAGTACAATGTACACAATTTTTCTAGATTCCTTTTATTGAGAACTCTAATATTACTCGGCGGTTTAAACAAAAAACAAAATTCTTATCTTCAAGCTCAGTTTAATTGATTAATATTTCAGAGAAGGATGTATATATGAAATCCAGGGTATAGATGTTGAAGTCGTGCAGGATGTTGGTGCGACTATGTGTCTCTGTCCTCGTTGTATGCGGGTCAGCTATGACTCGTGCCGGTAGTCCAGGTATTCCCCTTAGTCCTTGTCCTTGCTCCCTTAGAGCTTCAGGATTCCTTTAGTAAGACTCAGTCAGCAGCTTACATAGTTATCCCTCAGATATTAGGTTAAATACTTGCGGAGTTTATTTGATCTTGAATTTGAATAGTTATACGAGAAGTTATGAAATATGATCTGTATTGTTTTACCTTTACTGATTTAAACCTAGGATTGTACTTGAAGGATTTCGTATAATTATCTAAATCCTCAATTTTTAAAGGAACTGTACACCAATAACAAGATATGTTGGTTAGTACTGGTTTCTCACAGTTATAGAATTCAAGTTTTTTATTTACTTCGGTCGATATATGCCATGCAGATTTTTAATTGTATAATTAAGGCTGTTAGAACTTAGTTTTGTTGGCTCTTTCTTTTTATATGGAGGGGGGGGGGGAGGGGCCTTCGAATTGCATTTCTATTTCTTGTTCACCCGTCTAATCAGTTAGTTTAATCAGTGCTGTAGAAATCTACAACTTTTTTTCCATAAAATTAGTTTCAATGTATAGGAAATGAAACCGTGATATCGCTATCATTGTTTCTTAGATGAATTAAAAGCTAAGCTGTGAGTTGTCGACCCCATAAAAAGGGCTGAAAAAGACTACGCGAACAGTCTCTTTAGTAAAAAATTCTTTTGAAATTACCTATAGAAAATTGTCCACTGAAAAAAATCGAACTTTCTCTGTTTTGCAAACCTTCATGATGCATGCATTGATCTCCAAGAAATCCGATAAGGGCACCGTATATGGCCTATTGTGAAATCTGAATACACAAAATAAAGTCCCAAACTTTATTTAAAGTGGGGGAGAGGGGGGGGGTGGGGGAGTTAACCATATAGGTATTTTCATTCTTCTTAAAAATGACAAGGATCTGTGCCGCAAAGTTCCCTGAATTTCTTGACATGGTTTATATATTTCTAGAGTATGTTGTTGAGTATGAGGAGTTGTTGAGTAAGGTAGAGGATAGAGCAGGTCTTCTAGCAATTAAAGCTCTTCACCAGCAACTTGATGATGATAATGATGGAACTATTGAACCTTCGGAGACAGGAGACTTTATCAAGGCAGATCTCAAGGTAATAGAAAATTCAGTTGATCAATAAGTATTGGATCATATTTTACCTTGTAGTTTGATCAGCTGTTGCTTCAACCATTGTTAAATGATACTAATCAATCCTCTCCTTTTTAGAACTCCAGTTGATCAATAAATATTGATTTTTTACTAAATTTATCAGCTGTTGCTTCAAACATTGTTAAATTAATCCCATACTATTTACAACTCCGGTTGATCATCTTTACATAAATCATTAATTTATTCTTTCTGATCTTGTAAATCAGTTAGCTGTTGTTTTAAAAATTGGTTTTAGTCATTTATGTATTCACTCAATCATATAATAGTTCGAATTCAGTTGTATCAATACTTTTATAATTCATTTATTATTACATTGTTGGCTGTTTCTCCTAACACTTTTATCAAATAGTACATGGTTTTAATCAAGCATCTACCATTTTCAAATCCTATTTGATCAACACTTTCTTACTTAAACCAACAATTCATTTACTCAGATCAAGTAAATCAATCAGCTGTTGTTACAACCATATTGATAATTTTTTACGTCAACTTGTAGTTAATGTTCTCTGATCTGAAAAATCAATTAGCTGGTGTTTAGAAAAATTGGTTTTGGTTATTGATATTTAATCAATTAACTAATAGTTCAAATTCAGTTAGTCAATACTTCTTGATCTTTTCTGTCTTAAACCAATAATGCATTCACTCAGAACACGTGAACCAATCAGCTGTTGATTCAAACATTTAGATATGGTTCAATCAATCCTCCAATACCAGTTGATTATTACTTATTGATCATCTTTTACATTAAACAGTAGTTAATGCACTCTCATCTAGAAAATTTATTTGCACTTGTGTTTTACAAGTTGTTAAAATGATAGCTATTTATATACAGGGTGTCCCACGAAACATGACAGTTTAGAATGTCTTCTTCCATAATTTGTTAAGTTGTTTGATACCAAAGACAATACTACAAATATTATATGGGAGTCATGTTATAGTGAAATTGGTTTCAAAGTAAAATATGTTTCAGAAAAAGAATTTTTTATTGAAATAAACTGTAAAAAGCCTTTAATATCTAATAAAGTTTATTAAAGACGACTTTCATAACTATTTACCAACTGTCATGTTTCTCGGGACACCCTGTATCATAACAAACCTAAATGCTTATTGATACACTATAAAATGTCAAATTAAGAGTTTCATTTTTATTTTCTACCTATTAAATCAATTATTTGTTAGTCAAACATCGTTATTAAAGGGACTGTAAACGTAATGTTTAAGTGACCCTCCATGCAAAGATGGCAATTTCCGATTTACAATTGTACCCTTAAGAGCTTCGTCTGATCAATATGAATTAGAAATTAAAATTATAACTTCGAAAACTGATTATTTTTAATTGAGGTTTTTCTACAAAGTGACGTGCGTATTTCTACTGCAGGAAAGCATGTAGGAATTATCAGAAGTAAACACCTTTTAGCATAGAAAAACGAGAATATATCTTTCACATTATTGTTCAGATAAAGTTTTAAGGGTACCGTTGTAAATCGGACAAGGTGAATTTCTCATTGAGGTTTCTTAAAACTACGCTTACGCCTTACCTAAAGTCTCTTTTGTAAATATTTAATTCTTTAAATAAAATCTTAACACTTAACTACAAGACGTTAACTACATAGTAGGTTAAAAGTAAGTATTATCCGCGCTCATTTATCTAAATTCGACATGTGTTTTTAAGAATGTAAATGTTACATCACATGAAAAAACTTATTTCATTGATTTTAAGTAAATCTTTCTCCGTCCTACAGACAATCTTTTATTTTTTTATTTTTTTTATTTATTTTTTACAGATAAATATATACAGCATTACATGAAAAGGGTGTAAAGTCGTATTGTTTGCTTGGCAAGATTGTTTTCTCTTTAGCAAGTTCTAACAAGAAATATAATTAGAATAATAAAGTAACTGCATGCTTATTGCTTATTGCTAACTGCTATTACATACATCAGAATATTTTTTAAATGAGTCATACTCTGGTCTAGGGATAAACAGAAATATTTTTTTAATTCCCCTATTTGCATTTCCCGGACTAATTGCAGCTTCAAGATATGAAGCCTAGAAAGCGCTTCATCCTACTTTCCCGTTGTATGAAGCATCATGCAATTTCTCCCCCCAGTCAGTCATTAATCATTCAAGTTTTCTCTGGATACTGTTTGAATATAATTAGGGAGAATTCACTTCATGCTTCTCCGCAAGGTTATTGCTTCCTAGAAGGAGGAGTAATAGAATTTAATATGGGACGATAAGGCGTGTTTACATTTTTCTGTGACGTAATAGGATAGATCTGGAACTAGTGTGAAGTGCAAGGAGTATCACTTGTGTACGTTATTGTACACTTAGTACAGGGTGACCCACTTCATATTGGATTAATTAAAGAGCGTATTCCATGGATAAAAAGGTTTCATGCAGATGCGGTTATAAAGATGCTGAAAATATATATTTATATATTATTCTATTAATCGAAGAGATAGGTACGAATTTAATCTTTGCCACAAACTCAAATTTTCTAATCCCAACATCTTTGCAACCTGATGATGTGACCGTTGATATTTCAAACTTATCTCATCTAACAGAATTCATAGTTTGAAATATCTAAGGTCTACTACAATATATGGATTATAAAATCAGAGTTTGTGGAATAGACGCAACTACTTGGTAAGCATATCTACAAAAAACAACGTCTTCCGTGGAATGCGAGTTCCGTATTTAAACCAATATAACTTGGGAAACACTGTAAAAAGTAAACCGTCCTACCACCCTCACCTAAATTCTATTTCTCCTTGATTGCTCTTTGCTTCTGTCCATTCACATATTAGTTCAATGTTTAAATGCACATTATGAATTTTGAATGTGTTCTTGCTTTGTTTTTGTTTTCTTAAACTTGGGCCTCTTCCTTCACCTTGCTTTTCTAAACTTTACACTACTGAGGGAAAAATGCGAATCTAGATTCCAGAATTCTCAAGGGAAATTTTATCAAAGAAGTATTTCTATTAGATTAAATATTCTTTAGGTATATATCATCAATGCTATTATTGAGTCCCATGAACAAAGATGAATATGTAGATATTGATTATTTGAAAACATTTATTTTATGATTAAACCAAGTTTATAATAAAACCCAACATGTACACCATCCTTTCAAATCATTGTTACCTCAGTTACAGTGAACAAAACAATGCACAATCCCTTAAACTGAAAAGATGGTTCCTATGGTTCTGATATAGCATGCCCCCCGCCCCCCCCCCCCCCCCCCCCCCGGTAATCTATAAATCTGCTAGAAGATAAACTACCCTGTAAATACAGCAGACACTGTGCTCATGTTGGCAATATATCTCTTAACACAACTAACCTAGTAGACCTTGATCACTTCTCTCTCCGTTCTAGCTTTTAGAAAACAGTTTTCTATAATTATTTTAGAGATTAAATGAATTGAGTCTTTGCTACAAACTCTGATTTTCTAATCCCTATATCTTTGCAACCCCATGTTTAGACTTTGAAATATCAAACTATAAATTCTGTTAAAATATCAAAGGGTTTTCACCATCACAGATTGAAAAAATATATGGATAAGAAAATCAAGTTTAAAAAACTAATACTTAAAGTTGCTTTCAACTAGGACAAAATCCTGAAAGGACAGGTTTCTACAGGTTGAAAAGATGTAAGGATTAGAATATTTGAGTTTGTGGCCAAGACTCTATTCCTTCAGACTTGTCATGGTTCATAAGGACAAATGTTTAAACTGCCTTTTAAAGGAGACAACTAAACTTCAAGTCGCCCATCATAAGATAAGATAAATTAAGAGATGTTCTCTTTAAAGTTTAAAGGACAATGATTTTATAGTTTTAGAATCACACTTAAACCTTTCTGTCAAAAATATCTTGATTTCAATTGGTTTTCTTTACTTATTTACGTGTAGAGGCGTTTTTTATATATCTTTTCAAATTCTGGATATTTACTCTTATGATCTCATTTAAGAATCATTAAACTCTCCCACTATTAAATTAAAGTCAAGGTTAGATTGTAGTTTATAGAATTCATATAGATGCATGAGGGGATATAAAACAATATAGGGAAATAAAATGATGCAATGCAGGGAAATAAAATAAACATGAAACAATGGAACGCATTACAAGTTTAAATTTTTCATATTTGTTACAAAATTCCGCCATAAAATTTTAAATTAAGGTGATAATAATAGCACTAGGCTTGGTTGGATTAAACCATCCTAAATCTGGATTAAACTACCATAGCAGTTCAAACCGGCACTATACAATTACTCTAAGATTAAATGCATCGTTTTGATTCTTTGTTGTTTTGTTTGCTTAGAATTGATATTTTATAAGCTTTTATAGTTATAAATACAAATAGGGTTTCCAAAAATGTGGAGAATTCTTAAAAACTAAATTCTGGAACACCCTGTCTGTAAATCTTCTTAATTTCCATCTGCTTAATGTGGTCCATCACCTATCGGCTGCATGGGGATACACTAACTAACTATTTATTAACAATCCTAGTCGGTGATAGCAGAGGATGGAGCTCCAGGTTTCCTAGCTAGCAATGATAACAATCACGCTTTGGTTCAGTTTGACGGGGACGGAAGGCGTGAGAAGCTGTTCCACAAGAAGGACTCGGAGATTACGGTCTCTGATCTCTGGATAACCTGGGTAAACTCCGAGGTATACAACTGGACTGTGGAGCAGACTGTAGATTGGTTGTCTAACAATATAGATCTCCCACAGTACGCTCCAGTGTTCCTCAGCAACAAGGTGGACGGAACCAAACTCCCCTTGGCTGCTGGAGATCCGTCTTATCTCTCTAAGAAGTTGGGAATCAGTAATTCTATTCATCGATCCAAGATCTCCTTGAAAGCAATGGATGTTGTCCTGTTTGGTCCACCAAAGGAACCAACCAACTGGTTGAAGGACCTAATCCTCAGTGGTCTCCTTTTAGCCTTGATCAGCGCCTTGTTCTGGGCGTACAACCAGAAGAAGAAGTCAGAGGAGCACCTGGCGAAGATGATTAAGGACATGGACAGCTTGAACAAGGCGGAGAAGATGCTGCAGGATATGCAGAGTAAGATCAACAAGAATGAGATTAGTTATACTCCTGTTGATCAGCTGGGCGTAGGAGAGGAGGAGGTTGAAAGGTTGAGGGAGGAGGTGGAGATTCTCAGGAATGAGTTGATGAAAGCTGAAGTAGAACTGGAGGATAAATGCTGGGTGGCTCCGACTATACTTCAGGTAACCACATTTTTGCGCTATCCAGCATTTATCACAAAGAATAGAAATAAAATATGTTATGGCAGAAATTTTAAAATGACATGAAAATACTCTTTAGAGAAGTTTCCCTTCAGTAAAACATAGGGTTTCAAATCTGAATTTCGTTGTGCGGAATTGCGCTGAAATTACAGGGCCCGCAATTGCGCGCAAGTAAAATCTACTTGCGTTGGAAACCCTAGTAAATTCTTTTTATACGCGGACATTTTTTTTTATTTAATAAAATACAAATTTTTTGAATTTTTTGTGTAGTTCTTGTCATCTAATTTTTGTAAAATATACCCCCCCCCCCTCTTTATCTTTATCTAATGATTCTCTTGTTATAGCACTGGCTACAATTAACCTACGAGATAGAGAGCCAAGTCTACAATGAGAAGCGTAAAGTTGCTGAGTCCCAGATGGCACTGGCTAAGGACGCATGTGAGAAACTGAAGCGGAAAAGATCAAGTCTCGTGGGAGCATTCGTCTCAACCCACGGCAGGTCTATAGACGATGTGGATAAAACTATCCTGGAAGCTAAGACTGCATTAGTGGAGCTGACCCAAGATCTAACGGAGCGGAGCAGGAGATGGAGACAAATAGAAATCCTTACTGGGGTTTCTATAGTCAGTAACCCGGGCCTTCTAACACTACAGAAAATAGGTAAATATTAAACTATAATTTATTTTAAAAACGTCAGAATTTAATGAATTTGAGCCACGTCTCAAATCCACCAAAAACTGGTTTCAATTGAGCGCCGGCTTAAATCTTGAAACTTTAAATAAAATTTTAAGTGGAACCAACTAATTTGAGCCGCGTCTTAAATTTAAGCCGCGGCTCAAATTCTTCAGATTCGGCCTCTATTAAACATGAATTTAAATGGAGAATTTTTATTGATTTAAATCATTGAACCTTTTTATTTATATTAAATTGATTTGTTTTTGTTCAGTGAGGTATGTTGGAGGAGGGAATAAACCTGCTAGAACTGGAATGTCCTCCCGAATGTCTAATGTATCCCTAGATGATATGCACGATGATGATGCTCGAAGTATCGCTGCCAGCTCCCACATGTCCTCACATCTCTCCGTTAACAGATCATTAACTTGTAAAGACTCGGCGTTACGTAGAGCAGCATTCGAGATCTCCAGGGAGTCGAGCAAAGAGTCGAGTAACAGCGAGTCTGACGATCATATAGAGAAACCGAAAGAAATCTTGAGAAGTAGAATCAGCCAGAGTAGTATGTCCAGTGATACATCAAGGTTGAGTCAGAGATCTGAACCATCTCGCTCTGCAACCCCGCCCCTGTCTCTAAGTCCGACCCAGAGAAGGTTGAGGATGGTCAAATCGTTCAGCCAGGACGCATCCCACGAAGGGACAGTTCCTACAGAAATGACGGGGAGTGTGAGTGAGGGAGCGCTCCATACAACACTCTTACATAGGGTTAAAGGAAGCAAACCAGTATTGGACGAGGTAGGAGCAATGGTGGTGGGTTTTTTTGGGGGGGGGGGGGGGGGCCAAGTTAAGGAAAACTGAATATAGTTCTGGTGGGGAAGGTTTTTATTTTTATAGTTGTTCCTCTTTACTCATTTAAACTTACTTTTTGATGAAGCTTAGAATCTTTTGTTTAGATTGAGGAATCCTGCTCAGCTAGTGACACGGGTTCATTGTCAGACCTTACTTTAGGTGAATGTCAACCATTTTATTCTAACTTTTTCTTCTTTAATGCCATTTATGTTTTGAAAGTTTTCTACGTTCAGAGCTGGGTATACTTTAGTGTTAGATTCTCAATATCCCTTCGATCTCGATATTCACTGTAATCACTTTTAATTTGAGGATCTATAAAAAAACATTCCTTTCCATATCTTCATTTTTTTATTCATCCCTTCAATTTCTCTGACTGGGTAAGATTACAATGATTGATATCGAATAAGAGATTAAATTAATCTGCAGATTAACATAAGTTCGAGATCTAGCATTGTTCTTAGTTTTAATTCCTTGAGAGATTTTATGAAATAATTAATTTTTGTCTCCTACAACTCATCAATATTTATAGATATTTTTTCAGAAGGAAAGAAGAAAGAGAAAAAATCTTTCTTCAACTTCCGTCGGAAAAAGGAGAAGGTTGAGACGCTCAGCTGATTACGGTTTTTGCTCCGAGGTGGAGCAAAACCTAAAGTAGTGAAACCGAGAGCAGGAGTTTCTCTTCTATCTGCTCAAATCTCCGGACCATATAGACAAGACGGAGCCGTGAGCAAATCCAGCTCCGATAATCTGAAATTTAACTCCTGTCTTATCCAACCTGGTAAAACGGTTGACCAACGATGCCATTCAGCTAAATTTGATTTTAACAAGTTTAAATCCTTTGTTTCTTCATTGAAAAGAAGATAGCGTAAATTATAATGCTACAATTTATGTAAATTAATTTTAGATTCGAAAATGAAATTAAAGTGTCATCTTTATGGGAGCTTGATCTTATTCTGGCATTTTATCCATCCAGGTTGTTAGCCGGTCAAGCTCAAATATTTTAGTGATAACAAGTCTCAATCATGATTCAACAGTTCTTCGAGAACGTTTTAGTTTCGTGGATTAGTCGGACCTTCAACCAAGATGGTTCTATTTTAGCTCTTGATAATGCAAACTAGTGGTATTATATTGAAACCTTCTCGTTTCTTCCAAGTTGTTATTTTACAGATTTTATAGATGAATTTTACAAGTTTTTTTCGGGGCGTTTTTGCCGTTTTTGGTAAGCATATATTTGCTTTAATTGTATTTTTTGAAACATTTAAATTGCGGCTTTAATACGGGAATCCCGGTAACTGTGATTTTTCGACATTATGTTTGTTGTTATTCTATTTCATATATTTATTACATTGGAGCCTTAGGCCCTCTTTTACATACAAATGTGCTATTTAACACCTTAGGTTGTGAAAAGTCATCTTTCCCTAATTATGTGTACATGATACAACTATATTTGAATGTACTAATAAGTTATATTTATCATTAGAAATTAGTATTTAAAGTTACCAATGGGAAATCTTTTTAGGATTTCCCCAAAACCTTCTTGATAAATAAATAAACCTTCTTTCCTTCTTGATAATTATGTTATTATCACTAAATAGTAATACTATAGTATACTATATCTATATCCGATTCTTTTAATCTTTTTAAATATTTATAGTTTCCCATTGTGTCATTATTAAAAACTTATAAATTACAATTCGTGAGATTTATTGAATTAACTAAATTGTAAACTTAATTTTGTTAAGAATATTATGTAAATATGCATTCTACATATATCGGGTTCCAGGTTCCTAGTTTATTCCTGTATTTTTGGTTCCTTGTTTACTCTTGTATTCCAGGTTCCTAGTATACTCCTGTATTCCTGGTCTAATATACTCCTGTATTCAAGGTTCCTAATATACTCCTGTATTTCAGGTTCCTAGTATACTACTGCAATTCTGGTTCCTAGTATACTCATGTATTCCTGGCTTCTAGGTTATTCCTGTGATCTTGGTTCCTAATAAACTCCTGTATTCCTGGTTTCTAGTGTACTGTATTCTAGGTTTCTAGATTACTCCTGTATTCCAGGTTCCTTCTAAATTACTGGTTACAGTAGTATTTTACTGCATTCATGGTTCCTAGTATACTCCTGTATTCCAGGTTCATAGTATACTCCTGTATTCCAGGTTCATATTATACTCTTCTATTCATGGTTCCTAGTATTCTCCTGTATTCCTGGTTCCTAGTATACTCCATTATTCCTGGTTCCAAGTATTCTTCTGTATTCACGGTTCCTAGTATACTCATGCATTCCAGATTCATAGTATTCTCCTGTATTCATGGTTCTTAGTATACCCCTGTATTCCAGGTTCATAGTATACTCTTGTATTCCAGGTTCATAGTATACTCCTGTATTCCAGGTTCATAGTATACTCCTGTATTCCTGGTTCCTAGTATATTGCCTTATTCATGGTTCATAGTATACTCTTGTATTTCAGGTTTCAAGTATACTCATGCATTCCTGGATCAAAGAATACTCTTGTATTCATGGTTCCTACTATACTCCTGTAATCCGGGTACCGAGTATGCTTCTGTATTCCTGGTTCCTAGTATATTCCTGTATTCTTCCTTGTATACTTCTGTATTCCTGGTTCATAGTATATTCCTGTATTCTTCCTTGTATACTTCTGTATTCCAGGTTCCTAATATACTCCTGTATTCCTGGCTCCTGGTATATTTCTGTATTCCAGGTTCCTAGTATACTCCTATATTTTAGGTTCCTAGTATATTCCTGTATTCTAGGTTCATACGTCTGCATTCCTGGTTCCTAGCATACTCTTGTATTCATGGTTCCTATAGTATACTCTTGTATTCTTGGTTCCTAGTATACTGCTGTATTCCAGGTTCATATTCCTGTATTCCAGGCTGCTAGTATACTCCTGTATTCCAGGTTCCTAGTTTACTCCTGTATTCCAGGTTCCTATTATACTGAATTCCTGGTTCATAGTATACTCTTGTATTCATGGTTCTTAGTTTACTCCGGTATTCATGGTTCATAGTATACTCCTGTATTCCTGGTCCTTAGTATACTACTGTATTCTTGGTTCCTAGTATACTCCTGTATTCCAGGTTCTTTTTATACTCCTGCATTCCAGGTTTCTAGTATACTCCTGCATTCCAGGTTTCTAGTATACTCTTGTATTCCAGGTTCATAATATACTCCTATATTCCAGGTTCATAATACTCCTGTATTCCAGGTTCATATTATTCTCCTGTATCCCAGGTTCTTAGTATACTACTGTATTCCAGGTTTCTTTGTATTCTTGGTTCATAGTATTATATACTCCGTATTATAGGTATCTAGTATGATACATATTTACTACTGTATTCCAGGTTCCTAGTATACTCTTGTATGCCTGGTTCCTAATATATTCCAGTATTCCAGGTTCATATACTTTCCGGTAATGTTACATCGTCTATACGCAACATCCCCCCCTACTTACCCTACTGAACTTCGGACCTACTAACTTTCCGACATACTGCAATATCGGATCTATGCCAGCTGTTTATTTTTGTATTATTTGAGGGTTAGGTTAGGTTAAGACAATTTCTGGATCGAGCGAGCTGCGGCTTGGACAGCCTAGGGGGCCGAGCGCCGTTGCTAGGAAAGGTTAGGGGACGGGCGCTGCGGCCACATGTCCATGTAGCAGCTGTAAAACCACGTGCTAGTAGGTCGGATGTGTAGTATGGCGGATTTGGCGTAGGTCAGAAGTGGAGTATAGCGGATTTGTGTAGGTCGAAAAATACAACATCTGTTTTCCTGTATTCCAGGTTCCTATATTAGGTTCCTGTAGTCTAAAATGTCGTCGTTGAGTAAACTCTGCGGGAAACTGTACACTACGGTTTCATTCAATTTTACTAGCAGACAATAGTTAAAGTAAGAATTATTTAATTCCTGTCGAATATCAAACTAAACTCCTAAGAATATCTTGATAAATAAGCAGGCTGTAAAGACTGGGAATTTTTATTTTGGCCGGACCACCTTCCAAACCCAAAAAGTGGAGACAAAATATATATATTATATATTCTTGAATATATTCAAAATCATAATAACAGGAAATCTCGAAAATTCAATCAGAAACGTTCAGAATTGGCAAAAAAAGGTGTAAATTTTTTTTTATAATTTCAGAAAAATGGCTGAAAGAGATGGCGGTGTTATCACTTTTGATTTCGAACATTACAATTTGACAGAAGAGGACGTGGACAAAATGATATCTGACGCCACCTTTTACCTCCTAGTTGCTGATCAGAAGAAGTCTGTGATTAAACGTCTAGATCTGATGAAAACCTGTGAAATAAATAAAAAGCATCGTCAGGTTCAGGAGTATGTTCTCAACCGTGCTGCACACATTCTACTAGACACATTTGGGATCCGGGTAAGTAAACTCAAGTCTTGATAATCTCTCGTGAAATATCCCCTCCTATTCCTTGCAATTTTTACATTTATCGAGCCAGGGAGGAAAGCCTAATCAACAAAATCTCGTCTGAACTTAGGTCTGCATCGCACAGATCAACGTCCGAACCCCACAATAAGATTATCCAAGCTCCAAATGGGATGAAATCTAGTTTATGTTCTTCAAATGATATTAAATCAAAACTTTTATTCTCCGATTCGCCAAGTTCAATAAATGCTTTTTGGGAAAGCCAACGAATTAATCTTAAAAGGTTAAATATATTATTATTTCTAAAATTATTGATCGGAATTCGAAGAGGGTAATTTCTCGTCAAACATGTTTTTTGTCTGAAAGATATTGATGTTGGAGAATGTTGATCAAAATAAATTAATGGGAATGAACTTTCAATATCCTAATTCATCGTGAATATAAATAAATAAACAAACTAGTACGATTTCAACAAAGGCAAAGGAATTGAATTTTCGCCACAAACTCAAATTTTCTTATCGCTATATATCTTTACAACCTTATGGTGTAACCTTTGTTATTTCAAACTTAAATTGTTTGACCTAACAGAATGCATAGTTTAAAATATCAAAGGTCTACAATATTGGGTTGCAAAGTATTCGAAAATCAGAGTTTGTGGCAAAAAAATTGGTTCCGTTTTCTTGAAATCTTCTATTTTTACGCGTCTTTGATCTTATTTATACGTCTTAGGTTGGAGAAATGGATGAGAAGAGAGGACACTACATCCTCACCAATGCACTGGCTGAGGCGGAGAGAAACCATCCGTTCCTGGATTTCTCCGAGAAAGAGGTGGGACAGATGGGAATTATCTTCACCGTCCTCGGTCTTATTTTCATGAACAACGGGAAGGTGTCCGAGGACGTTTTGTTCAAGTTCCTGGCTGGACTGGGAATAGAGAACTCTCGAGACCTCGTGGACCTCTATGACGAGGACTTAAAGAAGTACGTCAATGACGTCCTGGTCTCGAAGCAACACTACCTACGGTAGGTGTTAAAAAGTTTATTTAATGTTTGATTTATAACCGTAAATAATTAAATGGTTTTTAAATTTGTTTTAACAGATTCGGAAAAGTTTTAATTTGTGTTGAAATATTTATAAATCAAATAATGCACACCAACGAATAATACTTCTAATGTTAAGAAAACGATGTCTGAAAGAACTGAGTCTTTGCCATAAACTCTGATTTTCAAATCTCTATATTCGAACCACCCAATTTTGTAGACCTTATTTATTTCATTTTAGGTATACTAACAAGTATTCTAAAGCTGAGGCACCCTCTTTTCTTTCTTTGACATGTTTAAATATTTGTCAAATCTCAGTGTATGTGTGTTTTAGAGTGAACACTTTTCTGGTTGAAATTGAATCCGGATCCGCATAATTTTTGCCGATCCGGATCCCAAGCACTCTTGTAAGGGTATATGTTTTAAAGGTTTGGGGGGGGGGGATACTTTTGATGCTCTGGAGAAAAAATGAAATTTTAAAAAATCATTTTTGATTCGTTTTACCTAATAATTCATTTATTTCTCCTAAAAATGATTTAGATTTCCCAGTTCAGCGGATAAAACCTGTTTTTAAGTGAGGGGTAAATGATTTTTCAAGAAAATATACACCCCTGGATGAAAGTGAACTACATATTTATTGTTTAGGCGGTCTAAGGTGCAGGGTGCAGAGGCTGACAAGGAATATTACGAGTATGAGTGGGGAGACAGGGCAGAGGCTGAGGTCAAGAAGTCCGACGTCTTGAAGATGGTCTGTCAGGTCTACGACGTCGAGCCAAGGATGTTCAAAGAGCAGTACGATCTGGTAAGATGGTTTACAGGGTGTTCCAATGAACCAAGAAATTCAGTGACGAACGTGATCGTCTTTGTTAACGTAAACGCTAAGTATGGGGAAGTGTTGCTTATTAGGAAAGCTAATCCGTAGAAAGAGTTGCGCGTTTGTTGTTGTTATTTTGTAATAAAATGAGAAAATTCCTGTATACAAACAAAGTACAGTTGTTCCTTTCTAGTGTCTTTTTGCATGGATATTAAAGACACAGTCTTACAGAATATTAAAAAAAATCCTTTTACCGTTTAAATAAAAAACTACTTAATGCACACATTATTTTTGCTTTTGAAGTTAGGTATTGCAAGGACAATTTCGAAGTCGTCACTTGATTTTCATTTGTAAAGTGACACCCTGTATATTAACATTTTTTATTCATCCACGTTTTTCCGTTAAATTCCCTTAATAAAGACTTAATCTTATATGAAATATCAATATTGAGTGGCTTTCACTAGAGATTAATAAAGAGTGGTATAACTAGAGGAGACAATTTTTAGCGAAGGACTAGTAATTTTGATTTGTAGAATCTGAAAATAATATTTGTGTTTATTCTAGGTAAAGAATGCTGAGGAACTGACAGACGAGGATTTCCTTCCTCCTCCACCCCCTGCTGGAGCTGCTGTCCCTGTTCAGCAGATAGATATAGATTAGATAGTTCTCCTTCCTCCTCCACCCCCTGCTTGAGCTGCTGCTCCTGTTCAGCAGATAGATATAGTTCTCCTTCCTCCTCCACCCCCTGCTGCTCCTGTTCAGCAGATAGATAAACTATTAGATATTCCAGAAACTGCTGCAAACATTTCATATTCCATGGTTCAGAGCTAGTCAGAATATGCCAGAACTCTTAAACGAACAGTGAAAAAAGAATAGTGAGTGTATTCATTATTCATACCTGTAAATAAACAGAAAAATCTGTACAAGGTTGAACATATTTCTGATCGGATCATTCATAGTATCAAAATTTTTGCATTAAAAATTTTAGGTTGGAATTTCTTAAATTTGCCGTAACTTTTCTTATATATGTACATGCTGCATTTCTACCTTAACCCTTAAATCTATCACGTGCTGTCTAGTTTTTTAAAGACACTCTTTTGAAAAAAGAGATTTATTCAAATTCTCTTTACCAGTATTATTTCCGAAGTTTATTATTCGAATCGAAAATGTACTAGTGCTCAAGTGTGACGATACAGAGTTAATGTCAGCATAAAATGTTACTTTTTTCTACGAAATATATATTTTTTACAATTGAACACTTATAGTTGTAAAGATTTAGATTATGAACAACTCTGCGAGTAAAACTACATAAATTGTATATCAACACCTAAATTTAAGAAAGCAAAGATATGTTTGAATTTTTTATTTACGAACATAAATATTTAACACTTGTACCGCTGATACAACCAGTGATAATGACAACAACATAACAAATAGATCTGAGCTCTAGTATCTAGTGTCCACTCACACAAACCAATAAATACATAATCCCAGGAGCTAGGCAGAGAAGATCAATAACCCGGAGAAAATAAAAACCGGATAAATAGCTGCCGATCTTTCAGCTTTAAAAATATATTAAAATGCTTTAAATATAAAAATATTGTATAAATTTAGGAAAATAGACATGTTCGTCTCATGGAAGAAGAAGTAGTTTTGGTTTACATAAAAAACATTCTATTTCAATGAATTAAAAATGCAAAGAATGTCAAAAGTAAACTTCAGGTATCCTGATAACAACGATTAGAAACATCCAACAGTTCAGGGAGAAAAAGTCAGGGCTGGGTACGAGGAGGACTTCATGCCGAAATTCACAAATAATTAAGCGTTTAAAAGAGAAGGATTTTGTTTACAATTTGAGCTTAGTTGGATCAAATCAGGGGGCATGAGCAAGCAATACAAAAGGAGGGNGTGATGCTCTGATATCCAAACTTAATCTTTACTTGACTCTCTGTCTGAGAGATTTGTTTGTGGCCTGGTCAACCTCAGGTAGGTCATCCTCGTCCTCCTTCACACCCTTCTTCTCCTTTCTGGCCTTGGCTCTCTCCTGTTGTGTCTTCTTGGCCTTGGCGAGGGCTGCAGCGGCGACGTCGGTGGACTTAGCTTCTCTCAACCTCTGGGCCTGCACAAATAAGAAAATGTGTAATTGAAAAAAATAGAAAAATTCAGAACGCTAATACAAAAAAAATAGACCTAAATTCTAATTATTCTAAATATTTATATCTTTGTACACCTGTGATGTTAAAACTTAAGACAAAAAAAAATTGTTAAGCAATATCAAAGATCTCTAACATCATGATACAAAAATATAAACATTATAAAATCAGTGTTCAAGGAAATTAAGTGATTAGTCCCTTTCTGAAGAGGTTCTATTCTAATCTAATATGGTTCTACCTGGAAAATGATGAACTTGTACATGAGGAAGGCCTGCAGGGCGCAGACAGCAACAAGACAGTTGAGCCTGATGAGTCCAGTGTTGAAATTTCCTGTCTGGAAATCCAGAACCTGTTCCTCCAGGGGAGCCTTAGCTAGTCCGTACCAGTAGGTCAACACAGCTAGGATAACACTAGCAAACCGTCCCAGGACGAAAAGCAGATCTCCGATCTTAAAGATGGTCTTAGCGATGGAGGTTTTCTCCGCATACGCTAGAATCCTGCATCCGTGGAACACTGCTTCTACCAGATAGTGGATGAAGAGAAGAACGATGGTAACACGTGTAAACCTCATCATGTAAGCTGGTACGATGAACGCTAGGTAGAGACAAGCATATTGGATCTTTGCGGACATATCCTCCTTCTTCACTTTCTGGAAGTAAAGCTCAGGGAAGACGTGGAGCCAGTAGGAGATCTGGATGATGAAGAAGAACTTGAACATGAAGGTCATGCTGTTGTGTGGATATCCGTCCCAGAGGGATGCGATGTTCATCATGTTCTCCCTGTAGATGATGTCTCCAGCCCAGAACAAAGAGATGAGATAGAAGCTGAGAAGCTGTCCAGATTCATCAAACTTAGCGTGCTTGATCTTCGAGAGGTGGAGCTTCCTGTTGATTTTATCCAGCAAGTACTCCTGGATGATGGCGTGCATCACTATGGCGATCAGGAGATAGAAGAATACGGCGGGGATATCCTTAAACCCGGCGGTGTAGTGGATCATATCCTGAGTAACTCCGGGTTGTATTTCAACAGGTACGGAGACATTATGGTGCAAAGCGATGAAAACCGTAGCAAGAGGACTGCTCACCTGGAACATAAGTCCAAGGACGAACACCATCGCAACACATGATACGATATCTGCATGATTCTGAATTATGAATTCATGGCTGAACACAGGAGGATTTTTTCCAGACTTTTTCCCTTTCGCCACCATGGTTGGAAACAGACAGTTGCTCTGGTCGGTGTCAAGAGCAGAGTCCAAGTCAGCAAACAACCTGCAGCCGGAAATGATACGTAACCGAGGGAACCGGTTTAGAGTTATAGAACTCCGGAGAATAGATCGTCTTTGCTAGGTTCAGATTGAAAACATTCTCTTTTAATTCCTCCCGTTTTCTAACTTTACAACAAAGATTTGGGATGAGACATACTAAATCTGAAATTACCTCTTTTTATTTTTATAAATTTTAACTATTTTGATGAACGTATTCAAGATTAATAAAGATATCTCCTTCAGTCCAAGTAAATACGACCTTTGTTCGTTTTAGTGGTTTTTGTTATGAGTCCTTGCACATAAATTATACTATATTTTAATAACAAAGGAAGAATTCTGATGTTTAAAGGAAAATAAAACTTTATCGAGCATGCCGACTTTAGGTAAATACACACACGCTTTAATATCACGGGTACCCTCATCATACCAATCCGTTCAAACAATTGACGGTGCTTGTATCGACATAGATCGGGCTCGGGAACAACAGGAGAACCTGGTTCGATGTCTCCGGGTCCTAGATGTTGATGTCCTTGAGCTTCCACCCGACGAGGAATCACCGAATTCAGTTTTCATCAACGACTGTGCCGTGGTTTTGCAAGGTTTAGCTCTGATATGTAAACCTAGCGGAGACAGAGCTAATGATGTAGCAACAGTCCGAGCAGTTCTAAAGAAGGAGTTGGGATTTACAATCTTGGAGCTAGACTCTCCTACAGCACTGCTCAATGCTTCCGATGTTTTGTTCACGGGGAAGGAGTTCTTTGTCGGAGTTGGGAAGGAGACGAATACTGAAGGAGCAATAATCCTTGCCAATACTTGGCCAGAGTATCCTTGCACACCTATCAAGGTATGCTTGTACTGGGTCGGATTTTATCAACTAGAACTAGACGGACTAAATATGGCTAATTGAACTATTTCTCAAGTACACTCTCAGCCACATTAGATTTCACTATCCGTACTTCATTCAACTTCTTCTTACTTTTCATTTATGACTCAAAATCTTTGATCTTTTTATAAACACAAATATCAGAAGTTTGTTCAATAATCAGATTATTCTTTTAGTTAGAAGGGTCTAAAAGATTACGGGATCGGATTACTCTGGCTGGGACGAATGTTTTGAGTATAAGTTCCGGGGATACGTCTCAAACCTTACTCAAGAGGATTAATAGAGAAGCGTCCCATAGGTAAAAGGATACAAATACATGGGGTTTATCTACTAGGATACTGAGGGGTAATCTACCAGGATACAGAGGGTTTATCTACCAGTATATAGAGAATTTATCTACTAGTAAATAGAGGGTTTATCTACCATGATATAGAGGGTTTATCTACCATGATATAGAGGGTTTATCTACCAGTATATATAGGGTTTATGACCAGTACATAGACGGTTTATCTACCAGTATATAGCGGGTTTATCTACTAGGATACAGAGGGTGTATTTACCAGGATATAGAGGGGGTTATCTACTAGGATATAGAGGGTTTATCTACCAGGATATAGAGGGGTTTATCTACTAGGATATAGAGGGTTTATCTACCAGGATATAGAGGGGTTGTTATCTACTAGGATATAGAGGGTTTATCTACCAGGATATAGAGGGGTTTATCTACTAGGATATAGAGGGTTTATCTACCAGGATATAGAGGGGTTTATCTACTAGGATATAGAGGGGTTTATCTACCAGGATATAGAGGGGTTTATCTACTAGGATATAGAGGGTTTATCTACCAGGATATAGAAGGGTTTATCTACTAGGATATAGAGGGTGTATTTACCAGGATATAGAGGGTTTATCTACCAGGATATAGAGGGTTTATCTACTAGGATAGGATATGGAAAGTTTATCAGGATATAAAGTGTGTATCTACCAGCATGTAAAGGGTTTGTCTACTAGGATACAGAAGGAATATCTACCATTATATAGAGGGTTTATCTACCAGGATATAGAGGGTTTATCTACCAGGAACAGAAGGTTTACTTACCAGTATATAGAGGGTTTATCTATCAGTATATAGAAGGTTCATCTATCAGGATTTAGAAGGTTTATCTATCAGGATTTAGAAGGTTTATCTGCCAGTTTATAGGTTAGGTTAGGTTATTAAGAGTGTATCTGCTAGGTACCAAACCTTAACCCTGCCTGAGGAGGATGCTGCAAATTGTCTGTTTGTAAATGGAACCCTGATTCACATAGTTTCTACTGAAGCTCCGGAGTCGGCTAAGGTACTGAATATATTCTCAATCATTATTATTTATCTGGGTTAGGAAGTAAGTTTTATTTTTGTTCAGGTTTTTACGGATCGGGTAGATTATCCTCAGGTTTCGGTTTCTCTCTCCGAGTTCCAGAAAACAGGCCGAGGACTTACATCTGTCTGTATCCTGGTTAAGAAATCTAAAACTATCCGAACCCTCTAGTCCAGAACTAGAATATAAAAAGGAGGAATCTCGCGCTTGCATTATTGGAGCTCCATGTTGTGTGCCATCTTTAATCTAACAACTAATTTGTTTGTTTTTTTAAATCTCACATTTTTTATCATTTAGATTTGTCGTGCAATATTGACCTTTTTATCAAATATTCCCTAATTAATTCACTAATCAAAAACATTAAGTTTATGCATATTTATGTTTAGCTTATAGTTATGTCTTTCAGAATAATAATTTACCAAAAAAATATTTTATAAGTATTTAGTTTTATTTGTTAATTCTATGATGTCTGGGTGCTATTAGTATACCTGTTAACTCAAAATGTCCATTAGTTTTCTTTAATTCAGAAAATAGTTGTCGTCAGTTATGAAAACGAGCACAAAATTGATATTAGCTTTAAAATCTTGCATTGCTTCCAAGTCGTATGTAAGTTAAAATTTAATTTGTAACCTTTATTAGGGACCACGCTTGTGAAAATAGCAGATTTTTGTTGTGATTTTGGTCTGTAATCTGTAATATTTGTATTTTTGTTGTGAAGCAGAGCTACTTTTTCTCAATTAAATCCTGCCATGTTTTTAAATTTACACTTTTTTTTAATAAATGCATGTATGTACAGTGCACAAAATTTAGCATATACCATCAAATATATCTTGAATTTATTTTTTACTTGAATAATTTTACAAGAATATCTAGTTTAAATATCCAATACACTGGCAGTGAATGACCTGTCCAATTAACAAAGGTACCCGCTAAATCTGATCAAGGACGAAAAATTGATTCCTTTTTAATTAAGGTCTCTGTATAAAAGTGACTTGAGGAATTTTAATGCAGAAACAATGAAGTAAATTAGCAAAATTCGACACTTTCTTAAATAAAGAAGACCTTTCCTTTACTTGGAAAGAGGTTTAAATAAGATGTTGTGAAGGGGACCTGCCTCTCTTCTTTTTTATTAAATGGAGGGTCACGTGAGATTACAAAGTACTTAAATAGAATAAATGAATTACTATAATAGGAAGCTAACTAATCAACTCACTTAAAAATAAAACTCTGTTACTGTTTAACTTTATAAATCTGGGAACTTTTAACAGTGTTTTACTAAACATTACAATTTGTAAATATTGATAGATAAAGATTATTGTATACAGTATTAACTAAGTACTAATGAAGATCCCAAATCAAATATTCCGTTGGTCATATCCATCCTCTTCTTAGGATTACTTGTGCTGGACGCGCTGTATCTCTTATTAATCATATCATAAGTTTAGACCAATAGATCGCGTATAATAGGATGCTCCAGTTCCCAGTTTCTTGTATTTGAAAATAAGTTTAATGGAACGGGATCAAGAGTCCTGAGTATTTATTTCTCATACTAATAGCTGCGTACATGAGAACAAGGTACGTGAGAGGAAGGAAAAGTGTCCAACGATAAACATGTTGTGTCGGAGCAGACTTAGTATCCAGGTTATCCAGACTAAACTCATTCAAAAACTGAAATAAAAACTGGGTCAGATCATTGGATTTGATTGTCATAAAAAAACTGCGAACATAATAATCAAACTTGAGAAAAACCTTAAAAATAAATGTATATTTTATGTGAAGACTAGAAATTCCTTAGAATTCATAGTAACACGAGTTCAATGTCGGAAAAACTATTTGAACCAAAACAAAGCAATATTCCAGAAAAATGTTCCAAGGCAGAACTAAATAAATCTTGTGTCACATTCAAGAGTTATACAATCGTATCCTTGATATTTATTATAGGGGTACTAATGTTGAACAATCATGGCATATTTAATTTTAAGACAATACTTTTAATAATACGTTGAATAAATAATTAATCAGAGTTTGCTGACCTGTAAATCCTCTGCGGTTAAACTCTGAGGACGGATGGATCTAAGAACCTCTAACCCAGTTCTCAGACCAGACTGAACTCCTCCCTCTAGAGAACCTATCCAGCTGGTGGCTGCAGCAGTTCCTCCGAAATGAAGATTTCCCTCCTGTATCCGTACTGCAGGCCAGGCGTGCATTATTCCAGGCGGAGCAAAACTTACTCCGTTTCCTCTCCAGGTCTTGATATACACACCCTTGTTTTTATGAACCCATGAGCCAAGTAGCTCTGATAGATTCTCAATGATCGCGTCCTTCGTCATTTCCTCAGATCTAGTCTCCCATTGAACCGCTGGTTTTCCTCCGACACATCCTGAGAGTGTTGAACCGGACCCGGAGATATGAGGGAAGACTAGAGTAACTGGACCAGTCTCACACCCTGCTCTGGGTTTACCTCCACTAGAGAACACAGTTCCAGCCAACCCCAGGGGTTCCCAGTGTGCTCGGGAGAACGGAATAACAAACCGAATAAAATGTCCCATCGGGGTTGAATTCTGTACAAAGGATTTGAGTGGAGATAACTCCGGTTTCCATGATATCCTTCCTTGCTGAGACGGAGGAATACAAATTATTAGTTTTTCCGCTCTGAATGTATCCAAACCTTCTGTACTCACCAGAACCCCGGAGTCGGATTGTTCAACTGATTTAACTCGTTTACTTGTAAACATATATATTTTATTTTCCAATTCTTTCTCCAACCTGAAACAATTTTCTATTTTACAATTAACAAATAAAATAAAATGAAAAGGAAGTTAAATAAATGCCTAACCTTGAAATAATTCCTCCTGTTCCTCCTTCCACCAGCACCTTGTGAGAGAAAAAGAGTGAGATAACTCCACCACTAGATCCTGCCACAAGGAGAAGGAAGAGAAGAGAAACTTGTCCAGGTTCTACTCCTAGTACTGCTCTCACTAGGGATCCAATATGTTCCTTGACAGACTGCTGCCAGCAGTTCTCTTCAATCCAAGAGCTAAATACATTTAGAAAATATTTAATAAATTTTTTTCGTAAAGTTGGATAACTAAGGCAAATCAAATTAATAGAACAAAATTTTAATATTTTTTGTTTGAATAAAAATGATTTGAAAATCTTTAAAAACTGAAACCTGAAAGTAATATTATCCCAAGTATATCCTCCCCGTCCTCCATAGGGATCCAACAAGCAAACCTGAAAAAAATCTCTTAATTCATTTGAACATGATGTTGGAGACCTGAACACAATAAATTGAAACTTAAATTAGAAATCTGATAATAAGCAAGGAAACCCGAGCTTAAAAGCAAACCTTGTACAGAACTAATTTCACGCCTGTATTTTTTTTTAAAAAAACCTGAACATAAGAAGCAAACCTGAGCTGGGAACTTTTGTATTGTGGATATATTTTGGTAATCTGCAGATTAATTCCATCTTTATTCGATATCCGCAGTGTATTATTGTACCCTGAAGTGAGAACTAAAATGAAGAAAGTCCCCAGAGTGGAAATCGGTAACAAGTGATCAGGATTATGAGCGTCCAGTGTCCAACACACAAGTTCCCAGCTCTGAATGAACTAAGTACTTGAAACAAAACAAATATTGACATATGAGTTTAGAAACAGAAACCTGAACATGAAAAATAACCATGGACAAAAATTATACATCATTTTGAACATCTAAACATAAAAATCCTTAATCTTCAAATAATTTATTCTTACCTTCGAGCACATTATTTCCAAGGTTCGGAGAACTTTCTGTAATTCCAAAGTATGAAACCAGGAAAAACTGCAGCTCTACAAACAAATATAAAAATAAATATTCCAGAAAAAAAATGGTTTAATTATCTTTAAATTAACATTTTTTTTATAACTAGAACTCCCAAACCTTATTTCTGACGATTTTGTTCCGTAGTTGTATCGTGTGTCGTCCTAGACTGGTTTGGGCAGGGTTGGTTTTAATCTCCAGGTCCCGGAGCAAACCGGAGATATACTGTTGTGACGTAACAATCCGTTCTGCTCCAAACTCAACCTCTATGGATTTGTCTTCAACCTTATAAAAAAGGGTTTGTTACGACTTAGTTAAGAGTAAAGATCTGTAAGTTTGAGCTGGGAAAGATTTCGTTTAGACGTAAAATCTGAATTTAAAGAACACGTTCATAAAAAGTGACAAGTGTTCCAGCTCGAGCATACAGAAAAACACATGAACACAAAGACATTGAGTGCTTGCCCCAAACTGAGATTTTCTAATTCCTATATCTTTGCTACCCAATGTCATATACCTCAGATACATCAAACTATGAATTCTGTTAGATCAAATAATTTAAGTTTAAAATATCAGAGGTTTACAACACCAGGTTCGTTAGATATAGGAATTAGTAAATTTGAGCTTGTGGCAAAGACTCGATTCCTTTACTTGTATTTCCAATCACGCCCGAGCTTTAATGTATTGGAATAAACATTTGCTTTCAAGTAGTATATTTTGTGTACAGAGGTACTTCTTAAAATATTTAGCAGTACTATAAAACAATGATGCTCAATGTTTTAGTTTTACATTAGTAATATCTTTTTTGCGGATATCGTTCCGTCGATGGGATTACAGGCAATGTTTGACATTGGAAAAATCGGCATGAATGTAGACCGAGAAGTGGTTGAACAAAGTACGGAAGATTGATTTACTTTTCTAGTGTTGCCGAGAATTCACTTGAGAAGTAGTTTAACTAGTCTTATTTAGATCGACTACTACTTATCAAATACGACCTCGGAAAAGTTTCTATGAACAACAGATCAGTAAAGAACCTGAACTGGAAGGGATTCAATCCTTCCTCCCAGACTAGATTTTCCTTCCAGGAGAGCAACTGATATCCCAGGGTCGTGTTGGACCAGTGTTCTAGCCGCAACCAACCCTGATATACCTCCACCAACTATTATAACATCATATCTTTCCATTCTTCTGAAAGCACAAATTCCTTTCATTTCCCCATTTACAGTCAAGTTTCATTTTTTTACTTATGTGATCACTACCAAGGTTCTCTATCTTAACCATGCCGAGGAAAATACCTTAATGCCACTAATGTACAAGAAGGCGTAAAGAAAAAGTTTCTAACAACATATTTTTTCAGAACATATTAGGAGCAAAATGGTTTTCTTTGAGAATTTTGAACCAGTAAGAATTATTACAAAAATTGTGAAACTGAAAACCACGCTAAAATATCTTCAAATTAACTTATTCCTTCTCTTTTCCTTCTTTCTTCTCTTTTACTTGAAACTGTTCCGAGAAATGAAAAACATAAGCTTAAACAATGTTTATTCTCCAAGTACATAGCAATAAGGTCGTGTGAGAGAATGATAGGAACATGACTACAGATGTATTGTAGAAATCACGGATCACCGATCACATAGTAGATGATCAGAGAGCTGAAACTATGATCAATGATCATGGAGCAGTTGCCAAATGATCAGGAATGACTTTAGCAACTTTCCTGTACTCTTTAATATAAGTATCAGGACACTGCATCTCCGTCCAGGAAACTGGAACCATAGAAGCTCCGATCTCTGATCTAGCGATAACAACTCCCAATTCGTTCTCCCCTGGAATAAATATTTGTGTAAAAACGTTTTGTAAAATGTTTTGTAAAAAATGTTTTGTAAATAATGTTTTGAAAAATAATGTTTTGTAAAATAATGTTTTGTAAATAATGTTTTGTAAAATGTTTGTAAAAAATGTTTTGTAAAATAATGTTTTGTAAATGATTTTTGTAAAAATAATGTTTTGTAAATAATGTTTTGTAAAAATAATGATTTGTAAAAATAATGTTTTGTAAAAATAATGTTTTGTAAAAATAATGTTTTGTATCGGTTCGTTTTTTGCGTATCAATTCTTTATACATTTAACGAGGGTTTATTCTTTTGACGTTTATTGGTTGTCCTCTCTATATTTATCTAGTGGATACTAATTAAATATTTATCTAGTGGATACTAATTTAATATTTATCTAGTGGATACTAATTTAATATTTATCTAGTGGATACTAATTTAATATTTATCTAGTGGATACTAATTTAATATTTATCTAGTGGATACTAATTTAATATTTATCTAGTGGATACTAATTAAATAAAAGCCTGAACCCTGCTTTAAGTCTATGAAAAATCATGTTTACCTGTAGTCAGAAGATAACCGGCCCCGGCATCTCCGAAGGAGATGACCCGCGCCAGAACAATATCTCCGGGTCTGAAAAATTTTTCAACATGTTTTTTCTTTATTTTCAAAATACAAAAAATAAGATTTAAAAAAAATAAGGTGTCATAATAAAGATTGATAATTAAATCTCATGCTTTAAATTAAATTAACAATAAAAAAGGCGGGAAAATAAAGAATATTTTTAACATTGTACCTGAAGGATTTATACATCTCTACCCTGTCCTTCTCCACAGATCTAACGTCCTCCTTCCTGATCTGTCCTCGGAAAGGTTCTGAGAGGACAACATCCTTTACGCACATTATATGCGCCTTAACAATAATATTTACATTTGTACAATTATTAACTATTTTGAATATTAAATCATAAATGTGCAAGGGATTTGGTGTCGGCTCCGAATTTCAGTTCGAAATTTTTTTGGGGTAAATCTTAAATTAACAAACTTTGAAAATCATTTTAGTGTTTATCGAATAGATAAGAAAATGTTGAGCAATCTTGCATGAAGAAACCAAAACAAACCATAAATTGGTTCGGTTAAAAAAAAAAGCTACCAAAATAAAACTAACTAAATTAAATCTCCGAGATTTAATTTTTTCAAATTAATGGAAAAGTATTTCAGAGTAAGAAAGTAATGAACACTAATTTAATCCCTACCTTGGCAAACCTAGGATTAACGGAGAGTATTTTAACAGTTACAATATCTCCGGTAGACGGAACTATCGTCTTCTGTCCACACCCTTCAACCTAGAGTATTTTATTCAATTCACAAACATACACAATTTAAAAATTGGTACAATTAAACAGACGTATCAGATTGAAAAAATTAAAGATAAAAATAAATAACAATAAATAAGAAACAAAATCATAATGAAAAAATCAATAATGATATTTTGTGTAAAATACTTATCAATAGCTTTAACATATATATTGGTTTCAAAAATAAATTGGCATATCTGTAATTTTAACAGTATTGGCATATTTGTAATCTAGACATAATTGTAAACAAATTGGTATATTTGTAAATAATACGTCATATTTGTAACAGTATTGGCATATTTGTAAATAATACGTCATATTTGTAATTAAATTGCATATTTGTAAACAAATTAGCATATTTATAAGCAAATTGGCATATTTGAAAACAAATTGCATGTTTGCTAACAAATTGGCACATTTGTAAACAAATTGTCATATTTGTTAACAAATTGGGATGATTGTGAACAAACTGTCAAATTAAAATTAAATCTGCTTTGGAAGGAAAATGTCATCTCTTTATATTAAGTCGTAGTCTGTTTTTCTGTACATTCGATCATAATTCATAAACCCCATTCAACGATTTGCTTCAAACTTCAAATAAGTTGTAATAAAACTGGATTTCTAAGATAGTTCTACATAGATTATCAAAAAGCAACGAGTTTCTTAATTAATGAATTACCTCAACACTGACTGTATTGTTCTGTGTATGGATAAGTGTGAGTTCTCCGACATGGCTGGAGTAAATGTAACCATGCATAAGATATGTCCCTGGGCCGGAGATATGTTTATCATCACTTTCACAAAGTCTAAGTCCAGGAACTACAAGAGTCCGCATATCTAGGCTGAGATGGAACCTGCAGCTCCGTCAATACTAATTCCCTTAAGATCTCTGGCAATATAGATTCCGAAAATGAAAACTCCGAGAGATTTGACGATTCCCCACTTGTTAGGATCTGTGTAGAGGCTGCCGACACTTTTCTTCATTCGTTGAAAGTATCCGGCCATTCCTTCTGAAAATATACAAATTTCAATAAATATTGAAATAAAATGCCGAATAATCAGTTCAACAGAGTAGCATGGATTTAAAAGTAAGATTTAACATGTTAAAGAATAAAATGGTTCCAGGTTAAGTTCCTCCGCGTTTAGCTCCTCGCTTCGCCACTCCACGGATAGCAGATCGGAACTAAAATTAAAATAATATAAGCATTTATTAAAAATTTTGACTTTATTGTTTCTCATTTATCTATTTATTCCAGAGCTTTCTTCTTAAAATTAAATTAACTAAATTCTTTCTTAACAACTTTTAGACTGATAAAATATTGCTATACCGGGAATGTTTCACTAAGGATGGGTTGAATCTTAATTAACCTGAGTTGCTCCAGCTATTCCTGCCCTATTAAGAGATCTCTGTGGACTAGTGCTGGCAGGACCAGCTGGAGAACCAGCCCACGTGATCGGAGTTCTTGTTCGTCCCATTCTTCCTGCAGTCTCGGCTCCGCTACTAGATACTCCGTCCTCAACCTCGCGAGATCCAGAAGCATCTCCCTCAGACTGAGCCTCGCCTTGTTCCTCCAGACTACCAGACACTCCCTCAGACAACTCGTTCAATTCTATAAAAATATATTTCAATAATATATTTTTAATTATTAAGGGTATCAGATAATTTCAGGATTAATATAAATATTCTAACCATCAGCAATAGGTGCGGGTGACGTAGCCTGCAGGGTTTCAGAAACGGTTTCTCCTTCCTTGTCCTCGGCAAACTGAGCAATATCAAAGGAAGTTCTCTCCGCCCCCTCCTGACCGACTAGTCCTGTATTACTGCTTGTAACAACTATCTCTGGTGGTTCATTTGCTCCTCCTCCGCTTCCAAATACAAACCTTTCATTTCCAGGAGCCTAAAATAATCATTAGAAATATAAATTCTAATTTTAATAAAGATATGAATTTAATAAGGTTTAATACCTGAGGAGAACTTACTGCTTCAGCAAATCCTTCTGGTCTCCTAGGTTCCGCTAGTTTAGGTGTGCTAGGAACTACACTATCCTCAACAAGTTCCTGATCAAACCCTACTCCAGGCTGGGAAGCCTGAGCAGGAGGGAACTGGGAGCTCTGAGGAACTGTTGCTCCAGTGCTACTGCTTGGTTCGCTGCTGTTCTCTCCAGTAACATCTTCATCAACAAGCTGTTCCTCTTCATCTTCCTCTTCTTCCTCTCGCTCCTCCTCACTTAGTTCCTCCTGGTTATCTGGAACTACAGGCTCTGTCTCTCCATCATTAATCTCTAATCCAGTTTGAGTCGTATCATCCTCAGCCAGTTCATCAATGTCCTGTGCAGGAGTATCTTCAGCTTCTTCATCTCCGTCCTCACTGATCTCTCCCTCTTCCATATCTTCTTGTTCTACGGAGAAAGCATCAGCTCCTTCATCTATCGGAGCTGTTGTATCCTGGGTACTGCTACTCCCTAGCCCAGTCTCAGGTTGAGTGATCGTTTCAAAATCAACCTTCTCAGGTTCCACGTCTAACTCCTGGAATCCAGATTCACCAAGTTCTTCTTGTTCAATGAACTCCTGATCTTCTGTAGAAGAGATGGTTCGAGCCTTCTTCTGAATACCAGAGGGTCCTGCCTCATCAAGATCTACAGCAGAGAATTCGACTTCAGCAACCTCTCTTGGTCTCTTGAGTGTAGGTTGTACACTAACAGTTGTCTGAGTATTACCACTGGTTGATGTTTGAGCAGAATGCATTGAACCTGACGGACCACTAGTTGAAGCATGAATATCCAGTGGTCGAACATTCCCGGAGACTCTTGAAGCCTCTTCAACCGGTTCTGCTACTTCAGCAGAAGAAGTAGAACGATCCACTGGATTAAACTCAGGAGCTGTAGGATCTAAAGCACTGGTTGAAGGAAGCTGAGGAGTAGCACTGCTCACACTCGGGCTCACGGATACAGTTGGTTGAACTGTTGCAACTTCAGGTTGTATACTAGATACTTGGCTGGTTGGTAGAACTACAGCCTGAGTAGCTCCACGAGTTTGTGTCATGGGTCTAATACTGGCAGTCTGTGTAGGTCTGTACTCGTCTCTAGGTTGATGTCTATGAGGTTGAATGTGTGCTTGAGGTTGAGTTTGTTTTCTTGTTTCCTGTTGATGAACTACTCCGGCTACTGCAACAGGTTTAGCAGCAGCACTCTGGGATGCGAGGAGTTCATGCTGAAGCTGCTCTATCTGCTCCTGCTGCTTATCCTTCTCCTCCTTCATATCATTCACAGCGTTCTTTAATGTCAAGTTCTCATTGCGCAGAGCAGTGATAGAAGAATCCAGAGCATTTCTCAACTTTTCCTTCTCCATCCTTGCTTGTTCAATTTCCTTATTCTGTTTCTCAATTTCCTGATTCTTCTTTTCAATCAGTGCCTTCTCATCATTCTCTGTAAGATCTCTGTTTTTAGCCTTAAGTTCATTGATTTTTAACTTGGCATTTTCAAGAAGTTTTCTTGTTTTCTCCTCTTGTTCTTTCAGTTTCTGCTCCAGTGTAATCTTCTCCTTCTCCATGGTCTCCATCGTCTCAGCAACTCCGTCAGCATCTAGAGATTCAATCAAAGATCTTGCTTCTTGAAGTTCAATGCTCTTAGTCGCTACATCAGCTTCAAGTTTACTACACGACTCCTTCACTTTAGAAATTTCATCCTTTAAAGATGTTACTTCAGCACCGGCAGCTTCAGAACGCTCACGGAATTGTCTTCCGATAGCTTTCAGACTTTTAATTTGTGTTTTTAACTTGGCCATCTCTTCCGAGCTCTTTTTGTTCTCCTCAGTTAGTGATGTGATTTGAACTTTAAGTGTGTTCATATCTTCTCCGCCGCTCTTTACTTCGGCAATCTTACTCTGCGCTGCGGTTAGATCTTTAGTAAGCTTGGTCAGATTTATTGTGTTCTCCTGTTTAGACTTCTCCAGTTCTTGATTAGTCTTTTCCAGCTCATCCGACTTCTTCTTAAATTCTTCCGATTTCTTTTTGAGTTCATTGTTTTGTCTGCTCAAGTTGTTAAGTTGGTTCTTCTGGGTAGTTTCTCTGATAATCAGAGTTTTCAGATCCAGAGTTTTCTTGTCTAGTTCTTCCTTGTTCTTTTTAGCCTCCTTCTGGGCAGTTTGCAGGGATATCTTAGCTGCGTGGAGTTCCTTTTGCAGATTGTTGTACTGGAGAGTTCCGTTCTTCTTCTCCGCTGTAAGGATAGACAGCTGTCGGGTTAGTTTGGTTTCAGCGTCCTGGAGACGTTTTAGTTCCTCAGGATTCATCTTGAAACTCTTCTCAACCAGCTGATCAGAGCGCTTCTTCCAGCCTTCGGATTCGGTTTGGAGAGCCAATTTCTCAGTGAGCAGAGTTCCGTACTTATCTTCTAGATCCTTGATTTTAACGTTTAAGGGAGCAATCTTCTCTTTGGCCTGCTCTGCCTCGATCCTGAAGTTCTCTACCACAGTTGCCAACCTGTCCTTCTCCTCACGTAGCATCTTGTTACTGTCCGTTAGCGCAGCTAAACTCTCAACCTTCCTCAACAGCTCAGCATGCTTTCCAGCAGTCATCAAGTTCTCATTAGTTCCTTGCCTAAAATTAGTAATTATGTATTGCAATGTCAAAACCATTTTAAATTAATGTTCAAGAATGAGAGCTAAAACGTTTCGGCCTTTTTGGACAAAAATGTTTCTTTTTAAATGGGAATGACCGGCTAGACATGACAGAGCTTCGAGTGCAGAATTTTAGAGAAAAATTTTAAGATTCATTAAAATTCGTTAAAGACGTTTTTACGGTGTATAATTGTTGAGTTAGAGCGCAAAATCTATCTTTGAAATTTTCTCAAATTGACAATTTTGGAGGTTAAATTTTGAGAATCGGTTTTTATCCAACTTTTCAACTACGACGATGAAAAATGTAACAAAAATTCTACAGAAAACTAATTGGTTGTCTTTGTTTTTTCATCGTCGTCATTGAATAATAAAAAAAACGATTCTACGCACCATAAATTAGCAATAATACACCGTAAAAACGTCTTATTAGTATCAATGGAAATCCTTTTAATTAACTTGATCAGTACCAAGATCATGAAAAAGATCAGTATTAGGATCAGGATCAGGATCATAACCAAACTACAGATCGAAAGAAAAAAATACCTTTCTGAGTCGAGAGCGTTCTGTAAGTCCTGTACAAGTTTCTGAGCGTGCTCCAACTGTCTGGTTGTTCTGGAGAGCTCGGACTGAGCTACCTCCATTCTACCATATACAATCTCCTTCTCTCTTCTCAGATACTTGATAATAGTCATCAGCTGATCAGTTGATGCATCATCCTCGTTCATAGATCTAATCAAAAATTTGTATTAAATAATAATAAGTGTAATAACCTTTTTGCAATTATTTGCAAGAAAAAATAAATATGAATATTGGTAGATTTTTCTACACATGCTTAATCTTATACGCCCCAAACTAAAAACTAAAAATTAATTGACTTTTATGCTGCACCTTTGGTTATCTACAATCTACAATCAACTAAATATATTTAACTTTTTGTAAACTTTCAAATCCTAAAAAATATTCAACATATTGTAGAAGTCTATTTTTAATTGCTATTATACATGTATAATATATGTAAAAAAAATAGTTGCATATTTTTTGCCAGTAATATTATATTGTACTTTTTGCAATAGAATATATCTTTCCTTATCTTATGTTATTATGAAAGAGAACGCTAGGGACGTGTCAATTTTTCTCAAACAAGAATTAAAGCTGAGAACTATTAAGAATGAATGGTATCTGCCAAACTTGTTCTTTCCTTGCAATTAACCGATCTCTCATTGATCGATTCCAAACCAAAATCAATGAGAGATCGGCCAGTCTTCTTGCCAGGACAGAATAACTCCTTTCATATCCACTCAAAAGCTCCCAGCTTTTAAAAAGTTGTCATAATATCCTTATTAAAAAGTTTGAAGAAGTTATTTACATACCTAATACTCGTATTGGCCAGGGCGCTATTATCTAAGTTACTGGCGTCCAAATTATGTCCTGAGGCGGATACGTCGGCCAGTTGACCGCTCACTGCCTCGATCTGGTTCATCAGCGCCTTATTCTCCTCACGGAGAACCTCAACCTGAGCGCGGAGTGCTGAAACTTCTTGGTTCAAGTTCTCTCCGTCCTTCTTGTAAGCTTCCTCGAGTTCGGATATTTTTGCTTCCGCTTTTCGTTTCTCCAATTCTATCTCCTCCATGTTAGATATCCTGTTGCTAGTCTCCGCTTTCATCTGGTTTAACTGTTCTATATCCTTGGCGTGGAGGAGAAGTTCATGCTGATATTTCTCCTGAGCATCCTTTGATTCCTCTGCTAGGACAGTTATCCTCTCTCTTATCTCCAGATCCTGCTTCTTCAACTCCTCAATCGATTTCCTGGCGTCCTCAAGTTCTATTGTTGTATACTTAAGTTTATCCCGGAGCTCTCCTCCGCTAGTTCCAACCTCAGCTTCAAGATCTTCAATCTTCTTCATCAGCTCCTTCATAGAGGACTTGTTCTCCTCGATGGTTTTATCCGAGGTTATCTTCTCCTCCTCCAGCTGCTTGATCTTGTTCTCCGCACTACTCTTCAACTCCTGCATAGCTTCACTACTCTCCAGCATTCTCTTCTCCGCGGTTTCACTGATAAGTTTAAATTCTTCAACCTTCTTCTTCTCTGCAGCGAGCTGGTTGTTCAACTGCTTTATCTCCTGCTTAGACTTGCCCAGTAGGATTTCCACATCCCTGTATCTATTCTTTCCTTCTCCCTCTCCTACGCTAGACTGACTGGAGAGTTGACCCCTGCCAGCTAGCCGGGACTCAGCAAGCTGTAATTCGTCCTGCTTCTCTCTCAACTCTTCCTTCATAGTATCCAGAGTGACCGTGAGAGCATTAAGTTGCTCTAGAACATTCTTTTCAGATTTCTCCGATGCTTCAGCTTTCTCTCGAAGCTCTCGGTTTGTACTCTCCCATGTTCGGACACTTTGCTTAAAATGATCTTGATCATCATCGAGCTTCTTCCTGAGTAACTCAACCTCCTTGGTCAGCTGAAGATTAGAGTTCTCCAACCTCATCCTGTTCTCATCGTCCCGTCTCTCCAGGTTAACCTGGATCATCTGAAGGTTGGACATGATCTGACTGCTTGAACTCTTCTCCCTGTAAAGAACATCTCTTTCCGCGGAAAGCCGGGCCTCTACAGCCTTAAGATGAGAGTTCTCCTGAGTCAGGTGGTTGACCTGGAGCTCCAGATGTGAGAGTTTTCTTCCAGAAATCAATAACTCTTCTCTCAGTGATGTGATCGAGTTCTCATGCTTTCCACAAATTTTATCCAACTGCATATTCCGCATCTCAAGAGCTTCAATCTGCTTCTTAAAGCTTGCACAGTTGGTCTGAGCAATCTTAAACCTTTCATTGTTGTATTCCTCGTGGGAGGAGAGTTTAGCAACCTGAGTTCTTGCTTCAAACAGATCTTCCTTAGCTTTCTTATATTCTTTGTTGAGAATATTATAATTCTCAATCTTTTCTTCTTTGTATTCTGCAAAATCTTTCCTTAGTTCTTCCAATTGTTTCTCCAGGAGAATAGTTTTCTGGTTCGGTTCCTCCGGAGCAGATTCAGGTTTCTTAACAATATTCTTCTTCTCAGCTCCGCACATACTCTTGTATAGATCCCTCTGCTGTATAATATTCTCCACCATGAGCTGTTGTCTCTCCCTGGCAGATTTCAGTTCATCCACCTGTCTCAGAGCAGATTCAAGTTCGCACCTAACCTCGGCAGTTTTCTCCTGAACGAGGGCAGATTCAGCCTGATCTCGGTTCGAACTGAGGTCTCGGACAACCGCTAGTAGTTCAATGTTTCTTGTCTGGAGCTCAGAGATATCTCGGAATAAGAGAAGTCTTCCTTCAATAACAGACTCGGAGGTTGTTGTATCCATACTCTGAATTGGTTCGATGGATTGTACTCCGGCTCTGGCAGCATCCACCTCTCTCACTAGAACAGATATCTGTCGACCCAGATCAGATACCTGTTGTTCCAACCTATCCCTGTCCTTCTCCACAGAACTGAGGTTACGTCTGGCCTCCTCGGCCTCCCTTCTCCTCAGCTCCACCTCCTCTCTAGCAGCCTCAAGGTTTTCAGTTAAACCTCCGAGAGCAGAAATAGCTTGTTCGTAGTCCTCCCTCTGCTGACGAAGGATTGGAGCTCTCTCCTCTATCTCAATAAGAATTTGATCCATGTAGGAGTTCAATCGTTTATTCTCCTCCTTCTCCGCTGTTAGTTCTTCAGAGAGAGAAACCATTTGAGAATATATTCCAGTGAGCGTAACTCCGGACTTCAACAGTCTAGAGGCCTGGGCTGCACTTGGAGAAAGATGTTCTATTGCGTCCTCTGTCAGTCCCTTATCCTTAACCGTCTTGATCAATCTGTTTGCATCTTCAAGTTCCTTCTTCAACGCCATAATTGTTTCCACCTTTCCTTGGAGTTCCATCTTGTGTTCCGTTTTCATGGTTTCCATCTGTATCTCCAGGATACCATACTTCTCTCCAGCATCTCGAACCATCTGTTGCAGGCTGGAGACTGCTGAACTCAGCTCCTCGGTTTTGGCACTATTCTCTTCTCCCTGCTGACGGTAGAGTTCAGCTAGTTTAGTCTGGGATTTTAGTTCAGCTCTGTAGTTATCTTCAAGCTTACTTTCGGATTCTCTGGCTTCTCGTAGTCTCTCCGCAAGTTTCTCAGCTCGCTTCCTGGAAATATTTCAGTGAAGTCCTCATCTCGTTTTTCAAAGGGGAATTTCAAACCATGAGAAGATTTGTCAAATTGAAATATATTTAGATTAGATGATACTATAAAGAGTGTTTTCCGAAAAATTATCTAATATCTAAAATACCCAGCTGATGTGGCAATAATACCCCCCCCCCCTAACCCTCCGGGATTGTTGTATCCAATTACCTATAGGATTCAGCATCTGAGACGGCAGATTCTTCTCGTCTGGCCAGAGATTTAATCTCCTGAGTCTTCTCTTCAATCTCCTGGTTCAATTCTATCTGTCGGATACCAGCCTCTTGTTTAGAGGTCAGAACCTCTTCATTCCGAACCTCAACCTCAGCCTAGAGAACAACCAGGATAATAACCAATTAAATTTTATCTCCCCAGTCCCTACCCTCAATTGGGCCTTTTTAATCTAAATCATTGTCTGTTTTTTATTGTTTTTCTTGTGACCAATAAACGTGAAAACGGCTGAACCGTTCGGGCCAAAGAAATTGTGGGACCTCTCATGACCCCAAGGAAGGTTTATATGGATGGACAGAATTAAAAAATTGCCTAATTCAAATTTCGATTTTTCAAAATCCACGAAAACAAATTGATTCAATACGCAAAAAAAAATTTGTAATTGTTTGTATAATTGAAGAAGAGAAAATGCCGCAGATACAAATAAATAAATTTTAGCATTTTCAACATAAAAAGCAATTCTAATTACTTTCTTGATATTGCATCACAATTTATTGGATTAAAATTAACCTTGAGCATTTCAATCTGAGATTCCAGGAAATTTTTCTCCTCGATGAACCTTCTCTCCTTGAACTGGAGGTTGGACTCCTTGCTGTCCAGATCCTCCAACCTCGATACAGCCTCACATTTAGCTGATACAGCTCGGTTCACCTCCTCGGTGAGTTCCCGGATTTTACTGTGCAGTCTCTCAATCTCCTCCAGTCTACGTTCTGATAGTCCGGCAATATCATCCTTCTCAGCTCTAAACAAAAATTGTCAATTAGATTCTTTAAAATCAACCTATCAACCAAACATCAAATTACCCCACAAACGTTTCAACCAACTAACAAATCAACCAACCAACATTTCAACAATCCAACATTTTAACCTTAACCAACCAACCAACCGTCAAACAAGCTTAATAGCAACCAACCCATATTTCAATCAACCAACCAAAAATCAACAGTGCTCTGGCCTAGCTGGGGTACATCATGACTTTTTATCCTGACGTGACTAAGTAAAACGTTCGTTTCAAGACAAATTTGAGCCATGATACCAACATTTTTACCAACCAACAAATCAATAAACCTGAATCAAATCAAATCATACTTCACAGGGATTGCTTTCAAGGCCTTCTTCGTATGGGTTAGAGTTTGAAGTCCTTCCACATTCTGGTTTTTCATTCTTTGTCATTTCTTTACAATTTATTTTAGATTTTCGGAGTTTTCCTTAGGTAAACCAAACCAACCAAACTCTTAACCCATCAAACAACCAACCAACCAACCAACCACCTTACTTGGCATTAAATATTTGTCTCCTGAGATCATCTCGTTCTGCTGCTAGTTTCCCGTTCTCCTCTGTTAGTCTAGCAGCTGTAGCTCCAGCAGCTGTTGCCTGTTCACGGTACTGAGATAGGGCTGATTGTCCTTTCTCACTCTCCTCTACAATATTATTGAATAAATAATATATTTCGAAAAACGTATTGGTGCAGAATTTCTTCTGAAATCAAATCCAATGAGATCCTGTTAGTAGGGATGGATTAAGGCTCCTATATGTATTGTAGCGTAAATCTTCCAATTCTCGTCTTGTACATCCTTGAAATCATTTTTGCATTCCACAATCAATTAAGAATGAAGTATAAACAAAATTGATCTATTTAGTTATGAATATTTAAGAGCACTTATTTAACAAACTTTCTTTCGTTGAGCCTTAGAAAAACCAAAACTTATATGTGCGACCTTACGATTTTGTTTAAGGATGAGAACGCAATTTATTTTTGATAAGATTACGCCTAGCAGTCGATACTACATTGACTTTTAAAGAAACGAACGTAGCGTTCAAAAACAAACCTAATAATGGTTTTAATGACATAATGAATTTCTTTTAAACCTTTGAAAAAAAAACTGAAAAACCGTATTACTATAGTTCATAATTAATATTTGAGAGTAAACATAACCCACTGTGTAATATCTATGTTTTATATAATACTAGCTGAAGGGCCTGGTTTCCCATGAAAAAAAGTTGAAAAAAAAATATATATTTATTCTGAAAAAATTCGAATTAAAAAAATTGAATTATTTTAGCCTATTACACCCCCCGGCCATCCATGATTGTCAACTAAAAATTTCAGCCCAATCTGTCAAGCCGTTTGGTCGGCTATAGGCAACATATATATATATATATACGAATGTCTTGTTTTATTACATAGATTTTTATCTGAAAAAAACCCTCTGTAAATCGTTTCGGTTCGTTTTTTGGTCAAATTTTGACCAAATTTTGAGTGTAAGATAAGCAATTTTTTTTTTCAAAATTCTTTATTTTTAAACATTTGGTTTCCGTAAACTAGGCCAAATTTTGACCGAACCAAAAACGAACACTTTTAAAAGGATAAAAATATTACAAAAGTTAAATATTTTAAACTTAATCTGAATACAGTTTTGACATGTTCGAAGTTTTATTTTTTAAAAACCAACCATTACAATTTACTCTACCTGTGAAGGCGGCTAGTTTAGATTCTAGATCCTGGTTCTTCTTCTGTAGTTCACTGATCTTTTGTTCTCCATTCACCTTAGTCTAAAATAGTTTTTAAAAAAACATATAAATAATTATCAATCAAATTAAGAGTTTGGGAATGATTAGGTGCATTTAGAGGTTCATTTTTTTTCGCCAGGATCATAGCCAGATATTTTACATTCGAGGACTTTAACCCTTATACGAAAATTCATTAATTTTTTTCCAACCAAAACTTTGCATTGATTTATAAGAGTTTATTATTTGACTAAATGTGAATACCTTCTCTAGCTCTGCCTTGAGTTGTCCTGTCTGTGTGTTCCAGGCTTGAACTAGGACGGATTGTGTATCTGATGGTAGAGTATTGAACCGGGCAGGACTAAGGATAGCCCGGATATCACCGGAAGACGCCATGATTCACCAATCCACCAGCTCCTACTCGTTTAATTACAAGTTCTGAAAATATAGATTTTCAGGAAATATTATCACACATTATATACACAGTGACAAACAAGTGAAGAAAAAATCTATGATAAAACATAAAATGCAAACATCGCACCTAAAATTTAATGTTTTGGAACCATGAGGAACCAATTCTTTACAGATATAAAATACATAATGTTGAATACTGGTTTCCTCAAGGAGATAAAAATAGGATAAGATTGATAGGAGGGAGGGATGGGAAAGGATAGGAGGGAGGGATGGGAAAGGATAGGAGGGAGGGATGGGAAAGGATAGGAGGGAGGGATGGGAAAGGATAGGAGGGAGGGATGGGAAAAGATAGGAGGGAGGGATGGGAAAGGATAGGAGGGAGGGATGGGAAAGGATAGGAGGGAGGGATGGGAAAGGATAGGAGGGAGGGATGGGAAAGGGGTATAATTTCCCAAATGTACAATTTAAACATAAGAAAATGCTTTGTGAGAAATTGAGGATAAAGCTTAAGTTTAAAAAGGGGACAAAGTATGAACTAGGATAAAGAAAACGATTTAAGATAAGACCAATCCAAGTGAGTAACTGCGAATGAATTAAATGATAGCTATCATGTACTAACATCCTATCTGGATCGACTGAATCATTGTTCATGCAAAGACAGGGTTAAGGAGTACATAAATGAAGGACTAGAAAAGACATGTGATGGTATTCAAATATAAAAACAATATAAAAACCTCTTTTAAATCGTGATAATAGATTAATTAAATTTAAAACTCTGTCAATAATAAATAGATAATATTATCACATACATCACGAGTCAACTAGAGGAAAGAGGAAAGGGAATTATAGAGGTTTAAAACTATCAAACAAACCAAGTGTCGAGCAGAAATCACTTAAATATCACATGAAATAATAAGAAACTATAATGGCGGAGGTTTCCACAGGGTGTCACAGAATAGTCAAAACCTTTCGGAAACCGTTAATTTGAATTTTTTTTATAGATTTTACAATGATGTAAAAAAATATGGAAACAATAGATAATAGAAATAAATAAGTACCGAATATTGATACTACTTTTAAACAGTCCTATTCATGCTCCAAATATTCTGAAACACCCTTTAGTTAGATATCAGGTTCTAGAGAGGAGTTGGCCGGATGCAAGGTTTGGAAGATTTTCTCTCTCTCAGCTTCCTCTGCTCCTTCATCTTGGTTTACTTCCGGGTTTGCAATGAGTTACTCAACCATTCCATACTTTCGTCTAAACCTTCTCCTTTAGTTGCACTCGCCTGCAATAGTAGAGAATAAACACTTTGAAGAAAATATTATTATTTTCTTCAACTATAAACTTTTTTACAATAAAATAACTTTACCTTAAATATTTGAAAAGTTCTATTCTTGAGTTTATCAAGACCTAAAGCTCCATGAACTTCTGTAACACTCATAGCTCCCTCTATATCCTGCTTGTTGGCTAGAACTACAAGGACAGCATCCTTTAGTTCATCTTCCTCCAGCATAGAGACTAGTTCCTGCTTACTTATACCCATCCGGTCCCTAAACATTTTAGGTTCAGTTTCCAAGTATTTATTTAACTTTAGTTTTCTAATCCTTGTATATTTACAACCTGAGTTATGCATTTAGTTTAAAATATCAATAGTCTACAAAATCAGATTTCAAAGATATAAAATTAGAAAATTCAGAACATGATCCTGGAGTTAAGCTTCAGAGCCGTTTAGTCATTGATGAGTTGACTAACTCTTCACTTGATATCTAACCCCCCTCAGGCTATCGCCAGGGGGTGCCCAAATCATAACTTAAATCTAGGCGTTCACCGTTATTTTAAAAAAGTTTTTTCCTCCAAGTTGAAAAATGGTTTATTCAAAATGAATTGACGGATTAAGCGTAGTGGAAAAAATTAGATATGTGCAGGACACATGTAATTTTTTTAATTAGACACTAGTAGGACCGATAAAATGCAATAAAACAAATGAGATGCACAAAGAACAAATGAAGTGTCCATGACTTCTGAGTGCTGGTAGGAAGAAAATACCAAACAAGAACTGACCTGTCCGCACTGTCGACAACATAAATAATAGCGTCTGTATTAGTGTAGTAACATCTCCAATAAGGACGAATACTGGTCTGACCTCCTAGATCCCAAACCTAAACATGTATTGTGTAATCGTTTAAACAGTGCTTAGGATCCTGATCCAGCCAATCAAAAACTATAGAGAAAAAAATATTTTTACTCTCAAAACTCAAATCTTAACTGTTGAAAAAAGAGAGATTATAAAATTTCCTGATCCCTGACTGGCTCATCTAGTTTAAGCATAACATTAAGCGAAAAAAAAGAATAAAAATAATCTGAAAATTCTGATTTGTTAAAAAAATTCATTAAATCTTAAAGAAATGTTCATGACCTGACTCCGGATCCAGGATTTGGATCTAGATCAATTTTTTCCCATAATTCTCATCCAGGATCCGGATCCGAATCAAAATTAAATGTATCCTAAGCACTGGTCATAACACTAACAAAGATAAACTCCGTTCGGCCATTTTTATTCAAACCTGAGCTCGGAACTATTAAATGGAAAAAACGAGTTAAACATCTTTATTTCGTTTTTTTTACAAAAACCTGGAGATTTTCTACAAAAAAAAGACGTCATAACGAACAAGAAATTTTTTAGAAAACTAATTTTAAATATTCGCCAGTTAAAAACGTACCTGAAACTTGAGGTTCTTATAGGTGACAGTTTCTACATTGAATCCAATAGTTGGGATAGTTGTAACTACTTCTCCGGCCTGTAGTCTGTACAGGATCGTTGTTTTACCTAAACATTAGACCGGTTCTAGAAAGATGACTCTTAAGAGTGGTATAAAACCGCTCTCGTACCACTCTCAACGCTAATACCCGTGTTTAGGAAATTCGGATTCTTTAAAAACTAATTCTGCCAAATTCGGGGTAGGTTTATTATCTAGCCTAGAACAACTGATGAGTTCTTTACTCACTCATCCTAGCTGATACCAGTTTTATCATCCATTCTCTAGAAAATTGCCTTTTTTGTGCATCCTCGAGGACTTAAAACTCAGCAAGAATTTTTTTAAGAATTGAAGACGACTTGAAGTGATATATTTTTTTATTTTTGATGAAAGTATTTAATAATCGATATTTATCTACTTTGATTAAATTAAAATTAAAGATATATTATGGTTAAAATAGATTACATTTCTGAGGAAAGAAATTTTTTTCTTAAAATTTTTTTTCTTCTCAATTATTTAAAGTTTATCTCAAGTTTTTTTTTAATATTCAAAATATCATACAAAAGTAGAACCCACCTGTAAATATAGAGGGAGGGTATAAAATTATTTTCCATTTTTATTATTCATTAGTTTTTTATGCATCCCTGCATTTAATGCATCTCTGTAATTCATAAGCTTTCTTTTCTCAGGAAATCTACCCAAGCCAAACTAATACCAGCATTTAGGGTAGATTATCCTACCTATATCCACTCTGCGGCTGGATTTAGGTAACACCACTCTTTGTAATACCGGTATCATGCATAATACCAGTATTTCCACTTATAAAGAACGCATATGGTAGATGATCTACCCTTAATACCACCAATCAGGATTTGTAAAGAGTGGTATTTAGCTCTCTAGAACCAGGCTATTATCAAACCTTGAGATTATACACTACAGAGGTGCTCCAACCTACTAATGATGCTAAGTAGTGATTACAAACTTGAAGTCTAGACTCTGGAATACACCTACTTTATCAGAATAAAAAAATCTTACTTATAATCCAAAAATAATTTTATTTTATTTTCTAAATTGAAAATGGCAAAAATCTTTTTTCGGCTAGTTTTACCTTGAAACATTTAAATATGTGTCACGCATGTAGAAACCAGGGTCAGGGGGGGGGGATTTAACTTTTGATCCCTAATTACCTGCTCCATCTAGTCCAAGAATCAATATTCTCATCTCCCTGGATCCTAGGAGCCCCTTGAAGTAACTGAACAATCCTCCCATTCTATCTGACGAACAGTGTATGTATAATTACTTAACTATCTTCACCAATACTAGAACTGGCAAAGATTAACAAAACATAAATGCATATTCAAGGCAACGAAGGCAACTTAAAATTAGTGTAGTTAGTGCGATATAAAGATGTTACTGGAAGAGTGTACTGTAGGGTTTCCTCATTGACGTAAATTGTACAGTAGTGCTATGTACATAAGCAAATACTCCAGGTTAGGATGGAATGCTTGGTATTGTGTTGTTCTCCCAGGTTTGAGTATCATCAACAATTCCTCTCCTGATCCAGGTTCAGCTTAGAGCTCTACCAATCATTCTCATCACTGGAATCCCCGTCATTACGCTTCCCACGTCCCTTTACCTTCTTGCCGATAAAATTTGTTTTGGAGGATTTCTTTGCGTCATCGGGAGGGGTCATCAGGTCGCCAGAGTAAGTGATTACTTCATTCTGAAATATGATTTTACATATTTACAATGTTTAGGGAGTCAAACTTTGTCAATCAAACTAACATTGGTCTTAGCTTAAGGAACAAAAAAAACCGCAATTATTATATTGATCATAAACAATTACTAAAAGTAGATGGTTACTAGAATTTTTAATATTTGAAAGAAAAATAGATCATAAAGATTTGAATTTGTTTCGTCTGCGGTGGGATGAATCCCGTCTAACCTGAGCAATTCTCCACTCCAGCATCTCAGTACTAAACTCATCAGTGTTTCCCAGCTCTGAAAACCCAACTACGTATCCACGGGTCTGTGCGTCCTATATAAGAAAACAATTTATCAATCAATCAATTTATATGATGTGTATTTAACCTGTCGGCGGTCTAAGTTTCCCATATCAGGGTGCTTATAGATTTAACCGTTTATTCTTATTTCTATAAACTGTACATTTCGGAAAAGTTAAAAATGTTATTTACCTTGATCAGAATCACTGTTGGTATGACCTAAACAAAACAAGGATCAGTGGAAAATTATAAAAAAAAATTTAAATTAACTAAAAATCAACAAATAATTTTATTTTCCATATGGAAGACGTTCCAACCTTGATTTTGAGTCTGTCGCAGAGGAAGGGACACTTTTCCGCATTAATCTTGCAGAACTTTGTTTCAAGATGTTTCTTGGCCAGAATATTCAGATGCTTGTCCAGGATCTTACATCTAACAAGACAATTAGGATAATAATTTATCGGTCAGAAAAAGTCAGATACTTCACCCTAGCCCAACCGTTTCTTTACACTTACAGTTAAGAATTGGTAACTTATACGAAGCCCGATTGGATCACATATGATTATAAATTGTATGTGGAAAAGAAAAGGAGATTTATAAAAATACAGAAAATTAGGATAGATCAGAAGGCTGCGTGTTCATATCACGTCGGGGTCACCAATTTAGAGAATAAGAACAAGTCTATGATATAGTTTATTAGCAATATATTTGTAGGTAATAAACTACTATGCAGGAGAACATGTTGATCTGATGCAGGTTGGAGAACTACTGGATTTACACCAGCATATATCTTTTCCCGTATTTTCTCCTTTTCCTTTAAGGATTCCTAGTTCAGATTTAAGGAGAAAATAGATCCTCTACAACAGTAACATTAAAAAATAAAGAGTTTGTATAAAATATTTTTTTCGGAGGGTTAAGGGTGTGGATAAAAAGAATTAGGAAGAGGAAAGTATGGTACAAGGAAAGGTTAAAGAATCGTTTAAATTCATTTATAATCTCCTGTCTACTAGAATTTAAAAGATGTCCCTAGCAGATTATTATAAATGATACCTGAAAGTTTCTTCTCTGTAGAAATGACAAACAACGTTCTGTGAATTCTTTGTGATATTGAAGAACTCCTTCTCCTCGGGTATCTCGGAGTACTCCCCGTGGCCCTGCTGCATCCACTCAGCCTTCTTCTTCTGCATGTTCTTCATCGCCTCTGCAAAATAAAATAATAAAATGCATCTAGGTCCATGAATTAATATACCCCCCCCCCAGGTTAGGAAACTAATTTCCAAATTATTAATTCCCCCATAAATCTTTTGTTCCCAACTCCTTAAATTCTGTTAGAAATGTGTTAATTTTACTTCTTGACTCTTTAAAAACAACATAGTAAAACAGAATCCTGTGTTAAAAACTATACCTAGTCTTCGGCGTTTGATAGCCTCAAGATCATCCTCGTCCAGCTTCTCTAGGTTCTTAATCTCATCATCAACCTGCTCTTCCATTACTCTAGCAGCCTAGATATAGTTATTATTATAACTCTCTAGGTTCTTGATCTCATCATGAACCTGCTCTTCCATTACTCTAGCAGCCTATATATATTAATAACATTTCTCTAGGTTCTTAATCTCATCATCAACCTGCTCTTCCATTACCCTAACAGCCTATATATATATCAATTATATTGCTATAGGTTCTTAATCTCATCATGAACCTCCTCTTCCATTACTCTAGAAGCCTAGCTAGATGTAATTATTATAACTCTCTAGGTTCTTTATCTCATCATGAACCTACGCTTACATTACCCTAGCAGCCTAGATATATTAATAATATTTCTCTAGGTTCTTAATCTCATCATTCTCCTTCTCCTCAATGATTTCAGAAAAGATGAATCATGACCAAAAAAAAATCGTAGATGTGTGTGATATTATTATCATGTTAGAAATAATACACAAAAACTTCAATCTGCAGTATTTTCAATATTGACTAAATGGCGCTCGACACTTTGCTTGTCTGTCCTAGCCGCACCGCTCGGCTAAGAATAGCTTAACCAATACTAATACAAAACATACTATTTTTAAAAATGACATGGCCACGCGCTGCCTGTCCTGGCGAACGATTTTTGGGCCCCCCCCCCCCCTTCCTATCAATTTTGTACATGACCAAATTAATTTTTATTTATCATTATTTAGGGTTAGGTTAGCTTAAGCCACTTTCTGGGCCGAGCGCTGCGGCTAGGATGGACTAGGGGCCGAGCGCTGCGGCCACGGGTTGGGTTAGTTAAGACACTTTCCGGGCCGGGCGCTGCGGCTAGGACAGGCTCGGGGGCCGAGCGCTGCGGCCACATGTCTTACATTTAAGATCCATGTACAAAATTGATAGGAGGGGGATCCAAAAATCGTTCTCTAGGAATATACCGCGCTGCAGAACTAAAAATATTTCTCCAAGATGCATTATTAAGAGTTTTTATGAATTATACTTACATTGATTAACTGCTGACTGAGAATAGCTCCCATATCTACGTTTCCTGCCATTTTTAGTACTGATTTTTCTGCAAACAAACAAAATTTTAAATTATGAAATATCAAAAATACTTGCAACTTTAAAGATTAATAGACAAATAAGCAAAACAATTTATCGTATACCATAGAAGCTCCTGAGGTAATTTGCATTGTTGGGATAATTTTTTAAGATCGTTAAATAAAGCGGACTACGTTGAACGGTGCAGATGTGTATGAAGAATGCGCATTGTTCAATTTTGAATACCGCAACATATTCTCAACTTTCTACACCTGGCACAATATTAATTGTGTTAGATCTCTTATAATTTATCAATTATGTCAGCTAGAATCTCACTAGATATATTCCAAGCTTGAAGTCGCAACTGGCCTGAAAAAAAACTAAAATAAAAATCTTATTTATGAAAATCTAAAGATTAACGTCGTCTTCTTTTTATTCTATGACTAATAATGCAGGGTTACCCATTGCGGATGATTCCTAAAAGACGACCTAGAACTCTGGAAATATTGTACTTCGCAAAGGTTTAATTTAGACTTCTGATTGGAAGTCTTTCAATGATAAACCTAACGCGTTGGTAAAGTAAAAAACGATTTTACAGTTGCATGTCCCATGAAGAAAAAAGATACCGCACAATCGACTTGGTTAAAAAAAACTTCTCGATGATCATTCTATGGTTTCATGCAGGTTTAAACTTTTGCCTCTCCGTGTAAAATGATTTGGTCAATCAACTTAAATTCTAAATTATAGTCTCAAGATTTGATCTAACCTTCAGATCGTTATCTACGTATTTAAAGAGTTTTCGGTAAAGTTCTTTAAGTCTTATCCTTTGTGGGTAACCATATATGGTTAAATCATTATTATCATCATTTGATAGAACGGGTTGGATAGTGATAAAATCTAGTCTATTTCCCTTCAATCAACAATTTATTTCTGAAATCTTTTTAAAAATAAAATTATGTTTGTTTATAGTAAGATATTTTTCATTTTGTCATTTCTCCGGGCATTTTTATTTTTTGGGGGATTTCTTGAGGGCAATTAAAGTCATTGGATTGGAACATTTGGAAATTATTTCTTTAAAATTTATTTCAGTTAAATCCATCCCTCTCACTCCCTGATGGTGTAATTCTGTTATATTTAAAACTTGGATAATTTGAATGAATAAAATTCAAAGTTTTAAATATCTAAGTCTACGACTTGGACTGCAAAGATATACGAGTTAGAACTTCAGGGTTTTTGGCAAACTTATTTACAGCACACTAGCAACAGAATTTATGGATGATTAATTCAAAAACCTTTTTTAAGCGAGCTCAATTCCTTCTGTTTCCTGCTTAGGTCGTATTCCATTCTCTTGAGACTAGACTGGATGGACGAGAACTCAACCTGACATTACAACATGAAGATACAATCAAATTTGTTTTAAGAAATTTCAACTTTTACGTGATCTCTGATAAGGATTAAGATAAAAATGTTCTTTTAGAAAAATCTCGACATTTTGCAAATGTCGAAACAAATTGAAAAATGTTTGTTGATATTGTTTTAAAGTGGACTGTGAACACGTGATTCTGTTTTTCAAAGCTTGAAAAGGAGTTAGAAGTGTAGATTAATGACATTGTTTACAAATTGTAGACAGTACATTACAATAATAAAATATGTTCCATAAACACTTTTCAAATTCTTCCTTTTTGAAATGATTGTTTTACACTTGTTTGAAGTAAATTTTTCTTTTTATATTTTCTACTCTGTAAAATGTATACAGTTCATGCAGACCTCCTAAATATCTTATCCTTTGTGGCTATTGCTAACCTTGTATAATCTACACGTTTAATTAAGTAAGTTTCTGAAAAAAAAAAAAAAGACAATTACTGTACCTTGGCTCCCTCACTCATCATACCTTTCTCCAAATCCCACTGTGCCCTTCAAATATTTAAAATAGAATTATTAAAATTAAGAAGAAAGAATAAAAATAAATATTAAGAAACGGTGAATCTAATGAAAATTTCATTTCACTTTTGCACAGCTTCTCTTTGATTAAACGTATATTTGTCTTTGCTGAATAAAAGCTAGAATAGGAAGTGTATTGATATAAACGCCGACCACTTTAGTAGGATTCCTTTATTGAGATCAGATGAATTGAACATGATCAGATGCAATTGTTAAGATACGATGCATTAATGAGCGATTTAAAAAAAGATAATTGCATTAAATGCCTATTGAGATCATATGCATATGCATTTTTTTGTATAATCTATTTTAGGCAATGACAAAAATAATGCTCAACCTGATATCGTGAATCTCTGATTTGACCATCTGAATATCTCGTATCTGAACTGGGGTTTTGGAACTCAAGATTTCAAGGTTTCTCCAACTTATACTACCCTGACTAGAAACACTCTTAAAAGCCTAAAAAGATAAAAATCTTTGTTTATCTGAACTCTTAAATTTTAAATGAAAATAATTAGATATGAAAATAAATCTAAAAAAAAACTACCTCGATCATTTTCTCTTTTTTCCTAATCTCAGCCAATAAGGATTCTCGTTGATAATGCTTGGGAGTTACTTTCCTCTTTTCTTTCATCGTCTTTTTAGTCAAGTTCCGCCCAGTTACATCTTCTCCTTTTATCGCTAGACGTGTTCGAACTCCTATCGCTAATCATCTTCGTTAAATAAGGAAGAAGTTTTTCGGACAGAAGAGTAAATCGGTGTTTTTCTGCAAACAGAACTGGGTTTCTAAACAAGTTTTTTTTTTTAACCAGTAACGAACTTGGCAAAATGTGGCGAATTATCAGAGTTTTTACATACCAGTAAAATCAATTTTAAGTTACTGGAAAAAATGTCGTATCATGGTAATACTAAACAGGAGAAAGTCGACAAATAGTCGACTTAAGAAGATCAAAAGTCGAGTTGTTGTCAACAAAAAATGACTACGTTTTGTTGGGTTTAGTCTCTAATTATATAAAAACATTAAAGATGATATTCTTTCCTAGATTCAGATCATCAATCTTCCGTTTTATTTCAGAATTCTCACTGAAAAATATATTTTATTGAATGAACTGCCGACCTAATTTCAAACTTTTCTTGATTCGAGGCATTACATGCCAGATTCACGTCGGTACCCTTCATCCCAGGGGTGTATATTTTCATTAAATTATAACCCCCTCTTCTGAAAGTACATTTTTCCCCAGAAGATGGTATGTTTGCGCTGAGGGTTTTTATTGGTTAAATTGGGGAAAAAAAATGATTTTCAGGGAAAAATAGATAAATTTTTGTCTAAACGTATGAAAAAGGATGAAATTTTCATTTTTTTACCCCGATCTTCAAAAATCTCATTTCTTAAAAACATACACCCCTGATTAAGCTCTTAAGGAGTTTGGCGACTTAATTTTTAGTGATCCAGGCTTAAAGAGTTTATCTACCTCTCTAGGTTCCCAACAATCTTCTTCAAGTTGTTGGTTGCAGTTTGTAGTTTAACAGATACCCTGGAGAAACCAGTTAATACAGGTTAAACCAGATAGTTATCACGAGATGATAAATGATCACAATTGATAAGTTTGTGAATCATATCGAACTTGAAGATAGAAGACAGTGCGATGTTCGATAATGATGATAAATGATATACGAGAGATGTCCAATAAGTTTTGAGAAATTTTTTAAATGTACTTCGAGACGTCTTAGCCCTTTAATTTTTTTAAGTTCACTATATTTATATCGGTTTAATTTTCGACCAGCTAATGTCAATCAGATAATACAGGGTGTCCCACGAAACATGACAGATGGTAAATAGTTTAAATGTCTTCTTCCAAAAATTTGTAAAGTTGTTTAATACCAAAGAGAATAATAAAAAAAATAATATGACAGTCAAGTTATGCTATTGATTTAAAAGTAAAATATATTTAAGTAAGAGATTTTTTAAATCAAAATAAACTGCAAAACTCCTATAATATGTAATACTGTATATGGAAAAAGACATTCAAAACTATTCAAACACTGTCATTTTTTGTGGGACACCCTGTATGATAGACGCAATTAGCTTTCTCCTCGAGCCCGTAAACGTTGCTTGACACAGTCTGAATATTTTATCTATTGACTCAAACTTTACCCATTTATGCGTGTTCTAGAGGTTAGTTAGCTTAAAAAGTCAAAGGACGGTATCCCTTTATTGTAGAAAGGGTCCTTGAGGGTTTTTATAGTTTTAATCTACGTTTCAGCAAACCAATTAATATCTTTTCCCAAGACCCCTTTGGGGCAAATGCTGTCCAAATCGTTACCATTTTTTAAATCTTGCCCTACAACTTTGTATGCAGGACCATTTCAGAGATGCCGAACTCATCAAACTTTATCAGCTTATAAGCTTCGCTAATTTGGTCTAAGAAACTTTCCATTTGTGGACTGTTTGTGGGGTTTTTGTAGATTTTTCCTGCTAAAACATTTCCTCTTTCTGCCAACACTCTCAATTACACTTTTCCCCTTTTAGTCCACATATAAACTAAATATTTAATCTCCTCTAATGCACTGTGGATTATGCAAAAGGCGTCTGCTTGGTATTTGGAAAGTTTTAGGCACGATTTTTTTGTGTATTGAGCATCCCAAGTGTCCTCTTTCCCAGGTTGGGATTAAAAACATTCCCGTAACAGCGGAGCTAAACAATCTCTGGGAAAATGCGAATTACATAGAAATAAAAAGTTTGACGAATAAAGTCCGTTAGGAGAGGACATCCATGATGGATACAGTGAGCTTTGAAAACGAATTAAAGGCCTTAAGGGCAGTTTCAATTGCACCCCGCGACCCCCAGGTTTACGTATCTGAGAAGGGCAGAATATATGGAAGCTTAAGCCTGTGTATAATTGCGTCTAGGCGTACCTCTAAACAAAATTTTGCTAAACTTATTGGACTCACCTCGTAAATGATCAAGATAATGATGATAATGATGATAGATAAGAAATTTGGTAGGTGATCAAAATTAAAATTAAAATTTCTGAAGTTCACTATAGATAATACTCATAATTTGAAGGATAAAAATCAAGATAATAGATAAAAGAAATTATATTACATATTAAGAGCATTATATATCGTATAAGAACAGTCAGTTTTTCTTTTTAATAGTCTTTTAATAATTAATATCGACCGTAAAAAATTGTTAATTGTTTATCCAAAATAATAATAATTTAATAAAAAATCAGCCATCTTTCCGTATGAATCAAGGCCGAGCCTCCCCCCCCCCCCCTCAATAATAACCGCCAAATGACGGAAATTGATGGTCCAATGCTTTTAAAAAGTAATGAGAGAATTATCAAATCAATATTGGCAAATAATTAGATTTTTATATTTTATGAAAGATTAATAAATAATTGGAGAAACATGAATAGTCTGGTTTCCTAGGAATCTGATCTAGAACGGATCCAAGGAGTCCCAGCTCCTTTTCCAGTTTGTGTAAGGATTGAGTAGAAGACTTCTTGAGCTCTTGGATACTCTCCTCGAGGCAATCCTTGATTAAACCACTACTGGAACCTTCTGTAGTATCATCTCCTAGGTTCTGCTCTCCTAACTGCAAATATACATCCTTGATTAAACCACTACACTGGAACCTTCTGTAGTATCATCTTCTTGGTTCTGCTCTCCTAGCTGCAAATATAAATCCTTGCTTGATTAAACTCCTGTAACCTTCTGTAGTATTATATTATTGGTTCTGCTCTCCTAGCTGCAAATATAAATCCTTGATTAAACTCCTGGAACCTTCATAGTATCATCTCCTTGGTTCTGTTTACCTAACTACAAATATACATCCTTGATTAAACCACTATTCTGGAACCTTCTGTAGTATCATCTTCTTGGTTCTGCTCTCCTAGCTGCAAATATAAATCCTTGCTTGATTAAACTCCTGTAACCTTCTGTAGTATCATCTTATTGGTTCTGCTCTCCTGGCTGCAAATATAAATCATTGATTAAACTCCTGGAACCTTCATAGTATCATCTCCTTGGTTCTGCCCTACTAGCTGCAAATATAAATCCTTGTTTAAACAACTCCTGGAACCTTCTGTAATATCATCTTCTAAGTTCTGCTATCGTAGCTGCAAATATAAATCATTGTTTAAACAACTCCTGGACCTACTGTAATATCATCTTCTAGGTTCTGCTCTCCTATTAGCTGCAAATACAAATCATTGATTAATTAGCTCCTGGAACCTTCTGTAGTATCATCTTCTTGGTTCTGCTCTCCTAGCTACAAATATAAATCAAAGAATTAGAACCTATACAGGAGCTGTTGCTAAAAAGACTACTATTTTATCAGTAAAATTTCAAAATGACATTTTTCCTTCCAAATGACTCGCTGATCCCGATCTGGAGCTTTTAGGGTGTACTATGCTCGTTAAAATGGAGAGTTAAAAAACTATTGTATCGTCCACAATTTGTCAGATTTGTGAGGTAACAAATCAAGTTCTAAGTCCCACAATAGAGTTTTTAGTAATTTTAAGGCAAATAATTCATTAAGTGTTTGTAAACTTAAAGAAACCATTTAAACTGTAAAATATCAAAATGCTTTAACCCAATGCATAGCTTTTAATGTTAAACTTTACTGTATCCGCCCCTGCCCCATACACAATAACCCATCCTAGCCGCAGCACAGGGCTTAAAATTCGTATTTGGATAACGGTCACCTGGTGCAACAGCTCATATTTTCGTCTCTGTAATATTCTCAATCTATCTCTTGTCTCCTTAGAACAAAATAAAAAATAATTTAAGAATTTTGTCTTCAGTATTTCGAAAATGCGAAATTGAAGACAGAAATTGAGTCTTTGCTACAAACTCATATTTTCTAATCCCTATAACTTTGCCGCCTTATGGTGTAAACCTGTGATATTTCAAACTTATTTTTCTCATTTGATCTAACAGAATTCATAGTTTGAAATATCTAAGATATACGACATTGGGTTGCAAAGGTGTATGGATTTGAAAATCACACTTAGACTCAATTCCTTTACTAAAATATAACTTAAGAATTTTTTTAATCTAAACGCAGCTCTTATTTTTAGTGTCATGAAAAAGCGGCAAAGATCTAAGACATTTTTAGATCTAAGTCAAATCCAGGTCAAATCCAGGTCAAATCCAGGTCAAATCCAGGTCAAATCCAGGTCAAATCGGAGCCGCAGGAAACTCTGATAAATCTTTTACAAAAAAATAGTTTTCTTTATTTTTTTTTATTTCCTCTACTTTCGCTATAGATTGGTTGAACTCCAGGTCCACATTACTACAGGTGGAGGTGTCCTGTATGCTCTTGGACTTCACCATCTCAGTATACATCAACACTTCATTCTCAACCTCAGATATCTCCTCCTAAAACAAGGGACTGTTTACAATGTTTACTTATAGGTAAACTAAAAACTGAAATAATCATTTAAATAATTTTTTAACATTTCATGATTGCTTGACAGATACAATTCCTTACAGTCGTCTCTGAATTCTCTTTTATAGTTGGTAATCATGTATTTTTACACAGATCAAACAAATACGACTTGTTCATTTATTATTGTATTCTTACCTTCCCCTAAAGTAATATCCTAGCATCCGCGAGACTTCAAGAAAAAACACGCAAAATTTGGAGCTCTCGTATATATTTAAAGAAAATAATTATATTTTTTGAGAAAATGATTAGATAGACTTGTTAAGAGGTTGAGTTCAGATAAACAGTTCTTAGGAATACAAGATGGGTAGAAATCAGAATAATAATACCAATGATCTGATCCTAGAGCTGACCGCTGAGACAAAGAAGAACTTTGAAGATCTGAACAAAATTTCTCAGCAGAGCAATGATGTAGAAAAGCTAACAAAAATGGTTGAAATGGTGACTAAAATTAGAGAAGATGAAGAAGGATATTGAAGTGGGACTAAATGAGAGAGAAATGCGTGCGAGAAACCAGAGTATCAGAGTGGGGTGTCTAAAGTCATCAAAATTGGGTCGGTTAACTCAATTCTGGACTTTTTAGTGCATTTCCCCCTGTCCTTATGCCATTCCCCCCTCCCTTTCCTGCATTCCCCCCCCCCAAAAGGCCTAAGAAGCCTTTTGATTTTGTTACTCGAGATTTCTCTCTGATTTTTTGCATGCAGGCCTGAATTGGGATCTATTTTATTAATCGAACATCAAAATGGGGGGGGGGGAATTTTCCCCACATATTTCACGATTTTAAAAAAAACTTTTTTGTATGTAGTTTATATTACAACGCTTATTTATCTATCCAATTATTCTATTAAAAACTGATTTGTTTCAAATAACTCTAATTTTTTACTAAATGTTAGATATAATTTTATTTTATATATTTTATTAGTTTTTCAAATGTTTATTCTATTAATCCACAGAGGATCTAGATTATAGAGTACAGCTCCGCAACACAGAGGATAAAGATTAAAGAGAAGAGCTCCTGAGCTGGGAACTACAGAATGATGGATAACGAAATCAAAGCTTGATCCTCTCTTTCATATAACGATTATTTACCACCTCCTTTTTTTGTTCCAATCGAATTAGTTGAAATTGTTAATATTTTACAAAACAAGTCCTCTTGTGATATTGATGGTATCTTAATCAAATTTATCAACAGAATCATAAAATCCTTTTCTCTTCCGTTAACATATATTCTAAACCTTTCTGTAGAACAAGGTATATTTCCAAATTCAAGGAAAACCTCCAGGACTATTTCAGTATTTAAGAAAGAAGGATCTACTCGAAATCCTTCAAATTAGAGACCTATTTCACTTATTAATTGTTTATCAAAACACATTGAAAAATGTGAGAATTTTAAACTTTCTAGATACAAATAATTTTTTTCTAGTATTTTTTCCTTCCCCTGGAGTAATCTCCTAACATCCAGCTTATCTACCTCCTTTAATACTGTATTCTTACCTTCCCCTGGAGTAATCTGCTAGCATCCAGCTTCTCTATAGTTCCTTTATTATTGTATTCCTACCTTCCCCTGGAGTAATCTCCTAGCATCCATCTTCTCTATAGTTCCTTTGATACTGTATTCCTACCTTCCCCTGGAGTAATCTGCTAGCATCCAGCTTCTCTTTAGTTCCTTTATTACTGTATTCCTACCTTCCCCTGGAGTAATCTCCTAGCATCCAGCATCTCTATAGTTCCTTTAATACTGTATTCTTACCTTAGCCTGGATTAATCTGCTAGCATCCAGCTTCTCTTTTGTTCCTTTATTACTGTATTCTTACCTTCCCCTGGAGTAATCTCTTAGCATCCAGCTTCTCTACCTTCTTTATTATTGTATTCCTACCTTCCCCTGGAGTAATCTCCTAGCATCCAGCTTCTCTATAGTTCCTTTATTATTGTATTCCTACCTTCCCCTGGAGTAATCTCTTAGAATCCAGCTTCTCTACCTCCTTTATTACTGTACTCCTACCTTCCCCTGGAGTAATCTCCTAGCATTCAGCTTCTCTTTAGTTCCTTTATTACTGTATTCTTACCTTCCCCTGGAGTAATCTGCTATCATCCAGCTTCTCTTTAGTTCCTTTATTACTGTACTCCTACCTTCCCCTGGAGTAATATCCTAGTATCCAGCTTCTCTTTAGTTCCTTTATTACTGTATTCCTACCTTCCCCTGGAGTAATCTCCTAGTATCCAGCTTCTCTTTAGTTCCTTTATTATTGTATTCTTACCTTCCCCTGGAGTAATCTCTTAGCATCCAGCTTCTCAAGTTCCTTTCTCCTTATCTCCTGCTCAGCAGTCTTTTTTCTTAATTCAGACAATTCTCTTCGTCTAAGATAATGTATTGAGAATTTACATTGTGGTAAAGCTATAGATTTTGATTCTAGAATCCGGTATAAAACAGAAATTTTATATTTCTTCTTATTACTTTTCACATATTAATAAAACAACGTTCTTTTTATCCAATTGACATATTGCAGTTGGAAACTTCTAAAAGCGCAATGATTGCTCTGGTCCAATTCTAAAAATCTCGAGTTTGTTTAAACTGTTTTCCCACAATCTACTTTTTTAGGATACACTGTATTTTACCCTAAAACCTGATCAGCTATTACTAATTTTATAACCCTGAACACACCATTCACGTCACATGTGTCTTAAAGAGAAACGGGTTAAAAAAACACTCAAATCAAATATTCTGAATTAAAAAATCTAAAAGAGGTTTGAGGTATACCTAACGTACCTACCATAAATGAACCTATTTATCCACTACACTTTTAAAAGAATTGATTCCTTATCACAAACTCAAATTTTCTATTCCCTATTATATTTGCAACCTGAATGTTTAAACCTTTAATATATCAAAATTAAATTATTTGATCCAACAGAATTTCTAATTGGATGTATCTAAAGTCTACATTTGGTTGCAAAGATATAGGGATTAGAAAAGTAGAGTTTATGGTGAAGACTCCTTAACTTCCATTGAGATAAATTAAAGACACTGATTACTTGAGGTTCTCTTACTTTGATTTTCTTATCCTTAAATTTTTACAACCTAATGTTGTAGACCTTTGTCATTTCAAACTATAAAAAAATGCTAAGTCAAAGTTAGAAATATCAAAGGCTTACACTTAACGTTTTAAAAAATAAATAATTAGGGTTTTAGGTGTAGGTCCACTGTGTCATTTTATTCTTTCAAAAGAATTTGCTTGAAATTTCCAAAGGTTTTACCTATTCTTAATTCTGGATAAACAGATCATCAGTTTGCTCTGTATCTCTTCTACATGTTGGATACTGTCCTTTCTTCTCAGTTCCTCACCAACCTTTGTACTCGTTCCTCCTCTCCCTCTCTTCTCCATAGTAATTCTTTCCTGACGTTCCTCTCTCTGTCTCTGCTCCTCTTGTAGCTTTACATCCAGCCTTAGTCTTTTTTTTCCCCTTTTCTCTTCTTCTCCTTTCTCAATCCACCGGTTCCTATTCTCTTCTCCACATCTTCCGATCTTCTCATCCACGGCGTTTTCCATCCTTTCTTTTTCCTGCGGTTGTTTCACTGATTTTATTGTTTCAACTGCCTGTATTTCTGGATCAGTATATCTACTTTGCGTCGAATCCGATTCTTCTCTTCTTTGTAAATCGATCTCTGGGTTAGTCATTCCTCCTTTCTCTGAATCCTTCCTATCCGGATTCATTCCTTCTCTTGTATACAAACTTTGTCGTTCATTATCTAGGTTTAATCGACCTCTCATCTCCGGATTCAAACAATCTCTCATCTCCGGATTCAAACAATCTCTCATCTCCGGAAACCTTCGTTCTCTAATATCCAAATTCATTCGATTCATCATCCCCGGACTTATTTCTTCTCTTATATCTGAAATCCTCTGTTCATTCATCTCTGACATCCTTCGATTAAACATTTCTGGATTCAATCTTGGATTTTCTAGTTTTCTCAAATCAGGATTGACTTTCCCTTTTATCTTCGGTTCAATCATTCCTTGTTTCTCCCTGGATATAAATGAATCCATCTTGCATCTTTCCTCTAGTTGTATCCCTGTATCCATCCTTCTCCTTTGCTCTGGTTGTATCCCTGTATCCATCCTTCTCCTTATGCTCTGGTTGTATCCCTGTATCCATCCTTCTCCTTAGCTCTGGTTGTATCCCTGTATCCATCCTTCTCCTTTGCTCTGGTTGTATCCCTGTATCCATCCTTCTCCTTACTTCTAGTTGTATCCCTGTATCCATCCTTCTCCTTTCCTCTGGTTGTATCCCTGTATCCATCCTTCTCCTTTCCTCTGGTTGTATCCCAGTATCCATCCTTCTCCTTTCCTCTGGTTGTATCCCTGTATCCATCCTTCTCCTTTCCTCTGGTTGTATCCCAGTATCCATTCTTATTCTTTCCTCTGGATGTATTCCTGTATCCATCCTTCTCCTTTCCTCTGGTTGTATCCCTGCATCCATCCTTCTCCTTTGCTCTGGTTGTATCCCTGTATCCATCCTTTTCCTTTCCTCTGGTTGTATCCCTGAATACATATTTCTCCTTTCCTCTGGTTGTATCCATGTATCCATATTTCTCCTTTCCTCTGGTTGTATCATTGTATCCATATTTCTCCATTCCTCTGGTTGTATCCCTGTATCTATTCTGTTCCTTTCCTCTGGTTGTATCCCTGTATCCATCCTTTTCCTTTCCTCTGGTTGCACCCCTGTATCCATCCTTCTCATTTCCTCAGGTTGTTTCCCTGTAGCCATCCTTCTTTCCTCTGGTTGTATCCCAGTATCCATACTTCTCCTTTCATCTAGTAGTTTCCCTGTATACATCCTTCTCCTTTCCTCTGGTTGTATCCCTGTATCCATCCTTCTCCTTTCCTCTAGTTGTATCCCAGTATCCATTCTTATCCTTTCCTCTGGTTGTATCCCTGTATCCATCCTCCTCCTTTCCTCTAGTTGTATCCCAGTATCCATTCTTCTCCATTCCTCTGGTTGTATCACTGTATCCATCCCATATCTTTCCTCTGAATATATCCCTGTATCCATCCTTCTCCTTTCCTCTGGATGTATCCCAGTATCCATCCTTCTCCTTTCCTTTGATTGTATCCCTGTATCCATTCTTCTCCTTTCCTCTGGTTGTATCCCTGTATCCATCCTTCTCCTTTGCTCTGGTTGAATACCAGTATCCATCCTTCTCCTTTCATATGGTTGTATCCCAGTATCATGCATCCTTTTCCTTTCCTCTAGTAGTATCTCTGTATCCATCCTTCTCCTTTCCTCTGGTTGTATCCCTGTATCCATCCTTCTTCTTGCCTCTAGTAGTATCCCTGAATCCATCCTTTTCCTTTCCTCTGGTTGTATCCCTGTATCCATTCTCCTCCTTTCCTCTGGTTGTATCCCTGTATCCATCCTTCTCCTTTCCTCTGGTTGTATCCCTGTATCCACCCTTCTCTTTTCCTCTAGTAGTATCCCTGTATCCATCCTTCTTTCCTCTGGTTGTATTTTTGTATCGATCCTTCTCCTTTCCTCTGGTTGTATCCCTGTATCCATTCTCCTCCTTTCCTCTGGTTGTATCCCTGTATCCATCCTTCTCCTTTCCTCTGGATGTGTCCCTGTATCCATCCTTCTCCTTTCCTCTGGATGTATCCCTGTATCCATCCTTCTCCTTTCCTCTGGTTGTATCCCAGTGTATCCATCCTTCTCCTTTCCTCTGGTTGTATCCCAGTATCCATCCTTCTCCTTTCCTCTGGATGTATCCCTGTATCCATCCTTCTCCTTTCCTCTGGTTGTATCCCAGCATCCATCCTTCTCCTTTCCTCTGGTTGTATCACTGTATCCATCCTTATTTCCTCTGGTTGTATTCCAGTATCCATCCTTCTATCCCTGTATCCCTCTCTCTAACCCTGGTCTGTATCTACAGACGCTTCACAGCATCGCTTTCAAAATCTACAAAAACTTTCATTAAAACTAAGGTTATTACAAATTTGCATTAAAAACATGGTTAAAAGACCTTATAATAAGATTATCCTTTCTGCCTTGATAGAACTATAAAACTAATAGTTTTCCTATATTCGACCTAACGTAAAATCAGGGATTAGCATTACATAAATTTATTCACATGTAGTAACATAATTTTATTCTAGCTAAGTTCCCTTTTTAATATATTTGGTATTTACAATATCATATTAAATATAAACTTCATTAAGTTAAAGCCAAGTGTAAAACTATCACACATAAATAATAAATAATCGGATAGAAATAAACCAGAAAAATGCTCAAAATGTTTTATCAAGTTAGCAAAACGTAACAAAATATTGTGAGCATTTTCATAAAATATTCAAGACATTGGAAAAAAACTTGACATAACAATTAAATTTTACGTTCAAAAGCGTTCACACATTGTTTTATTTATAAATATCTGCATGAGGTGAGTATCAAAGAATGGAAATATTTTTATGTTCATAAAAAGCAAAAGATCTTTTTTGAAGTGAAAACTGAAACAAAATGTTAACGGTCATGTTAGCTCAAGAGTATTTTTAGTGTAATTGTGTGAAGAGTGAATATCTTTGGGATACAAATTATTTGACCGATGTTCCGTCCCGAAATATATTTTTTATCTTGTGTAAACTTAGCGTTATACAACCAACGAAAAGACTCTCGAGTTTAAAGCAAGAACCTGAAGAGATTTTTTGGTATTGTCAAATTATTAGAAAATAACTTTATAAAAATTATTTAACGTCGGTATTCTGATGAAGAAAATATCTTTAAAGATTTTTAATAATAATTTCGTAATCTACTAATGCCCGTGTAGTGAAAGTAAGAAATTCATTTAAAGTCAAAAATTTTAAATTTTAAATCAAAAATGAACTAGAAAAAAAAGAATGTTCTTAAAACTGTCTTAAGCAGTTTTGGTTTGTTTACGTTGCTAAGTCGATGATGCAATTTGATATCCGTTAATATTAATTCCAGATTCCAAAACTATATAATTCCAGGCATACAAAATAACTGTTATTACAAATATAACATTATTTTAATATTTAAATATGTTTACTAAAAAGTTGAGATAAGGCACACAATTTAAAATATACAATCGGAGTAGTTTCCGGTTTGCACACATGAAGTTGCTTCATGGGTTTTTTACCTCTTTATCTTATAGAAAAATAAAAATGGAAAGCACTGAACTGATTTCTTAGATTTTCTTTATCTTGTGGATGAAATTCAGATCTGAAGATATATAATATGAAGTATTGAGAAAAAAAAATAGTGAATTTTAGTAGTTGGGCGAATTTTAGTTAAAACTATCACAGTATAGTTTAAAAAATTTAAACTGTTATTTAATTATTTTCTTCATAATTTCTGTTTATTTCTCAAGTACAACTATTAAGCCAAATCTTCAGGGATATATGTTTTCCAGAATTATCCAACCCTTTTTTACTTCACAAAAAAATATCCAAAAATTTGAGTTCAGAATTAAATCCCCGAAAAAAAATGTTAATGCTCCGCGCAAAACAGGGAAGAATTATGTTTTATGTTGAGTAGAATTGATTTTCAGGAAAACATAGACCCCTGTTAGTCACTAATAAATTATTAATTGTAAATAATCTCAATTAATTTCCCTAGATTCAAATTATAATCTATACACTACTATACAACTATTATCTGACAAATGTGCTCTGGACAGTCGTCTAGTTATCTCTGATGAGCTGGAACTATGAGACGACCTTGACCAAGATGAGCCGGGAGATGAGCTCCGATCTTGGATAGATATCGATTGCGTATATTTGCGTCAGTTCTTGGTCTGCTAAGCAACCGATGTCCATCTATCTGTCTAGCTCTCTCAGCGTCCAGGGCAGCTTGCCTGTAATATAAAAGAAATTAGTACCAACAAAAAAACGTTCCAAAATTTAGTCTCAAGATTTTATCTGTATCTCATGCTATCATTAAGATTATCTAAAGGGAGTGACCGGCAATGTATGGTGGTTGAACTGAGATTGCAGTATTGAAGAGAAAGTATTAAGGATTTTTTTTTGAGAAATATAAAACGTTTTAAAGATTTATGATTACTGAACTTTGGGTGCAAAGTCGACGTTCAAAATCATGAATTTGGGTGGGTACGTATTGAATCGTTTTTTTTGTTTTAAATTATTAAATAACGACGACAAAAAATATTGTAAATATTCTGTAGTAAACTAATTAGATGTTTAAGAACATATTTCTCAAAAGAAATTTGTCAATAAATCAATGTTAGAATCAATTATTTCGTTTTCAACATTGTATTGAATTTCTTATTTTCTGTGAATTTGTTCGCAGATTTCGACAAATTCTTCAAATGTCGTCTTTTCAATCAAAATTCCAGAAAATCCGCAGAAAATCATTGTGAATAATGAGAGATTATAGAAACTAATAATTGAATAAGATTTCTTATTTTCGATGATAAGAGATAATTTTTATTTTCTTCCTGAACAACTAATCATTTTACTGAGAATCCTATTACATTTTTGTCGTCGTTATTTAATAATTAAAAAAACGATTCTCAAGACGTACGCACTCAAATTGATGATTTTTAACGTCGACGTTGCGCTCAAACTCAGAAATTATAGATATATGTCTCAAATAAATCCTAAAAAATTTCTCTAAAATACTGCAACCTCAGTTCAACTACCATAGATTGCCGATCAATTCCTTTTAAACACTGTTGTTGCATTAAGTTATCACACTGAACAAGGTTTTATATGGTTGTTTAGGCGCTGATCCTTGAAGTGGTTAAACGATGCGAGGGCCACGACTTTCTGTTCTGGCGTGGGGGAGTTGGTTCTCTGTCTCTTTCTTATGTACNCTAGCTTCCTTTCAGACTCTCTCCTTTCTGCAGTTTACGCTTCTAGCTTCCTTTCAGACTCTCTCCTTTCTGCAGTTTACGCTTCTAGCTTCCTTTCAGACTCTCTCCTTTCTGCAGTTTACGCTTCTAGCTTCCTTTCAGACTCTCTCTCCTTCCTGCAGTTTACGCTTCTAGCTTCCTTTCAGACTCTCTCTCCTTTCTGCAGTTTACGGTTACTTGGTTACTTTTCTGAGTCGCTTTGCGGTCTACTTATTTCCTACTTTAACTCCAAGTTCCGTTGCGGTATGTTCCGGTATTTTTTGTTCTTTTATTTATTCTTCACCAACCTTTTACTGTGTTAACCTGTTTGTGTGGGGCCCGTTTTCCGCCTTTGCGGATTCGGCCCCGCCGTCCTATTTCCTTTTTTCATAGACTATTTTCAGGGTTATGTAACCCTCGACTTCAGGCTGACCTGCATCTACCTCTATCGTACTCTTACTCCTACTCCCTCAGTGCCCGAACAGGTAGCTCGTGTTCAATTTAAGACAAGGACGGAGGTTTTTTTGGGTAAAGTTCATATATTATTACTATATCCAACAAACTATCCAACTACAACAGTACTCTGTTACACAGTTGTACTTAATAAATGAATACATGTACTTCGATCATTGAAATGTTGTAATATTTAAATTGTTAAAACAAATCGCACTGAAATAAAAATTTAAATCTTAAATTATTACTGGTAAAAATAGGACAAAAGGGCGCCCAAAACAACTTATCAATGAGCCAATTTTTATCCTAATACCCAAGGAAACAGTATTGTTCTTCGGTTTAAGCAAATAAGCAAATAAACACAAAGACAACAAAAAACCCTCAGCTTTTAAATTCAACCGTTGTAATTTAAAAAATTTACAGAAAGTTTTGCATTTTAAAGTAAACCATTGTAATTTTGAAAATTCTAAAGAATGTTCAACAAAAAGCGTAATTGTAATGTTTTAATTTGCAAATGTGCAGAACGAAAACGTCACGTAAATGCAAGCAAATCAAATCAAATCACAAGGGGCGGGGATGAAAATGGGCTCCAGTAGTGGATTGGAGGTTCAAGTCCTTTCCGTGTCCTGGTTTTTCAGCCTGGACTTCTTTTTATATTTAGGAAGAAGTTACAACAACCGTTTACTGAAAGGCGCGAAGTTCCTTGCCACATGACCAAATTTGAGCCATGCCTCACTTTTGGACCTCCTCCATGCGAAATTTACCCCTTAATTGGGCAAAAGTCGCATGGCTGAGGTCTCCCCAGCGAGTGTTTAGGTTCAATTGTGAATTTTGAATAGCTAGAATTATGTAGTGTAATATTTAAACTTGTTTAACTAGCAAATTTGCTATTAATGTACGTCAATGAGCAAGAGTTTTAAGCAACTTTTTCAACCTTAATTATCTTCCAGTCTCAAATATCTCAAAATAAAGAAATTATGAATGATAACTTGTTATTTTAAAGTTGTCCATCGTAAAATACTCAAAAAAATACTTCTAATTAAATGGAAATAACTATTTTTAATGTGAAGTTTTGTGGCTCAAACGATTCAAAACCTTTCTCTGGGATACGATTGCTAATATATCTTCATTTTCGATCTGTACTGGAAAAAATCTCATTCATTTTCTTGTGAATCATTAGTGATCTTTTTAATTTTAAGTAAACGGTCTAGAAAAAGATAGACAATTCCTTTCAGATCAAATATTGACTGCTGAATTCTTGAAAACTTTCTGAAAATAGGTTTTGATCAAAATTAAAGCTAACCTTGCATCGTCGAATAGGTTTTGATCAAAATTAAAGCTAACCTTGCATCGTCGAATATCTGTCTCTCACTTATCGACATGTTAAGATAACCGGTCGTAGAACAGTCGCAGAACCAGATACAGACAGTCGAGGTCAGAGACAGGAACAACCAGCCGAGGAAGAACAACATTAACCACGTGTATCCATACTCGTCTGCGATCAATCCAGCGGCCATCACAATCAGAGCACACCCCAAGTTTTGAATTGCCTGTAAGAAAAAAACTAAATACTTTAATTGCAAGATGTCTTAAATTTTTATCCTTCCGAGTTTGTGGTTTTACATAATTTCCTCAAACATCAGACAACTTGTGTAATCTATGAGGAAATCGTTCAGCAGTGCAGATAAAACTGTTATTTTATTAAATAAGAATTAAATAAAACCTGAGAAAAACCTCACATAAAATTTGAAAAAAGTACGCTGCTTAATACACAGTACACACACACTTCATGATGAAATGTTCCCGAATAGTTTGTTAGTCTTAAGTCATATTAGAAGACCATACAAGCTTACATCTAAGGAAAGGTGTAGTAGTTCTAATTTTAAAACCTCCGTAAAAAACTTCCCTATCGCGATAACCATAACAAAATTAAGAACTAAGCATATATACATAAGCAGCCGACAAATTGAAGTCAGTTAAATAAAAAGAAAAAAAATTGGGATTTAAACGTAGCAAATGGACTGAGCTAACCTGCATAAGACCGTATGCGGTCCCCAGCTGATATTCAGGTATGATCAGAGCAGCGATCGGCCAAAGTGCCGAGGCTAGAAGGCTGTATGCTACTCCCAAACATGAGATAGATATGAACGGATTCACACTGTTTATACAAAATTATTTCATATTTGACACTTCAATCAATAAGTAACAAAATAAAATCCAAGGAAATGAGCCTAGGCAGCACTGAGTGGTGATTTTCTTTTTAAAGCACTTTTGGCCCATTTTAATCTCTTTAACTGTTCCACTTCCATTCTTGGAAATTATTTTTAAAACATTTTAGTTGAATTAAAATATAATTTGTTCCTGGTGAATGCAAGAAGGCAGATACATCCAATACTAGATATAATGGCCAGAACTACCCATGATATATTCCGTCCTGTTTTATCCATGAGTAAACCAAGAAGGGGAGATGCAGGAGCAGATACAAGATAAATCAAACCTTAAACAAATATATTTAAGGAATTGTATAAAAAAAATGAAAGGATGATTAATAATGGATTATAAATTAATCAGTGCTGGGACCGGAGGCCGAATTTAAAGAATTTGAGCCGAGGTTTAAACTTAAGCCGCGGCTTAATTATTGTTGGTTTCACTTAAAATTGTATCAAATGTTTCAAGATTTAAGCCGGCGCTCAATTTAAACCGGGTTTTGGAGGATTTAAGCCGCAACTTAATTTGTTTAAATTCGGCCTCGGATTTAATGAATGATTTATAATTAGTAATTACATCAGGTTTTTAATATCTATTTGATTTCTCGAAATTCCGCAGCAAAAAAAATTATAAATTGCCGTTTTCTAACCTGTAATAAAGTTAGCAGAGTTCCCGTCCATATCAAACTCGACCTTGAAGAAGTCCTTGGCCAGGGACACGAAGGGGAATATAACCCCGTAGTAGGAGAGGCAGGCTAGGCACAAAAACCAGAAGGATAACGGAAAATCCTGACAACAATCCGGTTTTATCAAGTTTTTCCTCCCAGAAACTTTTGTTTTAACCCTATTTTGAAAACTATAATTTCTTTCTCTCGATAAATTTTGCTATGAAAAGCAACAATTTTTTCACAATTTTAAAAACCCACACAAAAAAATTGCCCAGGAAATTTCCGACTATCTTAATTATTTTTTGATAAAACTCAAATTAATGGTATGTGTGTGTCCTAAGAATCCTAATACGTCAAAGTTAACTGTAAACTAACCCGATAACTCCCCCCCCCCTCCCCCAACCTAACTTATCTCTACTCTCATTGACAAAACTATCTCTGTATATAGTTACTGTAAAAGTACCTTGACATCGGTGATTTTAACGACTTCTCCGGAGTCTCCAGGTTCAACAATGTTCAAGATTTCGTTCCTTCTCTTATCCATCCAGGCAAGGATAACACTGGACAAATAAGATATGGTTACGGTCAGCTCGCTATTCTCTTTCTGTATTCAACTGTTTTATTACCGGCCCTGTATTTAAGTATATACATTTAGGGCTAATTATTTCCCAGTAAGGAGTGGACTATTTTATTCCCTGTAAGGGGTGACTATTTATTTCCCTGTAAGTGGTGACTATTCCTCTGAAAGGGGTGACTATTTATTTCTCTGTAAGGGGTGACTATTTATTTCCCTGAAAGGGGTGACTATTTATTTCCCTCTACGTGACTATTCCTCTGAAAGGAGTGACTATTTATATCTCTGTAAGGGGTGACTATTTATTTCCCTGAAAAGGGTGACTATTTATTTCCCTGTAAGGGGTGACTATTTATTTCCCTGTAAGGGGTGACTATTTATTTCCCTGTAAGGGGTGACTATTTCCCTGTAAGGAGTGACTATTTATTTCCCTGTAAGTGGTGACTATTTCTCTGAAAGGGGTGACTATTTATTTCCCTGTAAGGGATGACTATTTCCCTGTAAGGGGTGACTACTTATTTCTCTGAAAGTGACTATTTATTTCCCTGTAAGGGGTGACTATTTCCCTGTAAGGAGTGACTATTTATTTCCCTGTAAGTGGTGACTATTTCTCTGTAAGGGTTGACTATTAATTTCCCTGTAAGGGGTGACTATTTATTTCCCTGTAAGGGTTGACTATTTCCCTGTAAGGGGTGACTATTTCCCTGTAAGGAGTGACTATTTATTTCTCTGTAAGGAGTGGACTATTTCTTTTCCCTGTCAGGGGTAACTATTTATTTCCCTGTAAGGGGTAACTATTTATTTCCCTGTAAGGAGTGGACTATTTATTTCCCTGTAAGGGGTGACTATTTTTTTCCCTGTAAGGAGTGGACTATTTCTTTCCCTGTAAGGGTAAATATATTCCAATTTGAAATAATTACCCATGTGGAGATGATTTTCAACGTTTGGGGGGGGTAAAGATTAAAAAGAAATTAAAAATAACTTATTTTTCTTCAACGAGAAAAAAGGTGTTTAATAAATTTGAAATAATATGGGAGGAAATGATTTTTCAAGAACTTATATTCCCCTGTTACCTGCAGAAAAATGATGCAACACAAAAACCTCCAGCAGTAAGAAGAGTCCATCCTATAACCGTTGGACCATAACTATCTCTTTCAGCGATTAGATCTAGCTCCTGGGACCCATTCAGATAACTTTCTTCGAAGAGGTTTTCCTCCCAGAACAGGTTCATACTGTGGTTCATGGCTGCGTCCCTCTCTAAGGTCTGGTTCTTTATGTATTGGAAGAGAGGACCCATGAGAAGAAAATTCACTGTGGAGCCAACCCGAGCAATACTCAACTAAAGAGTAAACATCTATTAGAGATCCTTTAATTCCAAATCTCTGGCACAAGTCAAAATTAAGAGCAAAATTAAGAGCAACAAAAATGAAATAAATTTTTGTTCGAACGTTTCCCCCAACCAACCCCTCAAATATAATTTTCACCTGAAATCCAAAAACCATGTTGAGCTCCTTTCCCTTAAACCATGAAACAGCGTAGGTGTTCTGTGCCACGGAAAGGGATTCTCCTCCAATCCCAAACACGAACCTCCCGACCTCCATGACCCAGAGCCTGTCCAGGAACCCGCCCATACTGAAGATGATCTGCCCAAAGATGATGATGAATGCGAAGAGCATAGTTCCCAATCTTATTCCGAAAACCCTAAACGTAGATTTATTTTTAGATTCCATTTTCCTGAATAACCGGGAAGAAAGATGTAATACAATTTTACATCAACAAATGAGTTCGAAAGAATTGCGACTGCTTTACCTTTAAAGGGACTGTCAACGTAATTTAAAATTACCCTCAACAAACCTCCTAGAATCACATCCGTACAAACGTACTATTTAAACCTTTAAGTGATGGTGAATAATATTATTTTTATATATATATATATAATACAGAAAAACTTCGATATCTTCCTAATTGATACCGATGTAAATCAAGCAAGTAACCTTTTAAATTTCGTCGACAGTCCCTTAAATTGAGTTTTAAAGAAGGTTAAAATATATATTATATATACATTAGCTTGGTAACTCAGCGTTGCCCAGGTTGCTCATTATTAATTACTCTCACAATTTACCTGCCCTTGGTCGTAAATTCCGATTTAAAACATTTCCCCTGTAACAGTGGACCCACTCAACTTAGAATATCAAAAGTCAAAACCAAGCTAAGACATTCCCGTGATTCTCCCAAGTTCCCTTATCAAAACTTACGGCAAATCTGTCCAGGGGTTGACGAATTATGATAGGACATACAAACAAACAAACAGAGATTACTACTTTATATATATATATAATAGTAAATAGTCAACCTGTCCATTAAAAATCCGCCAATGATTGGAAGAACAACGTTTGGCCAGGAGTACCAGGCGTACAGGTTTGCAAACTGCGCCGTCGTAATGTTCATTGCATCCTTCAACTCCGACTGCAGAGCTCCAGGATTATCAAAACAGAAGTAATTTCCGAACCCGAGGAGACACATCAGGATCAAAGCAATCACCCTGTGGAGCAGAGCTTGTGGATGACACAGACAGCTTCCCTGCCATCCTTCAAGGTCTACTTCTATATCAGTGGGAGAAAAGGTTCGCTCTCTTTGTACTTCATCTGAACAATATCAAAATTACTATTAACGTATTTTCGCCCTCGTTTTCTCTCCATTATTTATTTATAACGAAGTCCACATTTGTCCTCTCAGTGACCTTAGAAAAAACGAGTAACCCGACCCATCAGCACCCCCATTAGATAATAAGATGTGACCCTCAGGGTAGGGGGCCTGTTAGGGTCGTATATTGGTAAAGTAAATACGACCTGGGCCAGGCCGCATGTCGGTTGGGTCCTCATGCAGCCCAGGCTGTTACCCCAGCCCGCCTAGTCCTGCGAGTGGTCTAGCATGTAGTTTATTATTTTATCGTATACTAGTAAATAATACGCTAATTAAAGATAAAGTTTTGCCGAGATTTTACTACAATAATCCTAATCAAAATACCTTGGTTCGGTTCATTGATAGGAATTCTACGTGGGCATTCTGATATTGTTCTCCCGCGTTTAGGAGCTTCAGATATAGGTAAAAGAGAACGACGATCGGCAGGCGAAGATCCAAGAGGAAGGAATGACCGCCGATCTGGTAAACTTCTTCCCCGTCCTAAAATGAAAATTAGCTTAGTAAAAACGATACTCTTAAATGAAAACTAGCAAAAATTACCTAACAAAGGTTCTCTTTCCGTAGGACAACTCGCCATTCTCAATCCTACAATGAAAATCATAAAAAAAAAAGACTTTAACCCCTGGAATAGTTTCCGATTACCTTGATGAGAGTGCGCATTGTTTAATTTAGAGAAAATACATTTTTAAGAGATCTCATAAATCAAGTGCATTTTCAGGCCTTTTAAACATTTCGTTTCAAGGCTTTAATATGCTTTTGTGGTTATTTTTCTGAGCGTAAACATGAAAATATAGTATAGCAAAAAAAAGGTCACAAAATTATGGGATCCCGCCATTTAGGGTTCAAAACATATCGCAAATTAAAGAATAAGCCTAAATACTGGGATTATATTCATTTACAACTTAAAACCTGATGATCTATTTTGAGGTCTGTCCTAGAGAACGATTTTTGGACCCACCCCCCTCCTATAATTTTTTTTACATATTCTTAAGCAAAATTATTATTATTTTTATTTATTGTTTTAGGGTTAGGTAAGGTTAAGACAATTTCTGGACCGAGCGCTGCGGCGATGACAAGCTAAGGGACGAACGCCACGCTAAGACAGGCCCAATGCCCAACTTTGCTTATGTGATCATATCAGATACATTTTCAAAATAAATATTAAAAGGTCTAAAACTAGAATACAAGAAAATTACCGATTTCCTCCCATAAAAATTTATTCATATTGTGTCAGACTACATTTCTTAAAGAAAACTTGTGGGTCCGCCCTAGAGACCGATTTTTGGACACCCTCTAACAGCCTTATATAAGTTTTAAGTTAATGTATTCTTTAAAATCTTCAGTTAAGTCAGAAAAAAATCTAAAATAAAGCTATGCACGGTCGACGTTGTAAACAACTCTTCGGAAAATGTGAACATTTTCCTGGCGTGAAAGTGTAATCTTTTGATGCATGTTATTACCTGGAAAAATTTAAGTTGTTGATAAAAGGAACAAAAGAGAAAAAATAATAATATGTAAATTTTCATAACATCAAAAATATACAAGAATCACGGGCCGATCATTCTCTAATTCTGAAATTAAATAGTTATTATTCAAGATTTATTGAACATAAAAATTTATCATTAATTCTTAAAGATTCCGCGCGAAAATCACAAGATCATAAGGTACTTTTTGTTTTCAGAACTTGAAATGCACAATCAGTGGCTTGGTTTGCCGCGCTACAATATTAAATAAACTATTTTGTCGTCTTTACATAAATCCGCCTTCCTCCCATCTTCGATAATTACACGAAATGGAAATGGCGCCCGATTCACAACGGTACCCTTCAAACATTTCTTATACCAATAAAAAAAACTAAATTGTAGAGGAAGAAATCCCCGAACAAGGATTATCAATTGTGTCAGAACCTGGAACTAGAGAAGACCTACTTCCTCTCCTTTATTTATCATGTATTTATATCATCTAGAAGCAATAAATGTAATTCTAAAATATCGTCCTTTTCTATTAAAAAATATGTTGAATTTTAGTAATTTTTGTACTTTGTCTTGATCTTTATTCTTAGCCGCTCACTTTAATAGAGAAACCACAATTGAAAATAATAAATTTTCAGCCAGAAAAATAAGGATATCTCGGTCATCCTTTCTTAGTTAAAGGTTTAAAGGGGTTACTTGAAATTACGTCTACAGTCCCATGGTTGGAAACCCTGGAGGTACTTCACCTTCCCTTTCCAATCTCAACATCAAAGGAATTGAGTTTTTCCCACGAATTAAATATTCTGATTCCTTTATCTTTGCAACTTGATGGTGTAATCCTTTGATTCTTCTAACTAAGATTATTTTATCTAACAGAATTCAGAGTTTAAAATATCTAAGATCTAATACATATTGGGCTGCACAGATAAAAGGATTTGAAAACTGGAGTTGTGGCAAAAACTCAATTCCTGCTCTCTTTCTTTCCACCGTTTATCGTTCCCAACTGACAGCAATACTCTTTTTTCATCCGCCATTGCCTTTTTGTGAAGTAGATTTTAACAATTCCAATTTAAAGCGGTTTTGTTGAAACGTAGGTGTCGCTTGTTGACTATAGTTGACTAATTGACTTGTAAACTCATTGTTTAGATGACTTGTTGACTCATTGACTCATTGTTTAGTTGACTTGTTGACTTAGCTCCTTAACTCAGACATAGCAAGTTGCCAATAATCATGTAAATTGATATATTTCAAACCTGCAATAAAATACAATTATAGAAAAATTAATGGCAATGTATAAACGTTATTGAATGATTAACAATGTAACTTACTATTTTATCATGTCCGGGTGATAAGAAGGCATTTGCCATTTTCTGATCTATGTTTTTACCTAGCAATTAGAATGGCCATTCTTAAGTTTGATGAGTTAGTAATTTTACTTGTTTCCAATCAAATTTAACATATTTGGTGGTGTTTTTAATCTTTCCTTCTCAAACAAAATAAATTTTTAGAAATAAAAACAAATAATTCAAGTTTCCAAAAGTTTTTTTACAAATAGAATACATAAATAGAATTATAAAACTGAAACAAAATTTAGACCTGTTTCTTTCAGTTGCATGTATTAAAAAAACATTTGAGGTCGGAATAAATTGGTCTTTTGTGATTATAATAGCTGGAAACTTTTGAATTGAAGAGATTGAGTTTAACTCTTCTAACTTCTTTGGATCAATAATTACATTCCGTCCTATTGCAAATGTCTCCAGAGTATGGGCATGGTTGTATCTTTTGCTGAAAAATTGTTAATACAATTTTCTAATACTGTCTGAAAACTCCAGTCACTAAGTCATCAGCTTTTGCACAATTCAACCTATAATGTTGATCACCCTATCACATAAATCAGCATATATTGAAGAAAATACGTCCAGAAAAATTGTAAATATATTTCTCAAATATTAATATCCGGGCAATACTGCTTTTATAAATAAGAATTCAATAGAAGCTTTAAGAACTTACACGATTGTTTGAAAATATCGCCATTTTGTACAGTGAAACCCTTAATAACGAATACATCGAAAGAATTCATCAAATGTCGTATTCTTCACTTTCTGATAATGGAATGTTGAAGATATTTAGTTTTTTAATTAAATGATTATATGGAACTCTTTAAAACTGTTCCCGCATATTCATGGCTATTTATTTATTTTCACAAATACTGAAATTTACGTAATATAGTATAAAACTCATTGAAAATTGTCAAGACGACATTTGATAAATTCTTCCGATGTATTCGTTATGAAGGGTTTCACTGTATATTTTATTAATTACAATTAGATATATCAATATTAATGAGTATTGAATTGATGTGAAGAAATAAAGAATATACCTTGCATGCTTAAACTTCGCTAAATTGATTTGGCACGCGAACCTAAGTGTCGTAAATTAACAGAAAATATTAATTAATGTGAATTTAAATATCATTTATATGTTTTTTTAATGTTCATACTTTAATTTTCGATTTTTTTTATTTAGTTATTTAGAATATAATTACATATCTCTTTAAATATACTTATATATATCATCAACATTCATTATAATAGCTTTCAAGCAAAATTTCATGGTCCGTAGTAAAATCTCAAGGTCTGGAGTAAAATCTCAGGGTCTGGAGTAAAATCTCAAGGTCTGGAGTAAAATCTCAGGGTGTGGAGTAAAATCTCAAGGTCTGGAGTAAAATCTCAGGGTCTGGAGTAAAATCTCAGGGTCTGGAGTATAATCTCTGGGTCTGGAGTAAAATCTCAGGGTCTTAAGTAAAATCCCAGGGTCTGAAGAAAAATCTCAGGGTCTGGCTTACAATCTTAGGGCCTGGAGTATAATCTCAGGGTCTGAAGTATAAATTCTGGAATTTTACTTTAAATCCTGGAATCAATACCCCAAACACTGGAATTTTACTTTAAACCCTGGAATCATTAATCCAAACGCTGAAATTTTACTTAAATTCTGAATTCATTACTCCAAACCCTAAAATTTTTCTCCAAATCTTGGGATCTTTACTCCAAACACTGGAATTGTGCTCTAAATCCTGGGATCATTACTCCAACACTTGGAATTTTACTTCAAATCTTGGGATCGATACTCCAAACACTGAGATTTTACTTCAAAACCCTTGGATCATACTGCAAACCCTTGAATTGTACTCCAAATCTTGGAATCATTATTCCAAACACTGGAATTTTACTTCAAACCCCTGGGATCATTACTCCAAACCATGGAATTTTACTTCANACTTCAAACCCCTGGGATCAATACTCTTGGATCTTTACTTCAAACTCCTGGGATCATTACTCTTGGATCTTTACTTCAAGCTCTCACGATCAAACTCCCTCCCCTCCAAGTTGAAAATTTGTAATGCGTAAATGTAATCTGTAATTGATTTTCTATGGATTTATCAGTTCTTTAAAACACATATTTATCTTTATTAATTGTTCTTTAGATCTAATATACATAATATACGTCATTCCGATATCTATAATCTATATTATTGTTAGTTAAAAATACTTTAAATGCATTTCTCAAATAAACTTTTCAATACAAGTTGGTACATTTTTCTAAATGTGAAAAAAATTGTATTTTTTTTGTAAAATTTTTCTAAATGTATTTATTCTTGAATAATATTTATGAGTTGATAAAAGGAAGAGATAATGTTGCTTCTCTTAGTTTATCCAAACTAATATTATCTCCTTGAAGCCCAGTATGAGAAAGAACCGGAGGAACCATCCCTTGAAGATGAATTTTCTCCAGTAGCTTTTTTTCTAGAGCAACTATTAGACTGATGGTTTCATCTATAACTTCCTGTTTTTTCAGTTTCTCACCCCTGGGTAACAGTTTTCTTAATTTTCTCATTTCTCTTCGTTCTTCTCTTTTCCTGTATTTTCTCACAATCTTTCTTGCTGCTCTAACCTTCTCAACCCTTGTGATTCTCTCTACCTCAGGACACACTAATGGTGCACACATGGTTCGGTTTCAAGCCTAATAAGATAAATTCGATATCAATATTTAAAAAAAAATTCACTATTCACAAATAATAAGCTATGTACAGGAAGTCCAAAACCCTGCAAGCCTCTCCATGTTAATATTTGTGACAGCCTAATACAACTTTTTAAATGTCTAATCTTTTAAAGGAACTGAGTTTTTTGCCACAACCTTAAATCCCTATATTTATACCTTTTATATTTCAAACTTATACTTTTTTATCAAACCTAATTCATAGTTTGATATCAGAATTTGGGGCAAAGACTCAATTCCCTTTCTAAATGTCCCGAAAATTAAATATAAAGATATTTGTTCCTGTATCGAACTTTTATCAATACTTGTGTTTTTACAACCTTTAATATCAACTTACTGGTAAATGATGACGTTTTAATCGTTGAATCTTTTAGAACTTGTATAATGGTAAACCAGGTTTTAGTCATTACTAACCCTAGTTTAATCCGTTCACACACCTGTGCTACTTTTTTGAAGAAAAAAATTGTTAATATCAAAAAATATTTAAATTAAGACTTTTCAGGACAAAGTTCAGAAAAATCAAACCTTTTTTTCGGTGAAAAAAAATATTTGCATACATGCACATTGCGTACATGTATTTATTGAAAGTCTTACCTTAGCAGCTGGATCACGTATTCGATGGGGTTTCGTAAAAGCAAACTACTCGAAAAACGAAAACATCGTAACTGATGTTAAGGTGGGATCTAGTGGATGGATTGATTTGAATAAATTAAGGTCGAAGCTGGATCAAGTAGTTTTGGTCGGAGCTGGATCAAATATTAAGGACAGATTCCGGTCTGAGAAGGATCAAGTGGTTCAGGTCAGAGCTGGATCTGGGATAGGTTCAGGTCGGAGCTGGATCTAGTGTAAAGGATAGGTTCAGGTTGGAGCTAATTCTAGTGTAATGGAAGGGGTTAGGTCGGAGATTAATCTAGGATAGATTCAGGTCGGAGCTGGATCTAGGATAGGTTCAGATCGGTGCTGGATCTAGGATAGGTTTAGTTCGGAGCTGGATCTAGGATAGGTTTAGGTCGGAGCTGGATCAAATACTGAAAACCAATTCTAGATTCTACTTGAGGTGCATATATCAGGATTGACCAGGGCTGTAGGACTACAACAGTGCAATTTATTCAAATTTTAAAAAAAGTTTTTAAAAAAACATTTCTGATAGATAACAATTTTAGATAAAAGAATAAAGAAAAATATATATTTGTGTGATAATTATGAATCATATTTAACCCCAGACAATTTTGTTTAGTCCCTGAATTCCACCTGATGCATTAGGGCAGGTGGAGCCCATTTTGCATTTGTCTAGAACAGTGCACTTCAGAATTCTACAAAACTCTCAAATATTTAAATGTACTCATGAAAATATATAATTTTATTAGCGATTGAAACTCCATTTTCCCCGAGGACGGAGATAATCGAAGGGTTTTTGTTGCAGATGTACCACTCCTGTCTTTGCTCCAGGTGTACTAAACAACTTGATCCCAGGTAGTTATCAGAGTTTCACTGGATTTCAATTATTTTAGATATTTTTCATTCTAGCCTCTCCTTAATATTATTTCTTATTTTACACCTTTCTATATGCTGTTTTTTTCTACACCTTTCTACATTCTTTCTTACTCTACACCTTTCTACATTCTTTCTTACTCTACACCTTTCTACATTCTTTCTTATTCTACACCTTTCTACATTCTTTCTTACTCTACACCTTTCTACATTCTTTCTTACTCTACACCTTTCTACATTCTTTCTTACTCTCCACCTTTCTTCATTCTTTTTTACTCTACACCTTTCTACATCCCTTCTTACTCTACACCTTTCTACATTATTTCTTACTCTACACCTTTCTACATCCTTTCTTACTCTACACCTTTCTTCATTCTTTCTTACTCTACACCTTTTTACATCCTTTCTTACTTACACCTTTCTACATTCTTTCTTACTCTACACCTTTCTACATTCTTTCTTACTCTACACCTTTCTACATCATTTCTTACGCTACACCTTTCTTCAATCTTTCATATTCTACACCTTTTCTACATTCGATCTCTTGTTCCACACTCTTCTACATTCTTTCTTACTCTACACCTTTATTCATTCTTTCTTATTCTAAACCTTTCTTCAATCTTTCATATTCTACACCTTTCTACATTCGATCTCTTGTTCCACACTCTTCTACATCCTTTCTTACTCTACATCTTTCTTCATTCTTTCTTATTCTAAACCTTTCTTCAATCTTTCATATTCTACACCTTTCTACATTCGATCCCTTGTTCCACACTCTTCTACATTCGTTCTTACTCTACACCTTTCTTTATTCTTTTATATTCTAAACCTTTCTTCAATCTTTCATATTCTTCACCTTTCTACATTCGATCTCTTGTTCCACACTGGTCTACATTCTTTCTTACTCTACTCCTTTCTTCATTCTTTCTAATTCTAAACCTTTCTTCAATCTTTCTTATTCTACGCCTTTCTACATTCTTTCTCATTCTACACCTTTCTACATCCTTTCTTACTCTACACCTTTCTACATTCGATCTCTTGTTTCACACTCTTCTACATTTTTTGTTTTCTAATCCTCTAACTAAATATTCTTTATTGGTATATTTATTCTTACAGGGACTGTCGTCTTCCATCTGATTGATAATATGAGGAGTTTTTAATTCTGATAATTCGTCAAATGTTTCTGAAGCAAGAAATTCGCAAGTCACTTCTCTATAGAGAAAATACCACAAATTAAATAATTAGGTTTCACAAAGAAAAAAATGGATATATAATTCTTACTTGCTCAGACAACGCCTTAAAGGGGACTGTCGCGAATAGGACCTGCCACTCTATTAATGAATGGTTTCTTGATTTTACGTTTACATTCTCTTTAAATCACTACTACATATATTTCTGAAGTGTTGCTAGTAAAAAACTAGTTTTTATTAAAAAACGTCTGCTTCTGAACAGGTTTAATTTTACAGGTTGCATTTAGGTTGCAAGCACTCAGACGTTGTACATTAAGGTTTTCAACCTATTCAAGATTTTGCCAGGTCACGCACTAAACTCCTTAGTTTATATCCTTGAAATTTGCATTATTGAGATCAACTGAGAGGATTAAGAATTACGGAGATAATAAAGAATTATGGTTTAAAATAGGATAAGATAAAAAATTACAGAGTTTGCACTTGACTGACCATCTGAGAGGATGAAAAATTACAGACTTGGAACCCTCTGTGAGAATAAAATATTTCAGAGTTGGAACCTTCTAAAAGGATAAAGGATTGAACAATTGGAACATTCTGAGAGGATGAAGAATAGCAGAGTTGAAACCTCCTGAGAGGATATAATATTGCAGAGTTGAAACCTCCTGAGAGGATACAATATTGCAGAGTTGAAACCTCCTGAGAGGATAAAATATTGCAGAGTTGAAACCTCCTGAGAGGATAAAATATTGCAGAATTGAACCCTCCTGAAATGATAAAATATTGCAGAGTTGAACCCTCCTGAGAGGATAAAATATTGCAGAGTTGGATCTTTCTTAGAGGATAAAGAAATACAGAGTTGGAACCCACCGAGAGGATAAAGAATTGCAGAGTTTTAACCTCCTGAGAGTATAACGAATTACAGAGTTGAAACCTCCTGAGAGTATTAATAATTTTTAGATTTTTAGTATCTGTGATTATTTCTCATCTATGTCTCAGACTCCTGAGACAGTTACGATCAGGTTGTATTTTGCATCTTTACACTTTAGACATACTTTTAAAAATCCTTTGCACTAAATACTGGTTCTTTAAATCCAATTTGCACTAAATACTGGTTCTTTAAATCGTTTCATATTCATATTGTTAGGTTACGGATTATTTGGAAAGTAAAACCCTAAAAATAATAAAGTTATTTTAATTATCAAACTTTTTTATGTAGTTTAAGTATAATTTAATGACGCTCAGTGCCTGATACAGAGTGTCCCAAAAAAAGGGAATTAATTATTTAAGTTATAGTTAATCAATGGAAATTCTTTGTTATAAAATTTCCAAAATGTGGTTTGACCTTTCTAATTCAAAATCTAATTCAAAATCTAAAATTAAAGAGGATCTCTATGTCGTCTTTAATTTGTCATAATTAGGACACCCTCCCAAGGAGTAAGAAATAGAAGGGAGATACAACTGACGCGGCCCGCCATACCATATGATTACACTTGCTTTGCAAACGGGTACTCCATTTGTATAAGAAATATTTAGATTCAGGTTATTTGTATCCTTGGTAATTGTACATCAGACAAATATTTCTTTTTCAAATGGAGTACCGTCTGCAAAGCATGTATAATCCTGAAAGGGCGGGCCGCGTCAGTTATATCTCCCTTCTATTTAATACTCCTTGCACCCTGCACATTAAAACAAAACAAAGATAGAATGGTTTGGGAACAAAAGTCCAATATCATGTATTTTTCTTTTTTATGTATATCTTTCGTTTTGGATAAATTACGTTTGTAAAACCTTGTTTTAGATGCAAACATTGTTATCTTTTAAAAAGTAATCAAGTAATCAGAAAGGAACTGATTTCTTACCTCAAGCTCTAAATTTATCATTCCTTTTTCGTTGCAACCTGATTTTGATATCTCAAAATTTGGCTATTTGATCTACTAGAATTAATAGTTTGAAATATTATAGTTCATACGAGAACTTGTTGCAAAAATATTAAAATTAATCATGGTTTCTCTGAATTTAGTTTCGACAATTATTTAAAATCAATACTCTTCCATCCCTAAATCTATGGAATTACCCGACTGTAGAGAGTCAATATTTGTTTAAATATGACCTGGTATTCCTGGTATTCTGAAGATAAATATTGCTATGTTTACACTCAGTGATAGGATCAATCCATCTTTAATATATTTATCTAGGATCAGATATATATATATTATCTTACAAAATCCATCTTTAATATATCTATCCAGGATCAGATATATATATATTATCTTACACAATCCATCTTTAATATATTTATCCAGGATCAGATATATATATTATCTTACACAATCCATCTTTATATATTTATCTAGGATCAGATAATTATATATTATCTTACACAATCCATCTTTAATATATTTATCTAGGATCAGATATATATTATCTTACACAATCCATCTTTAATATATTTATCCAGGATCAGATAAAAATATATTATCTTACAAAATCCATCTTTAATATATTTAACTAGGATCAGATATATATTATCTTACACAATCCATTTTTAATATATTTATCCAGGATCAGATATATATATATTATCTTACACAATCCATCTTTAATATATTCATCCAGGATCAGATATATATTATCTTACACAATCCATCTTTAATATATTTATCTAGGATCAGATATATATATATATATATATTATCTTACACAATCCATCTTTAATATATTTATCCAGGATCAGATATATATATATTATCTTACACAATCCATCTTTAATATATTTATCCAGGATGAGATATATATATATTATCTTAAACAATCCATCTTTAATATATTTATACAGGATCATATATATATATATATATTATCTTACACAATCCATCTTTAATATATTTATCCAGGATCAGATATATATTATCTTACACAATCCATCTTTAATATATTTATCCAGGATCAGATATATTTATATATTATCTTACACAATCCATCTTTAATATATTTATCTAGGATCAGAAATATATTATCTTACACAATCCATCTTTAATATATTTATCCAGGATCAGATATATATATATTTTCTTACACAATCCATCTTTAATATATTTATCCAGGATCAGATATATAAATATTTTCTTACACAATCCATCTTTAATATATTTATACAGGATCATATATATATATATATATTATCTTACACAATCCATCTTTAATATATTTATCCAGGATCAGATATATATATATTATCTTACACAATCCATCTTTAATATATTTTTCCAGTATCAGATATATATATATATTATCCTGAAATATGCAGGTACAGCAATTGATATATTAAACTCATTTTTCCGCGGCATTTGACCTTAAATATGTTGAGAATACGATATTATAAAAAACATTTGCTCTGTTTTCATATATCTGGGATTCACTGTAGAACAATTTATGTTGAACATTTTAATTCTTTCATCCGCATAGATCCTAATC